TCCATATCATCCTCGAGGTCATCCATGTCGTATTCATCGGCCATATATTCATCTTCAGGTTCATCACCATTGTAATCAGACATGGTGAGATCAATTTTTTTGGGAAAATTCTCAATCACAGAGATGAAACAAGTTCCATTAAACAAGGAGAACAGAACAAACCAAAGTCAGCCATATCGACCTCGAACATAAAACCTCCAAAAAATCACAGCTTCCAACCTGCAAAAGTGAACACAAAGACGAAATATCATATACAAATTCAAGTTTTTTTGGAATATCAAAATTCACAAAATCAATTAAGCATCAAACAGAACAATAGTGTCAAAACAGAATAAACAATTCTAGAGCTCCTGTTCATTTGACAAACAAAATTAGGAATTATCAAAGTCTACGACCATATTAATAATCCTCCATGAAAATTCGGATTCAAAATTCAGAATTACGCTTACCAAAAACTTCTAAGGAGGAGGGACAGAAACAATATTTTACTTCTCCAGAATTCTGAATTATTCCGGAAATTGAATTGAAAATTCCAAAGTAATACGAACAAGCAGATAATCCTGAACAACCAAAAACAGAAGATCAATATTCTTCAATCTCAAGCACTAAAACCCTATGCCGAAACTCAACAGATAGATGCAGGATTCGATTGGATCGTCATCAACACAGAAAACCCTAATTCCGTTTCGTTTCACCAGAGAAAAAAAAATAAAAAGGAAGGAGAAAACAATCAGAAAATTAAAATAATTGTGAAGGAAATCGGATACCAAATCGGAAAACTGGTTGAGAATTGACGCGAATTAGGTAATCAACGGATCTGAAGATCGAATTTATACACAGCGTCTCAAAAAATCTTTACTCCATATAATAAAAAAAACTTTGTTCATTAGTTTGGATCAAAGACAATATAAATCCACATCAGCAATTTAATATCCAATAGGTAATAACCACGTAATCAACTCCATCATCCAAAAATTAAACCAATATTAAAACTCTGTTTTTGATTGCTTCTTCGTAGATTACAACCTTCGATACGATACATTGATACATTCAGTTCCGGCTCTTTTCTTAGCTATGCAGTTCAGACAAAATAATACAGAAGAGAAATTGCTAAATAATTATTAACTTATAAGCACACTGTACACTGCAGAATCATGAACTATTTTGCAGTACAGTTATTTGTTTACTGCATCTGCATAGATTAAAAAGTTTAACAATTATCGGCAAGACCGCAAATGTTCATAAAGTTTGAAAACAAAACCTCAATTTCTTTATAAAAAAAAATTATTTTCTGAAACAAATCGAACACGTGGTCCTGACCACTACGATAGTTCGATTATTTCCGTCATTGCGGCTCACAAAATATCGTTATATGATGATTGACATTTGCGTCGGTGAGAGAGACCACTTTCACTTTCATTCATCTAAACTTGGCGCGTAGAGTAACAAAATCCTTGCGCAGGAGTGTACACGTGTCATTATATTGAACAGTCCACGTCGTTCAGTCTCATCCCAATTAACGTCACAACAATTAAGCTCTCTCTCTCTCTCTCTCTCTAAGGTATCATCAAACTTTCTGATTTTCTCGGGAAAATTTCTGATTTTTCCTGTCCGAGAAAAAGAGAAAAAACGGCGTAAGTGATCGAGACGACGGGGAAATTCCGGCCATGATTCTAAGGAAAGTATGGGGATCGGTGTGGAACCGGTCGAACAGTGGGAAGGATTCGGCGAGTCAGAGGTCGATCCAGGTTCCTCTGCTGCCTTCTTCGTCGTCGTCGTCTCTTGGGGCGTTCGATCAGTTACCGATGGATATCCTGATTCAGATACTGATGCTGATGGAGCCAAGAGATGCGGTGAAATTGAGCTTAGCGTGTAAAGCCTGGAAATGTTTGGCCAGTGGTAATCGTCTCTGGATTTTCTATCTCCAGTGCTCGCAGGACTCATGGGACTCCATTTTCTTCGCTGAAACGAGTCTGCGTTCTGGTTATCCTCTCCGGTGAGTTTACAAATTTTGAATTTTTTTTTGCTTTTGATCGATAGAGAAAGAGTTGAGCTACTATTGGAGTATTGGGATTGGTCAAGAGAGGAATCAATTCAAAAGGTTTAAACTTTTGAAATGTTTGCAGAATGATTTCTAGTCAATCAGGGGAATTGTCGTTCATGCGCATTTATGGTCAGAGAGCACAAGTTCCTGGCTCTATAATTATTGATGGTATGCTTTGTTTTTGTTCTTCATTGTGAATATGCTACGGCATTTGCATTGTAGTTTCAAAAAATTACATTTTTTTGTTCTTTCGTTTAGCTATGGTGAAGATTTTGTTTCCCTTTTTGTGTATGTGTGTGTGTTGTGAAGGTGGTTCTGGATATTGCAAGTTTGGGTGGAGCAAGTATGCGTCACCTTCTGGACGTTCAGCTACTTTTCTGGTGAGATAAATCTTTGTAGTAAAGCAGTTCACTGTTTTTTGTTACAAAAGATAGTAAATAAGCTTGGCCTCTTCTCTCTTGCACACAAGATAGTTCTTACTAGTTTGATCGCCAGGAATTTGGCAACATTGAGTCACCCATATACGCTAGGCTTCAACAGTTCTTTGCAACCATTTTCACCAGGTTTGTTTTTTGTCATTCTGTTCCTGTGACATTGATTTGTATTTGAGATTCTTATCTTATGTGGTAAGTTGCTTACAGGATGCAGGTAAAGCCATCTATGCAGCCAATAGTGGTGTCCCTACCCCTCTGCCATTTTGATGGTTAGCTACAGTTTCACTTGAGGATTATATCTCGTGCATGGTTGCCGTTTTAAGGTTTTAATTAAATATTTGTTTTCAGATACTGAATCGGCCAAGGCGTCAAGGAGGCAACTTAAGACTGCTATCCTTAACGTCTTGTTTGACATGAATGTTCCTGCAGTGTGTGCAGTTAATCAGGCGAGCCTATGTTCACTCTTAAGTGCTTTCTGGTTGTTATTGTTCCAAAATTTCAGATTTTTTTGCATTAAAATTTCAGAGCGGTTTTTTTCTTTCAGAGTGATTCATTCCCCATCTGTATTTTCATTTTCAGGCTGTTTTAGCTCTATATGCTGCACGGAGGACATCTGGAATTGTTGTTAACATTGGTTTCCAAGTCATAACCATTCTTCCGAGTAAGCTTTTTTCTCTATGATTTTACTCTTTTGTATCATCTCAGATTTTGTTTAATGACATTGTAGTCTTTCTAGCTCTAGTCACCTATGATATTCTTTCTGTGTAACTGAATTTGATTAGTTGTGAGTTGTGACTAAAAGATGAAAATGTGAGCATTTCAATTTGTTGAGAAAAAAAATCCTTGTGTACCCCTCACACCATTCAATGCTGTCTTAGCAATTTACTTTTGCTGGTTGTTCTGCAGTTTTGAATGGCAAGGTGATGCGGCAGGTAGGTGTAGAAGTCATCGGTTTTGGAGCATTGAAACTCACAGGCTTCCTTAAGGAAAAGATGCAAGAGAACAACGTTGCCTTCCAATCGCTCTACACTGTTCGTACTCTAAAAGAGGTATTCCAATTGTTTATAGTTACTAAAATATCCTTAAAGGCATTGAAGAACTGAAGAACTCTTGCACAGGCATTGATCATTAGTTCATTAAACGTTAAAAGTTAGAAGTAATTGACTATAGTTCTTCTTTGTATTCAACTGACTTAGACGATGCTTGTTTTTATTGTTATGTGAATGCAGAAGCTGTGTTATGTGGCTCTGGATTATAAAGCAGAACTTTCAAGAGACACACAAGCTTCAGTGGAAGTTGCGGGAGAAGGATGGTTTACTCTGTCAAAGGAGCGTTTTCAAACAGGGGAGATATTATTCCAACCACGTCTCGCTGGAATGTAAGACCTGCCTTACTTATTGCCTTATTGGAACCAGTGAAGAATCTCCAGTTATGGCCAACTTAAAACATATTCTTTTGTTTGATTTTTGTCATGGCGGAAACAGGCGTGCAATGAGTTTGCAGCAGGCAGTCGCGCTCTGTATGGACCATTGCGACGCAGCAGGACTTACAGGTGATGATAGCTGGTTCAAGACTGTAGTACTGGCTGGAGGAAGCGCGTGTTTGCCAGGACTTGCAGGTACAAATCTATTACCTCTTGCTTTGTTTTTTCTTTTACTCAGAAATTAGTAAACAACCAGTACTTCTTGCATACAACTTGAAAGATCTTTTAAAACACATGACTGACGTGACTATGGTTAAACTTTGTGAGCTGTATCCAGAAAGGCTAGAGAGAGAACTGCATGACGACCTTCCTGCGTCTATATGCAATGGCGTCAGAGTAATCCCTCCTCCTTGTGGCGTGGACACAGCTTGGCATGGGGCAAAGCTTATCAGCAACGTAAGTCAGATATCATTTTGCAACCTATTATCTAGTCACATAAACCCCCTTTCTAATTCTGCCATGAGTGCTTATAACTTATTCCGTCTGCTGAGCCTCACGAAACTGCGTTTTTACTAATTATTGTGCGCAGTTAAGCACATTTCCTGGTCCTTGGTGTATCACAAGGAAGCAGTTCCGTCGCAAGTCAAGACTATTGTGGTGAATCTCTCTCAGCTTTTTACTTCTTGAGCTAATAGATTAGTGAGAGAAAGAGAGAGAGGCATGTCTTTATATAAGTTTGTATGTATAGTGATAGTGTTCATTATATTGATTGCATTCCAAAACCCATAGAAAACAATAATTATTATGAAGTGAAAGACCTTACAATTTACATATATACATATATAGTAATAAACAGAGCTTGTTGAAGAAACCTCTTGCTGATTTCCTTTCATTATCTTTCTAATTCTAGTCAGTGCTTTTACTTCATTTGTCGATTTATATGAGAAGAGACGCAATGATACATATACACACAAAAGCCATGAGAATTATCATTTAGAATCTCTTGTTTGTTGTCCCTAAAATCAAAAGAATAAGGCAGAACAGAGTAAAACAAATCGTGGATATACAAAAACATTTGCGGACATGTCGCTTTCTCACCTCAGAACAACTTAACAAAAACCAAGAAAGCTGCAGAAACGGTTAGCCACAGACGAGAAGAAGCGGTGGTGGTGGTGGCTGCGTTAGCGTTTGCGTCTGCTGCTGAACCAGGAGGCAAAGCAGGGCACTCGAGACCATTTTTACCTTCTTTACACTGGTTAGCGAAAAGTCCAGGCGGGTATTTTCCGTAGAGGTTGATGTAACTGAACATAGTAGTTGCACAATCTGAGCTCAGGTCGTTGAGCTGGTCGACGTAAGGACACGCAAGTTCCTTGAGGGCGGCGCAACATTCCTTTGGTGGGAATTTGGGACCCTTGCACTGGTTTGTAATGATCTTGTAGTCCAAAAACTCAAAGTTCACAGGACATGCTGTTTCCATTAAAAAGAGAAACAGAGAAACCATGTCAAAAACCCGCTAAGCAAATGCACAAACAACCGCTACAGAATTTCAATGGCTTTTGGACTAGTGCCATGATTAAGCGGCAAAGAGTTTTGACGATCAATGAAAGCATTTGTAGATCGTCACTGAGCCAAATTATACACAGGACCAAAAAGTAAAGAACTTCATAAGCACAAAATACAGTGAATTCCCGACTCAGAATCATAATCAAGAATCAAAAAATCGAAAACCAAGATTTGTACTCAAAGGTTTGGTCAATGAAGCTGTATAGTTTATGAATGTGTATGTGTCTAGGGATCCATATAGAAGCAGGAATCGTTGCTGCGATAAAGGGATCCGTTTGTATTGAACAAATTAGGAAACATAAATGAAACTCTTACTAAAATCATTACAAAACAAAGAGAATCAGTTTAGGTGATCAAAATAGTAATAATTCTAGGGAACAGAGAGATTCTAGAGATTTAAAAATACTTACTTTTCTTGGTCTGAAGTAGGTTTCTTCCAATAACCGAAGACTGAGACTCGAACACACCATCTGTAATTAAATAGACAAGAAAGATCGATGAGCCATCAAACCAAATCGAATTAATCTGTTATTAGAGAGTAGAACATTCGAACAGAAATTAGGGGGGGGGGAGAAACGAATCAAGAAAGTGTACCTGAGATGAAACTTGAAGAAGATAAAGAAGAAAAGATTGTGAGGAGCAGAAGAAAGAAGAAGAGAGCTCTAGAGAGGAAGTTGAGCTCCATGGTTCTTTCCTTTGGTTATACAAAGAAACGAAGAGATCTGACGAAAGAAGACGACTTTGAAGACGAGCTATGGCGAACCACGAAGATAGAGAAAAAGAGAGTCAAGAGAATAAAAAAGAAAAAGAATAAAAAAAGATGGAGGTGGATGATAATATTGACATTGGATTACAGCCTAGAAGAACGCGGAAACATGCGAGCCTGTCTTAATTCTTCAGCCACGTCTCTAAACGGTGACGTTCTATGGTCTTCGTACTTCGTAGTATACTTTTTTTTTTTTTTTTTTTTTTTTTTTTTTTGTCAACAGCCTAGCCTAAGCTCCTCGGTCCGGGAAGCGAAGCCGGGGGAACTGAGTTTATGTAGTACACATCATGAGGCTGATCTTGAGCGCTCCGTGCTAGCTTGTCTGCCTTCGTATTCTTTGTTTTGGGAATGTATGATAGGGAGAACGCCTGGAACATTCTCTTGCATTTCTCTACTTCCTCTAGCAATATCGCAAATGCTGGCCACTCTGTAGGATTAGACACCATCTTCACCATCTGAGCGCAGTCTGTCTGGAAATTCATCTGCCGTTTATTATGGACTAGCATACTTCGTAGTATACTTTTTTGATTAAAAAACAAAAGGGATCCCTAATATATTAAAAGAAAAAACAATTTAAAAGTAACTTTTAGTTATGTATTATAATATATTAAAAGAGCACTTGTAAAAATAACTTAGTTATGAAATAAGGTTAGCTTACTAGAATAATTACAAACATTGTCATTCATATTTTTGGTTAGAGAATCAAATATGTATTAAATTAATCATATATATAATTATTAATAAATAAAAAAATATCATTCTTCTTCTCTTTCCTTAATTGACAACTACGAAAATTGGTAAATAAGGAAGATATGAATTCAATTTAATTCTATCATAATAATTTCTTTTAAAATCACCATATATCTCCTATTATCTTCATGTAACTTTTATTTTATAAAATAATTTGAATCACAATATACAAAATTTAATAAAGAAAATCTAAAACTTTTCTGTACATGCTATGATTTGAATTTTTAAAAAAAAATAATATAAATTGTTTAGTACATAACCTCATTTAGTAGGTATCCAAAGGTAAATTATTATTTTTATTCCATTTAATATGTTTTTTAATTAAATTCTATAATCAAATATATTAAAAAAGTTATTTTTCTATCATATTTGAGTTTGAGTTTTATGTATCTTCCTTAAATCTATCATATTTAATATATGACTACGATCAAAATTTTATTTTTTTATCTTTTTAAAAAATAGTTTAAAATGCTTAATTTCCATACTATAAACGAATAAACGAAGACAATAATCTAACAAAAGTTAAAAATCTGTGACATAAAATTTTGAGATATTTAAATAAACATTTTTTAATAAAAAAACAAATCCAGAAACCATCACCCCGTGCAGGGCGCGGGTCAAACCCTAGTGTTGTATTATTTGTCAATTTTGTTACATATCTTTTGTCAGTTACGCTGATCTTAGCAAACAAAAAGATGTAATTTGTCAGTGATTTTCTTGTTGAAGATATTTCGTCTGTTAATAAATCTGATAACATATAAGAGTGACGAATGGTATCATTTTTCAAGTTTTCAAAACATGATTCTGTTACTCTTAAACTATCTAGAATATTCATATCTTATGATTTTTGCTATATATATATATAAGTCTGTAGAACCTATTATAGCAAATGAAACGCCACTGGTTTACTAATTACTTCATTTTTCTAAAACTCTAGTATCAGATAATGAAATCAGTTTTGGTTCATTCAATTCACTAAGATACCCAAATCAAGTTTACAGCCAAGTATTTGATGACGATGTTAAGAGACTAGAGAGTTGAGTTAGTGCACAATGAAAGCACCTGCGCCTTTCTTTTTTTTTGGCTGCGCAACAAATGAATCTACCGGTTATATAGTACTTGGAGAAATAACAGACCATATAACTAATACAGTATTAAGTAGAGTTTCCATTTCCTTGCAAGGTTACAAATTTGGCTGCTCTAACTCTGGAAACAGACTAGTACATTGTTTTAACTTTTAACCGACTTGTTTTACGTAAACGCCTAATTAAAGCCGATGCTGATGTCTGATTAATGCGAAGCATAACGACTCAATCTACATAATTCGAACTGTCCCAGATATCAAAACTATGCATCACATTTATCACATATGGGTTCGTATTTCAAACATAAACTTCTTTGTGAAGGCAAAAAGGGAAAATAGTTTCAAACTTGCACGTTATATTTACAAGGAAATGAGACGAAAGATACCAAAGATCTGCCGCGCGTAGATCTTTTATACCCTCAATTTCTGTTAATTATATAACGTGTCTCCGTTTTGGTTATCACAAAAACATAAGTAAATAGCTTCAGAACCAGCATCGCTTTCTTCGCTGCCAACATAGAAACAAAAACCAATTAATAAATCAATTTCCCTTTACTATTTTACCGGAAAAAAACTGCTACTGAAGAGTAGTTAGTTGGTGGCTTACTTCTTGGTGATGAGATTCAAACTGTTCTGTGATCTGAATCTGTTTTGTTAATGTTAAATGTAATACCTGAAGAAAAACAGAGCTCTATTTATTTAATAACAGTATTAGCTTAATCTATAAGGTCAAGATCGAGAGTGTACGTACTGATTTGGTTTTGTCGAGATCAAGTTCTAGAGACTTAATCCTCTCAAGAGAATCCGTTAATAGCTTCTCGGTTGCTTCTGGGATTTTCACAGGGATTCTACCAATCTCTGTGAATTCTTTCTCCAGCTTCTTGAGACGATCCAAACACTCAAGAATCTGGTTGTTTGAAACTGGGACCTCGACATAGTTCTCTCTTCTTTGCCAATATCCAGGCAACAAGAAACTAAAGAGAGCAAATAGCTTCAGTGGAAAGACTAGTAGTGTTTTCACCAAGTGAATCATGTTCTCGCCATTGATTTTCTCTCTAATAGCACTAAACCGCAATATCTGACCGCCTGAAATCATTTCCATTTACAGTAGGGGTAGAATTATAATCAATATAAACAGAAGTACAGAACATTAAAGAAACATCATAACATGAAGATGAAAAAACACCTTCTCCTCTAGATGTATTTGCAGAAGAAGAGTTTCCAGTATTCGTGTTATGTAAATGCGCTTGGGACCATTCTCCTTGAGCCGGTTCTGCAGATTCCACGGTAGTAATGAATTTATCACCATCTGATGTGCTAGCCTGCTGCATAAACAGGTTGAGAATGTCAATTAAAAACAAGTGTTCATTGAAGATCTGATTCAGAATCTGGCTCTTCTTTTAAAGTTTTGAGACACTGTTCCTGACAAGAATTAAAGTCACAGCAATGTACAGAAACAAAATTTTGTTCTGTTTAAAAAACAAGAATGGAGCATTAACGTCACCTCAGGCGGGTTAATGTGAATAGTGGAATCAGAATCTTTTATATGAAGATGAGCTCTTGTAGTTTGTGGTACAGGGTTTGCTTCCATGTGATGTACGAGCTGCAAAACGAGACACTAGCCAAAATTATTATTACCACTCAAGGATTCCTGAATAAACAGAAGGGAACAACAAAGAACACATGCCTCGACTATTTCAGGATCATTCCATGGTCCTTTGTTAGACCTTAAGCACCCTCCTTCGTTAGGACACTTGCATAAGCCTCCCAAGAATTCTGGAAGTTGACTGCATACAGAGTAAATAAAATTAGTATAAGATTATATACCGTACCAAAAAGTTGAATGAGGTTATCCATAAAAACAGTAACTCATGAGGTGACTTATAACAAGTTAACCTGGATTCAATTGCTTCAAGTAACTTTGACAAGGACTTTGGCTCCAAAACCTGAGTAATACAAGTAATGAGTGGTTTCTGACAACAAATGGGAGAATATCTGCAGAGCGATAATAATTACTTGTATCTTTGCAATAGTCATCGGATCAAGAAACTTCTGAGCGGCAGGCCAAAGCAAATTCCTGAATCCAATCCCTGCATTGACAATGAACATTCGGTGCAAAGTCTGCAAGAGTCAGAGACCATGATTACAAACTTTTACAGCAACCGAAACATCCATGCCCATTCGGCTCATTGAGTCCATGACATAATCTCTCCTCCCCTTTTATGCTTGGAGTAGAGTAAAATTCTTCAAAGAGTAAAGTACCTCAGGGTAATAATTGCAATCCACTTTAGCAATGGAGGCCAAGAGATTCGCAGCTGTAGGAGAAAAGTTCTTCATACCCTGAGCCACCACAAGACCAACGTTATTAATCAACGTGATCACTTTTAGAGCATCTAATAAGAGTTTTCACCATACCAGTCCTTCAACATCTAGTATTGTAGTCGTTGTAGTGACTCGTCGCTTAGCTGCAACCGAACACGCAGGAAGCTTCTCTTGAAGAGCTCTCTCAAATTCTTGAACATGGTACTTCAAGTACCGCTCTATCGTGGTAACATCCATAAGCTTACCGGGATGTGCTTTCCCGAGCCTCTCGATATATATCGGTCTACCGTCTTTATCAACTCCATGGTAACCCTGAGGATAATGCCGCACAACTTTGTCCAGCTCTTTGAAATTGAAATCCTAAAGTCAAAAGCTTGCTTTGATTAACCAAAGATGCCTCCCAAAAGAAAGAAACAGCTCAAATAATCATATCCTTTACCTGAATTATACGATCCGCTCCAAATTCTTTCCTCCATTTGAGCATTTCTTCCCACGCAGTGACTGTTTTCTCCATGTTGAATTCCATTGTTTTCAGAAACCTTAGTAAACAAACGTATTAGAGACAAACTCAAAAAGGATTTCTGAATCGGAGGAAGTTCTCTGGTTTTACCTCAACAGCATGTGGTAATCATCATGCCTTGGAGGCAACAGATCTTTATGGAGAAGCTCTTGACGCAATGTGGAAACAATCTTCTCCTCTTTCTCGTCTCTAACGTCTTCGATGAAAGGGATTTGGTAATCGATTTTCCGTTTCCCTTTTCTCTTCAACGGATGCGTGAGTTTGCTGGAGCAGCTGATTGCTTTCTTCCTCAAACTCCCGATTCGAGAACGGCGTGGCTCGTCCTCTGTACACTCGGAATCTGATAATTTCTCTCTTGTTTGTTCACTACCTGCAAATATACATTCATATTCAGAAACCATTTCGCACTCAAAACCATTTCAGTGGTGATGAAAACTCGATTTTACCTGACATATTCAGAATCAGTCAATTTCGAATTCCGGGAAGCTTAAAAGTCGTAATCTGCAACCGAACTGCGCAAAGTTAGTCAAACGCCAAAACCACGAACTGAAAAGCAAAATCATCCAACGCATAACAAAACTCGAAATCAAAAACTCTCGAGACCTAAATTCCTCGGAAGCAAAGCAATGCAGATGAAGTCGTAAAACAAAATCGCGATAGAACGCTACAAAACCCTAACGAATCATCCAAAGGGGTTCGAAGAATTATCGACATATTTATAAATAGCAACAAAAGGTGTAACAGAGGACATGGATAGAAGAAAAAAAAAGCAAAAATAGATAAGATGACGACGGTTATAGTACCTCTCTCTAAACAAAGGGATCTTCTGTAATCTATAAATTTCTCCGATCTCGAGAGATTTGGTGCACTTTTTCTCTGGGGGTTTCTTTTCATAAAGTATTTGGGGGACTCTGTTTCTTCGTAATCGACTCACGATGAAATGGCCGACATGTCTCTCTCGTTCGCAAATTTAACTCTTTCCACACCTTCGTTTCCATATAAATAAAACAAATCCGACGTCGTGTGGTTCAAGAATTACTGTATTAGTAATGTCGCCTCCACACGTTTGCTTTTGTTATTTTGTGTGTATCGGAGTATTTCTGTTACCGCATGCGTTCCTTACATGTCATGAATGCGACGCTCCTAATTAATTTTGCTCTGCCCAATTTAAAACCGAATCAAACAATTTTGGAAATAATAAACGGCTTCAGGTAGTGCTATGTTTTGAACAACAAATCATATCCACATCCAAGGTTAAATCAAAACAAACCAAACCATCCATATCAGACTAAATTATGTATTTACTTGGTTATTAAAAAAACAAATATATACTCACGCTGAAATGGTCAAACCAAATAAAAACAAAAATTGTTTCTGTCGTAAACATCACCGAACCCAAGCTCATTTTAATGGTGGCCTAACACCAAATTCATTTTTATATATTTCAATTTGAACAATACATTATGTATCTTTTGTCAGATATAGAATTGAACAAGACAAAATAAGTAGCTACATTTTCTTTAAGACTTAAATAAACCAATCAAATAGCTACGTCAACTTGAATATTTTCAATTAGAAAAAAGCAAGAGAAAATTGTACAAAATAGGACAAGTCATATTCAGTTATTCTTCTCAAGACTTTTTTAGTGGGACGGCCAATTAGAGCCAATAAGAATCTAACACCGTATTAACCTGTTAAGATCATCATAATTTGTTGGTCCACTACAAATTTCCCAATTAATATCAATGGTTGAATTTTATTTGCACGCTTGTGGATTCTTCAACACTAGCAACAGAGAGAGGAGTGATTCATCATAATACGCCGATTATTGGCTAAAAGCATTAGAACATCTCAAATATTCCAATAAGGCATAATAAAGCTCATGTACACACCCACACAAGGCTTTGAGATATAAAACTAAAAAGAAAAAGCAAAAGCAGCAACCAAGCGAAAGCCAAACTCAGTTTTTTAATTATTATTTCTCCTATTCTTAGACATTGCGCAATGTACTTGTTTGGCGGCAATCATCATCCCATAGCATACTTCTGGGTCCAGGATCGGGCAGTGGTCTCGTACTTGCCGCGGTCTGTCTTGTAGGTGTGAGCTATTTCTGGAACCAGAGGATCATCAGGGTTTGGATCTGTCAACAATGAGCATATCGACAGAAGAACCTGCGGAAAATGCAAACCAAATATTTAGTTTATATGCGACTAAAAGAATCTTTATTGAACATTATAACATATTCTAGACCACGATCAGCTCAAACTTTATGATAAAGGCATTGACTATATATACCACATAGATGTTCGTTCATGAAACCAATGGAAAGAGAGGTTAAGCCAATGAGAATAATCAAACCAGAACAGAGACACAAACGCAAGAAAGGTGTGGTGTAAAGCAGACTCATGAGATGGAACAAGCATAGAAGTGAAACAATGTGATCACCTTGGAGATGGTAAGTGCAGGGCTCCACTGCTCTTTCAGAATGTCAAGACAGATGCTTCCATTACTGTTGATATTCGGGTGATAAACCTTGGTTTTGAAAGAAACCTACATCATCAACAATCTTATTAATGACTGCCACAGAGAAGAACCTTTTACTTAAATTGAACACTCGGCTCTAAAGCTCAGGGATGGTTGATAAACTTATTCAACAAGGCTACACAAGCAGATACAGAACATGCAAATTTGTTACCTTCGGTGGCTTGAAGGGGTAATCTGGTGGGAAGTGAATGGCAACAACAAACACACCTCCGGTGAATGGGCTATCTGTTGGACCCATAATGGTTGCTTGCCAGTGGAACATATCATCACCCACGGGACCTGATTACATCACCAATTCATCAGCATCAAAATATACTAAATCAGCTACTAGTACAGAAGATGTAACCAATTTAGTGATGTCATCATAACATCACTCACCCGCACTGCATGACACTGGAGGATCCCTTTGCAGGTCCTTAAGCTCCTTGTTAATTCTTTTCGAAGCCATAGCGTGAATTGCCCTCGCCTAAAAAACAATCAAGTCTGATCAAGAAAAAGAAATTGCCATACTAATACATGTAAAGAAGCACAAGCAATACACAGCAGAGATTAAGATATTATGGGCAATCATAAAAAAAGATTCTTTACGGGAATAAGTTAAACTAAAGATAGCGACAGCTAAAGAAGACTCATGCAAGTTTGTTGATCAGCCGATGATGATACGCCGCCAGAAGAAACCAATCAGAAAATTATCGAAATCAAACGGATAATGCATTGAGAATCTAATTAAGATGTTATCAGATGAATTCAAGCCGATCAGTGAGGTTAGTGAGTAAAAAGATACTGTTTTCGATCAAACAGAGGCAGATCATCGCAAAATTCGGAAACGTATAGCGAATCACACATCGGTGAAACGTTACGGTACGAGAATAGTCTAGGAACGCGAGAGATCGACTCAAACGATTCCAAGAGAAAACAAACCGAGATATAACAGAAGGGAATGAAACAGAGATCAACGACGAAGATCGGGAGCTGGGAAAGGAATAAACCCTAGGAGAAACGATGATCCAATCGAATCGAGAATTGTCAGAACTAATTTTGACCTACCTTTCTTAGGGTTTTGAATTGATCTTCGGGAATCTCAAGGGGTTGTTTCGATGATGAAGTGAAGCAGTCGATACGCTTTAAATAGATTCCTCCCATTCGAGCGGTGAAGCTTTGCCACGTAGCAAGCTATATCCAAAATGGGCCCATTATAAGGCCCAATATTCGATTGACGGAGAACATTCCTTCTTTGCATCAATGCGAGGGACTACATTTTGTTTGTAACTTTAGTACTTTACATTAAGCAAAATTGCAAATAAATCAAAAATGAAAAAAAAATAATCTGAAAAACAAAATCCTTCAAAAAAGATTTAGAGAAAAACTAAAAATAATGAAACTTGATATGCGAATCTTGTTATAATAAAGTTTCATAACCAAGACACATGTATTTACAAATTTATTGAATGATTGATTCTTTTTTTTATTTTTCTGAGAAAAGGGTTTATATTGATTGATTGATATATTCATCTTAACGAATACTCAAAATAATAATGATGCATGTCAATCAATTAGCAAAATTTAACGCATACAACTTTTTTTATAATTAGAAGAAAAGAAAGAAAATCAAAAATGAAAATATTTAAAAAAAAAAAATCTAATTCAAATAGGATTAAAAAAATATGCATTAGCAAAAGTTAACATGCTAGTACATACAGAATAATCGGGTAACATGCATGCACACAACTAACTATACATCCAAAAACCGCGAGTAAAAGAAAATGTTTTCACTTCCTCGAGTTTTTGATCTTCCAAATTTAGCTTTAAGAATGGGTATTGCCTAGATCCACTACATCTTGTAAAAACGAGGTAGAGGGAATTTTACTAGCGATCTCATTCCCGAATTGAATATATCCCTGTTATTGTACAACTCCAAGCATAACCATCCAATCTTAAGGTTTGATGTGCCTTTATGCTGCTAGTATAAATGTAATAACCATAAGAATCATATTATCATTTTGCATTATAGAAAGCTTAATGATTAGTAATGATAACATATTATAATTTCGATTGACATCCGGATATGGAGTGCTCGAGAATATAACATTGTGTGTTGAAACAATCTTTACTTTGACGTTTATGTATATCTCAAAAACATATTATTATCGTTACCAGACAGACACATACCATCATAATTTTATGTTTTTTTTCCTGCTCGAGTACAAAGCTACTAAAATTCACTTGCAAATGGAATCAAACTTTTCTAAAGAGTAAAATAAAATAAAAAGAACAAGCACAAAGTCTCGGAGAGAGACAGAGAGACTCATCTTGCCTTGTACCAACCTTTAGATTTATCATCTGATCTCTCTCTCCGGGACAATGATAAATAGACAAACACATTCAGAATCATATATACAACAATTCTATCCCTTGGACAAGAGAACATTACTCTGTAGTCGAGAGTGGTGCGGCCTTTTTATGTGGAACTGGATCGGTTTCATACTCCTTGAGATGTGAGAGATCACAACAAATACTTTGATTTGAGGCATTTGGATCTTTACCCTTCTCTTGTTTTGGCTCTTTTCATACCGAGGCTATTGTAAGGAGAAACCGAACCGGACATTGGAGATCCTTCATCACGAAGAGTTCCATTGAGCAACGCTAGCTCACGCAGCTGCTGTTTCTTGTAAAAATCATGGGTTTCCTCCTAAAACAGAAACAGAGTAAGTAAGATCGAATGATCGTCTTATAATGTTTCAGGTGAGAAAGGGAAAGAAAAAAAACAAACCATAGGAGTAAGAAGATCGTCGAGTATTTCACGAGCTTGCATGAGACGTGCATCGACTATTTCAATGGGCAATTCTGCTTCCACTAAGATATGAAGTGGTTCATTTAGGTGCTCGTATCCCGGTTTGCCTCTCATCATTTCTTCCTACACCAATCAAAAGATATTAATGCGTCGAAACAAACTTTCAAATTATATACATATGAAAGCTGTGAAGGAATCTAATGAATACCTTAATTGGATCTTTGATGCTGCCTCTTCCTCTTATAAGAACACGGCAATCAGTACTTGCTTCAACTCTCTTCAAGGAGTTTCCTCTAGGCCCCAAGAGGCGACCAACGAAATTGTACTGTCATTTCAAAAACTTAAAGAGTTATATTTTGACTAGATAGTGAATACATTTCAAATATATTTTCAGTGTAAACTGAGTGTTCATACATTTGGGTAATTGTCGACTGGAATATCGACCCTGATTGTTCGCTTGGCGATCAGACCAGACGGACTACCAGGTGAGTTGAGCCAATTTGGTCCCGGAGACGATGGAACAGATCTCTGCAAATGATCAACAAACAAAAATTAGAAGCCACACCAATCTTAAAGCATAAGCACATATTACTTGGCATATAGTAGCAACATCAATATAAAAAGAATATCGAAACTTCCTTTCCATGGAAATGAGCACTCTATTGAGGCATTGCAACCTGTAACTGCTAACATCCTAATAATGCATAGAGATAGAGTGATCGCATTCATATAAACAAATTGTAGCAATTATAGCATTATTTCAATACTGCTAGTGAGGATAATGGAGCATCTATCTAATTAGTGTTGATCTACGGATATCAAGTGTTAGCCCAAGGTACCTGCCATGATATAAACTACAACTAAAAAAAAGTTAAATACTTTTATGTCAGCACGACTAACTAAGTCAATAAAGCTTTTACTGCAGTAGTATAAATTAGATGAAAAGGAGTTATGTTAATGGTTAGTAGTCATACTTCTGATGGAAACTGTGAGGCCCATCCGCTCATGTCGGCTCTTGCATTCTGATACATCCCTCCCGACGACAGAGGGCTTGGGTGGTCAAGCCCACTCTGGCTTAAAACTGTGGCATTCTCCAACAGTGTGGTTACACGCAAAATCTCTGTTCCAAAGATGTCAATTTCCAAGAGTAAGACGCACCAGTTAGAATTGGTCAACAAAATCAGTCAGGAGGACACCAGTGGATGGAGAGACATCATAGTTAATTGAGTTAGAAACGAATTAGCACTAGTTTTGAAGGGAAGGAAGACAATAGTCTCTCTGTGATTAGTAAGATATCTACAGCTGGTGATTATTCAATAAGTTGTTATATAGTTTGCTATACAGTCTCTTATAGCAGCAAGGAATTTAACTGTCAATCAACACTTCAACAGTATGAGAGCTTCATATTTCTGAAGCAAGGAATGAGATATTCATATTCAGTGTAATAAAAAAGATAAAGAGCAATGCTCACCCTGGTTTAGTAGGCGACATGCATGTGGAAGAACGGGTATGAATGGAGTAAGCTTGTGACGCTCTGCAAGCAACTCTGAAAGATAGCTGCCAAAACAAAAATTGTGCAAAATATCCAAATTAGCAAAGCCTCAAAGACGCAACAAACTTACAGGAAGATCCACTCAAAAAGCTCATCATGATCAAGAAACCAATTCAGATTTCAAATCTGTGCAGCTAGATTCAAATTTCCATTCTTTTGGTGAAGTGGATCTAGTCGATCTTCCTAAAAATGTGAATTTTAACAGTTTCATCCGTCAAGAACACAAATCAACATAACAGCACGAGTAACAATGATCTATAAATCCACCACAACACTAAAAATGTGAAACTGGACTGAGCAAATCTGAAGTGATTAAGCTTACAAAAAGGATCATAATTTAGCTCCCAAATTTTCAAATTCAATCAAAAGCATCAGGATATAATCATAGATACTACACTACTATAAGTCTATAAGCAGAAGAAAGGTAAAACAGAGAAAACTCGATCAAGTAATTTCCAGATTTGCGATGGAACTATTGAGATCTAAGGATTAAAACAAAGATCAACATACGTCTCCAGATACATCAGCCACAATAAGATAAGGAAACAAACAAAGCAAACAAAAGAAGAAGAAGACGAGAAAACTGAGATTCAATTACTTCTCCTGCTCAACGAAGACAGAAGACTGTGATCGGAGACCACCGGATAAGTTAGGCGACTGAGGAGCAGAAGGAGGCAGCGAAAGAGACGACGAATACGTCATAAACCTCCCTCCGCCGCCGCCACCAACTCCACCACCTCCTCCTCCTCCTCCACCACCACCGCCGAGCGACGTCATCATCATCATACCGAGGACACCGTCACAAGGAATCGGAGAAGAGTCGCCGAAGATCGAAAGACGAAGCGGCGGAGTAAGAGCAGAAGATTGTTGTCTCTAAACGTCGGTGGATTTTAGGGGTCGTTTTATAGAGACTGTTGTAGCTACGACTGTGGAAATGATTACTTGCTTAGCTGTTTTTTCACCTTCTTTCTCTTTTTATATTACGCAATTTTACCGCTCTTGTTAGTTTCTTTCAGAAGCCTCTTCATCATCTAGAAGGCTTTCACACCCGGTTTGATAAAATCGGTCTGGTAGATCTAATACCGAATCACTAAACGCTGCGTTTTAAAGCTAAGCTCTGATACGATACACATTCAGTGAGCCGCGAAGGAAGGAGGTTGAAGAAGAAGAGTTGAAAAATCAACAATGGAGGAGACGATTTCTTTCAAGAGTCTTCATAGCAGAGATTACCAAGGTCACAAGAAGAAGGTTTCTTTTTAGAATTTTTCAGTCCTCATCTGATTTTCTGTAGTTTTGAAGTACTTACGAAGCCCTAGCTTTTTTATTCTTCTCTCTAAATCTGGGGGAATTTTTGGATTGAAAGGTACATTCGGTGGCTTGGAATTCTAATGGGACCAAGCTTGCTTCGGGCTCTGTTGATCAAACGGCTCGTATTTGGAATATCGAACCTCACGGTCATGTAATTTCTTTGCCTTTGAGCTCAAATGAGACTTCCTTTAATTCAATTATTCCTTTTGGTGATTGCTACAAGTATAGTTTCCATGGAGTTTTTCTTAATGCAGATTTGAGTTTCAAATCGATTATCATATTTTTGTTATTGTCACTTGGAGTTGTGTAATTTTGATTATTTATGGGTGTGTATGTGGATACAGAGTAAGGTTAAGGACCTTGAACTAAAGGGACATACTGATAGTGTGGATCAGCTATGTTGGGACCCTAAACATTCAGATCAGGTTGCTACTGCTTCTGGTGATAAGAGCGTTCGTCTCTGGGATACTCGCAGTAAGTTTGATTCTTAAAAATGCTTATGGAGTAGCTTTGTGACATTCACAAACATTTCTCACAATCTTGGCTTTTGCTGTTGAGTTATATCGCTGAAACTATAGATTAGTGAGAATATGACTAGATATTAGTGTGTAGCTACGAGTGTGTGTTTTAAGAATCAAATCAAATTTGCTGAGATATGTCACCTTTGAGTTACACAGGTGGAAAATGCACACAGCAGGCAGAGCTTAGTGGGGAAAATATAAACATCACCTACAAACCTGACGGGACACATGTAGCTGTTGGTAATAGGGTATTGTCTCAAGCTCTATGTCTTTACACTTGCATTTTTCCTTACTGGATTGTTTTATGCGCTGCTTGGTTGATCTCTTTATCTTACTGGCCAATGTAGGATGATGAGCTTACCATTCTGGATGTTCGTAAGTTTAAGATTCTACACAAGCGCAAATTCAGCTATGAGGTAATGAAATCTCAGAGTCATGTTAATCTTTATTAATGGCTTTCTTTTTGGTCTGTTCTGTTTCATGCCCCTGCGGTTATATTTCACCTAAGTTCCTTCTTTATGTATTAAAAGTTAGTTCATGCTTTGCAATATGTGGAATGTTGGAATGTTTAGGTTTTGTTTTTCATGGCGCTGTATGGAATGTTTTCTTTTTCTTGTAACAGGTGAATGAGATTGCTTGGAACATGTCAGGGGATCAATTCTTCTTGACTACTGGACTTGGTGAGGATTTAAATTCTGATTTTTTCCTGCACGACATTCGCTAGCTTAGTTTTAACTTGTTTTTGAAAATGTATATCTTATTGGAGTGTTCTTCTGTTCAGGCACTGTTGAAGTTCTTGCATATCCATCTCTTAAACCACTTGACACTCTCACAGCCCACACAGCCGGGTGCTATTGCATTGCAACTGATCCTAAAGGAAGGTAACAAGTGTTTGCATTCATCGTCTTCACCCTCTTCTGATACACAAACGACTATAATAATTTCTGGTCGCATCTAATCCCTCTCCCCCTTTACCTTAACAGATACTTTGCTGTTGGGAGTGCGGATTCCTTAGTCAGCCTTTGGGATATGTCAGACATGCTTTGTTTGAGAACATTTACCAAACTTGAGTGAGTCTCTCATCCTTTGGGAGTGTGGATGCTTAGTCAGCCTGATATTTCAGATTAAAAGTCTTATTACTGTTTATCATCCTTTGGTAGTAAAATTATTTACTGTTTCTCACAGGTCCCCCGTCAGGACAATAAGCTTCAACCATACAGGAGAATATATTGCTTCAGCCAGTGAGGATTTATTTATAGATATTGTAAGTTACTTTTTCAGACTTGTAACACTGCTAGTTACTCTATATACAGTTTCCTCAATGTGAGATTAGTGCCCTCATATTTGACCATTGAACAGGCTAATGTCCAAACCGGGAGGACGGTGCATCAGGTTCCATGTCGGGCTGCCATGAACAGCGTCGAGTGGAATCCCAGATACAATTTACTTGCATATGCAGGTGACGACAAGAAGTCTCGTGATATTGAGGAAGGTACTGTGATACTTTATTGTTAGCACCAACACATACTCTTAAAATTGGCTAAGGAAATGAACAAATGACAAAAAAAAAAACTCTTTTGGATCTCTTCGCAGGTGTTTTCCGGATATTTGGTTTTGATAGCTCGTAGGAACAGTGTACTCCACATAATAAGCAAACTCTCTCTCTTTGGTGAATCGGAAAAAAGTTTGATGTGCTACTCAATATGTATCAACAGTGTCAAAAGTTGGAATCATACATTATTAAGTTTGCAGTTCTGATTTTATATGAATTGCAGTTTGTGTAGTAAGATCAAGTTGGAATCATACAGTATCAATGTGTTGACATGGAAAGATTGCAGTTGTGATTTATATGAATGGAATTTTTTACTTGCTGCAAAAATGGGTTACTGCTACACAAGCTGTGTTCTTTATTATAAAAAAGGGGAAAAACAAAGAATGAAACTTTTTATGATCAAGATAAAAGAATTCTGATTCCGAGTTACATTATATATCTAGTGTTTAAACATCTGCTCTCTCTACGAAGTGTGAGTGTATCGCTGCTAGAAGTTACAGGTTGTTCTTGGACCCCGAGGATTCTTCAGTCTGGGAGATTTGACAGCAACTCTCTCAAGCTGGTAAAAAGGCTAGTTGCTAAGATCGGACCAAAAGCTTCATCCTCACAATGGAGGTTGAAGAAAGAATGCAGAATCCTGAAAAGTACAACACATTTATCTATCAATGGGAGTCCAGATTTGAATTAAAGAAGCAGAGCACACGATCTACTCACCGGAAAAAAACTATTCAATAGGAGTATAAGAGTTTCAAAATCCGCAGAGTATGAACTTTGAGACAGGGAAGAACAACCCTGCAAAGCAAAGAAGAAGAAGGGTGATCAAATACTGAGAGAACCAAGTAACAGGCTTCCACTTGATCTCAACGCTTGAGCTCTTCATCCTCCTCCCACTCATTGGCTCCTTGGACAGATCAAAGCTCGACCCTTTCATCCTCAGCTCCAACACACACCGTGTAAGCGTCCTGTTATCGTTCCTCTCCCTGTGAACTCCTCTCGAAACTTTCCAGAACAAGAACAGCTTAGCCTGCACCAGTAACGCCAGAACCAGTGATGTGGCTAGTGACACTGCAGAAGGTATCCACCATTTCTTGCAGACCGCATCGCTTTTGTTCCCGTCGTCATCATCAGAGCAAGAAGATGAGTAGACGATTGTGAAGAAGAAACCGTGGAAGACGAGGAAGAAACAGCAGAGCTGAAAGATCTCTCTTTTGATTGACTCGAGCCTTGATTCTTTGAGGATGACACGGCGACAGAAGAGATCTTCTTCTCTTTGCCATAGCTTTAACAGCAACAAATGTCCTGGACTCTCTGAGATTTCAGACAACGGATGCTGCTGAATCACCTTGAGTATTCCCATTCCCGGATTCGACACCGGGACTAACTGTTGCTGTTGTTGTTGCCTCTCTTTATGCTCTTCGTCTACCGGAATCTCCACGATATGAGAATCTTTAGTTACGGCCATAGAGAAAGTAAAATTTTAAAAAGGTTTATGAAGAAACAGGGATCCGGAAATGGAAAGCAACGAGAGTTTATGAAGAATAAAAAAAGAAAGATCGATACTTTGTGAAGAAACAGAGATCAGAAGTGGAATCTAAAAGTGAGAAGAAGATAGAGAATTGACTAAAATTGCAGAGGAGAAGACTGGTTTCGTTTTTTTTCTTTTAGTAATGTTGCCTTATCTGTGATTCTGTGAAGATAGAAATTAAGATTTCAGGTATTTAAATTGTTGTTCCTTAACGGCTATTATGTACAACGGTCAGTTTTTTTTTTTTTTTTTATCGCTCAAAGACGTTTCGCTCTTACTGTTGCGATAAAAATGCGACCTTTTCTCACTGTAACGGCTATATTTTCTTTCTTTCCCAACAACGCTGGTGGTCCGTATTTGGGCCTCTGATGGGCCAAAAAATATTTCACTGTGCTTTTTAGTTTAAGTAAGCCCAAAATTGATCATTGAATTTCTATTTCACCCATATGATTGTATTAAATCATTGTATTTTTAAGAAATTAAAAAATAATGGAAATGACATTTTTAAGATTTTGTAGACTTCTAAGCACAAGCCAACATCATCAAAGGTTTGTATACTCTGGGTTGAATATTTTTATTCTCTAAGAGATGAAAACAATAAAAATTCATGTATTTACATTTCTTCATTATTAAATGCTTTTAAAAGAAAAACTTATTAATCTCTGAAAAAAAAAAAACAGAAAAACACCTAATTAATCATAAGTTCATAACTAAATGTCAACTACCAGTGGGATCCAAAATGAAAACCCAACCAATAAAATCTAAGAAATGAACTTTGAATCAAATAAAAATCAAACCATATGATTAATAAGATCATCAGCTTGTAGATCCCACAAGACATTATCCACATTGAACACATGGTGTTGTTGGTGATGATGATGGCTCCTCATCATCATCATTCCATCTCCTCTTCCTCCTTCAGATCCAATCTCCTCTTGATCCATCACCTCTCCCTTCAAATTCCTTCTCTCCTCCTCCTCCGCAGCCGCCGTCTCAGCCACCGCCGTACGTATCCCTCCGTGACCCCTCCACGCCGCAACCGCAGGTGACGCGGATCCATCATTCCTCTCTTCATTCCCAAAAGATGAAGATGATCCGTAGGAGAATCCATTCCCCATGTCCCATAGTTTCATAATCCCATTCCCATGCTCCAAACAATCCATCTTCATCTTACCAGCTTCGTTATCAACCATTTGGTTAAAGTTGTTAGGGTTAGGGTTAGCGTTAGGGTGTGAGAAGTTGATTTGGTTTAGGTCAACGCGCTTCTTGGTGAGCAAGTGAAGCATCTCGTCCTTGAAACAACCGAGGGCAGCTTCGGCGAGGTGAGAAACCTGAGGAGGATTGAGAGTAGTGGTAATCTCTGCCATTAGGTGCGAGAATGGCTTGTGTGTGACCGGATCTATTCCCATTCCCGATAACTTCTTCTTCAGCTTCGTGTTCCAATAGTTTTTCACATCGTTGTCTGTCCGACCAGGAAGCTGCGCCGCAATCAACGACCACCTGAAACATAAAACAAGGTTTATGTTTTTTTGTTTCTCAATATACTTGTTAACTGTTTGGCGCATTAAAAAAATCCTAGAATATTCATCAGCAATAATTCATTACCAATCTTTCAAAACTTATGAAACAATTCCCGCTATCTGGTCTATAAAACAAGGTTTATTGTGTCTTAACCAGTTTCTTGATTCCCAAGGAACTTGTCGACATAACCATATAATTTTTTTCATCATCAGGACGTCAGCATCAAAATTACAAAATTTAAAACAAGCCAATTGTTTGTGGGTCCATCTCTAGTTTTCTATATTAATTTAAGAGAAAACGAACTTGTCAAAATGATATTTTAATTTGTTAGATATGGTATATCAAGAGGTCATACCGGTTACCAAGAACAGAGTGAAACTTGACAATGATGTGTTCTTCAGCCTCGGAGAACTGTCCATGTTTCAGATCAGGACGCAAATAGTTCGTCCATCGTAGCCTACAGCTCTTCCCACATCTCTGCAGCCCTATTACAAACCAACATTCACCGGTCATTTATATACATTACAAAAATGATTTTTTTTAACATTAACAAGCACTGTTTTTTCTAAAGAAAGAAAATATTATAGTGGATGATCGTAGATTGTTGTGACTGAATTCAAGGAGATATTATTATAAAAAAAAAAGGAAAATAAAATTACCAGCATTCTTAGGGATGAGACGCCAATTACGAGTGCCATGTTGAGCAATGTACGAAGCCAATTTGTTGTCTTCTTCGGGAGTCCATTGTCCTCTCTTCACATTCTCCTTTTCACAACATGGAATTCGACCCATTCTTTCTTTCTTTCTAGTTTTTATCTCTTGATCTATTCGATTTCTCTTTAGTTAATTTACCCGCAAGAAAATGAAAAGAAAAAAAATGGTTAAGAAATGAAAAAAGTATAAACCAAAGACTGCCCAAAAGAATTAAAACTGCCAAACTTTGATTTCTTTCCTTTCTTGTAATCAAAGCTTTTAAATTGGAAAAGAAGAAAGAAAATGTAGGCATATATATATTATGTTTTTAAAAAATGGAGACGATAAGATTAGCATCAAATGTGCATGAATTGATTAAACTCTTTAAAGAATTCAACGCTACAGAGCGTGTGATACCCTTTGGCTGGTAGGTCACCCACTCAGCGCCTGGTCAACTCCTTCTATACATCCATTTTCATCATTCTTTGTCCTCGACTTCATATTTATCGGATTTAACTCAAAAACATAAATTACTAAACATATATGTACATTTCAGTTATTTTATTCTTCTGATATTCTCTATGCAGCCTACATCTTTTGATCGGTAGAAATGTTTGTGGAACAACTTAGGGTTTGAAACATGTATATAACTAGAGCTGTTATGAAAAGCAATGAAATCTTACAAAACCTTTTACTTTTTGCAAGGGAATGTTGTGTTCGTGAAGTACGGAGAATAATATCTCGAGGGCGTTCGTGTGCATTAATGAGCCGTGAAAAGACAGAGAATCTTAGTAAAGTACCGTTTTCTTTTGTCTCTTTCACGTACGAACTTGTACTTTTACTTTTAGTCAATAAGGACCCACTCATGTCAAAGGTTTTTGTGTGTTGTTGTAAGTACATATAATGGTGTATATACAAGCATAAACAAAATTATTTATGAAAAAATCGACTGTATTAACTATTCTTTTACTCCTGTCATTTTCATACGGATTAGATTGTGCAATTGATTTTTTTTAGTTTTTTAAAAGACCAAGTACAATTTACCGAAATGCAATGTCTCAGAACATTAATCTTACGTCTTTTTGTTGTTGATCATGTTGTATTGTGGCCTTGTGGGTACTTGACTACTTGCGTTCAACTTCAACTTGGGATTTCTCGAATTTGAATATATGATGGTTGACTAAAAAAAGAATCGCAAAACTTGAAAATCATACTTAATTTTTTCTTTATCATAACATCGCTCTGCTTTTTTAATTTTCTTCATTCATCATGTTGAAATTCTCATGAATCTTGAGACAGAAATGCAATAACAATACGTATCAAGAAAAGGAGAAAAAACGGGGAATTTTCCAAGTTTGCGCACTACGAAGAGTAAGCTTGAGAAAAAGAACCATCCTCTGACTTATCACGCAAGTAACGACTCCGACCATAACCTAACTCTCTCACCAGTGGCTCAACCATCCGCTCAGCCACTCCACTCCCAACACCAAACTCTCGTCCACAACACACCAAAGCGGCTATCCCCATCAACCACATGGCTGCAGCCACACCAACACCAACCATAGCCGCCACAAGAATCGCCACCGTCACCATCAAAACCGGAACGAAGATCAGCATCAACGGAGAAAGGGTGAGAAACAGAGTCACCGTCGCCACGAAGCTGAAACTCATCAGTCCCAGAAGCGGTCCGACCACTACCATGGCTGCTATGGTTGCAACCAGGACAGAAGGACCGGTCGTATTCTCTCCATCGGTTATGGCTATATCTCTTCTTCTTCCTTCAGGATTCTCCATAGCACTAGACCGATGTTCAAAGGATTCGAGAGATTTGCAGCATGGCTATATAGAAAAGAAGATGGTGGGCTATTGACACGTGGATGCTGATAAGCTACAGTTTGTATGACACGTGTATAGTCTGGTAAACCCAAAATGCCAAAACTATGTTCCCTAAACGTTATCCACAACGCTTACGGATTTGAACCAAACGCAAGCTAAAGCTTATCTTCAACCGATTTGGCATAACAAAGTTTAGACTGAAAAACTGAATCTTAAACACTTTGTATTAAACTTTTGTTAACTGTTTTGGTACTTTATTTTGGAATCAAGAACTGATAATACAACATAACTGATCAATGATTCGATGGAAACCTTGGTAGTAAAATTATAGTGTGATCAAAAGAATTGTTTTTTTTTTTCTTCTTTAGTAAATAACTGAAGAAAAATGGAAGATTTTGATGAAGAGGGCTTAGCTGAAATTTGACTTAACGACTTGTGGAAGAGATTTGAGAAGAGAAGGAGATGGCTTCCGAAGAGTGTGATTGAGAAGCAGCATCAAAGTAAGAAGTGTTAAAGCACCTGCTTGGTGTGCACTACCTAGTGAAACCGGAACATAACTCAGAAGCGTTGATACACCTAATGTCACCTGCAAAAAAAAAAAAAAAAAACAAATCAAAAACCCATTAATGGTTTTGATTGTAGTTTCCATGAAAATGCAAAGTTTATGTTGAGGACAAGACTAGTTTACCTGAACAGCAGTCATTCCGACAGTGCTTCCGATCAAAGCTTTAACAGCTGGATGTATGTCTAGCCTCCTTGTGAACCACCACATTGTTCCAATCGCGAGCAGTGTTGTGGTGGCGAGAAGGCGATGATCAAGCTAAAATTTGAGTAAAGTTTCAGTCTTTTTAACACGAAGGCAGATGCGGGAAGAAGCAGAGAAAGTTTGTTTCAGTGATGTACCTGAACAGTTGCTGTGTTCTCGAAAAAGTTGCGTAAAAGTGGTTTCATCTCAAATATATTATCTGGGATCCATGTATCGCCCATTTTCGGGAATGTGTTGAATGCACGACCCTGTAACGCACAAGCAGAGAGATCTAAATACTCAAGAGTTAACAGAAGCTTATATCTAAATTTTTGAAGTTTGCTTACAGCATCATTTCCAGCAACAAAAGCTCCTGAGATCGCGGTGATACCAACAATCAAGCTTACTGGTAACGCAAGCTTCTTCACTTTAGCTGCTCCACGAACCCAAGCCAGTGACTCAGCTGGTGGTTCAGGCATAACAACAGAGAGAGCAGTCCAGAAAAGTCCACAATATATGGCGAAAGCTGAGGTTAGATGAGCTGCAAGACGGTACGGGCTTACCCTCGGCTGAGAATACTCAGACGGCGGCTCCTACAGGACAAAAGTGACAACTTAGCTACACAATAGTCTACACTTGATCCAACAAGATGATCTTCAAACAGTTTCAAACAGTCTACACTAAGATGATTTGGCTTCAAACAGTTTCTAAATGCTTACCTCTAAACCACTTTTAACCATCCACCAACCAATGAAGCCTTGTCCAGCACCAAGTGCAAACAAACCAGAGAGCTTAACTCCAAGACGTAGAGTGATATACCCTTTACGCAAGAAATACGAAAACGGCAAAGCAAACATGATTCCCAATCCTCTTCCCCACATTCTATGAGCGTACTCCATCCAATATATGAACTTGAAATCCTCAAGATTCATCCCTTTGTTCACGCTGCAAATCACCAATCACAAACAGCATATTCAAGATCAAATATTTCATCCAAAGACAGCTAGAGAGCAACCCAAATTGTTTACTGACCGTTTATATTCAGGGGACTGCTTATACTTCTCAAACTCCAGACCCCAAGCTTCATCTGACAGAGGAGGGAACTCACCGGTGAATTTCCAATCAGTCATCGATAAACCAGACCGAGTTAACCGCGTCACTCCGCCGAGCACCACCATGCTGAAAACCCAAGCCGCGGACCCGAAAAGCCACGTTCCGACCCATTTCCGAGCTTGAGGTCCTCCAGTGACGAGCAGCTTCAAACCCTCCTTACTCTCTGAGCTAATCGACGCTGCTGCAGCAGTTGACATCTTCCTATACAATGAAGCATTTTGACCCTACACAAAACAGAATCTTTTATCAATCCCAGAACAATCAGCATTAAGAAACTAGAGAAATAGATACCAAAAAAAAAAAAGAAACTAGAGAAATCTCAGAATCGTCTAATAGAGAACAACATCACAAGCTCAATCCCAGTATCGTCAACATAAATCGTGATTAAAAAATTGGGCAATTATTCAAATTAAGGAAACGGTTTCTCAGGTTTGCGAATGTAAGCGAGAAATCGAAATAGAACATGAAGAGAAATGGAAGCAGAAAATTTACTTTGAGTAGAGATCGCAAGCCGTAGATGGAGTTTCCAGCTAGACGAGAAGACGAAGCAGAAGTTATAGTAGCAGCTGTGATTTTTGAGGTGAAAGCGCGATGTGAAGAGGTGGCGGATCCTCGAGCGATTCCGTTAAACGCCTGCGTGTTCCTCTTGAGGACCGATCCCACCGCGCGAAACATCTCTCACTGTGTGTATATCTCTTTCTTTCTCTAGGGTTTAAGCAAGGTTTTGGCGTTCAGAGGAACAAAGACAGACGGCAAATCAACCTCCTCCTGCAATTCCGACCCGGCCTCGTCCCGGGTTCTCGGGTTTTGCTGTGGTGGCTCTTCTGTAGACACTCAACTATCGCCAAATTATTAAAACGACGTAGTGTTTGACGTGAGGTAAACAAACGACACGGTGTTTATAACGGAAATTGAAAATTCTTAATGATACCTTGAGGAAAATATTTGTTTTGTAAATTTCTCAATCTATGTAAAGTCTAGAATTTTAGATTAATGATTTACATTGCTTTGGTAGTGATTATGATTAAAATAATATTATAATTTTTTTTTCATATTTGATTGTAGATTTAAAATCTTAGGAACTCGAAATAGTTGTGTCCTTTACAATTCAATATATTTAGTTAAAAAAAAGCAAAAAGAAAATAAATGATTTCTTGATCTGTATACAATAACCTTAAACCATTCTTAATATCATATAGAGGAAGTAACATGTTTTAGCTCAATGTATAGAAGAAATAAAATGTTTACAAAATAAGAATAAGCTATCATTTCTTCAAATTAGGTAGAAACAATTACTCCCTCTGTTTCACAATATAGGGGGTTTTAAAGTTTTTGTTTTGTTTCATATTATAAGGTGTTTTGAGGTTTTAATGAAAAATTAAATATATTTTTGTTACCTTTTACTCTTTTAATGATGAATATTGCTTTTTCATTGGTTGAATTGTATTGGAATTAATGATAAAACATACTTTATTTTGAAAATTTAAAAATTTAAATGACTTCTTAATCTTTGTGTCAAACCCTAAAACCCCTTCTAAAATAAAACATAAGGAGTATGAATTTAATATGATTCAACTCTAAAAAATCCAAAATAAACCACGTTGAATTTATTTTAAAAAATGTACTAAAATTGCTCTTTCTGACTCTTTAGATCATAAATTATAAAAACAACGATAAATTCATAAATATTTTAAATTCAAATTCGTAGTCAAGTTATTTTTATCCAAATTAAACTAGTGTTTCCTTGTTTAGATTACATACATGCTTGTTTCTTCTTGGAGTTTGAGTTTGATATTACAGGAGTTTCTTTAGTCATTTAGACATAACTGGAATAGTGTGTTAACTCGTCTGTGTATGCATCATCTCGTTGTGAACGGTGGAAGATCAATTTGACTACTGGCGTATGTATGAGAAAATTTTGGATCGATGGCATATGTATTAAGTTGGGGATCACATAACACATAGAGCCAATCAAATCAAAAATTGATTTTCTACTCTTGATTTGATTGGCTCTGTGTGTTCTGTGATCTCCAACTACTTCATGAAGCTGTTGAAACCATTAATAAAAGTGTGGACATGATTTGGTTGAGGTCGGATTCTTGTTTTCATAGAAACCAAGACTGATTTTCCCCCATTTACGTTTATCTTAGGTAAAAGAGATTCAAACTGATGGAAGGTTTTTACTGTTTTCTTTCTCCGGAAAAAATAATTTGACGATCCATTGGCTTAATTACTTTATAGCTTGGTAGAATATGGTTAAGGTAAGAAAAAGATTGATGAGGTTGAATTAGTTGACAACAGAAGAAAAAAGTATTTACATTAATGGTAAGCAATCAAGGTAATCCATTCTTGTATACATTCTCTCAATCCAGAACTCATTCTTATATTTGTTCTTCATCGAGAAACTAACCTTTGATATGGGGGATGATGACATTTTTATTCTTATGAATATTCAAGCTGGTCGACTTTATATCCCTTGTCATTAGAACTTTAGAATGGTTTAATGAAATATTACCAAGGCAATAGTCTTCAAAGCAGAAAAAGAAATGATTAAGTAGAAGAAAGAAGATCAGAGTTCTTGCGTATCTTCAAGTATCCAAACTTGCCAGCTCCAGGAGATGAACCTTCAAACACGTACGGCATAAACCCTGTTGCTTCCTTGTACTTTCTCTGAATCTGCTATTCACAAACATCTTTTAATTATTATTATTATTATCTATATAAAGTTGTAGCTCAAGAATCTTATATCAAAGAGTTTTGATTCTTTTGACCTGAAGAATCTGTTCACTGCTTCTCAAGTTGCTCCTTCCAACAACGCAGACTGTTCCTCCACTGCCACCTCCTGTGATCTTGGCCCCGTAGAGAGTCCCGCTCTCAGTTTTAGAATGCTTCAACTTCTCCATATTTTGCACTAACCTCACTAATCTGTCTGTTCCATCAGAGCCAAGTCCACACGCGCTGTAGCTATCGTGGCACTGCCAAGTAAACACGCTTGTAAGGAGACCGACTGATAACCAAAATCAACTAGCAGAGATGACTAACCATTTATATAAGTCTATATATGTATCTTAAAACTTGACTCAATAATAACAATTCCAAAACATGTTTGTGTTGTTACTCTCATGTTTATCATCAATTTATTAACGGTCAACAAACTAGCAGAAAGTAGAAGAAACTCTTGAGTTTTTGGACCATTAGACAAAGATTCTCACCTGGTACATAAGCTCCCCAAGACCAATGACCTGTTCTTCCGAAGGAGTTGCTGTCAACAAAGCTTTGAAAGCCTGATAAAAGATATATAGTTTCATCATAAAACATATATCCTTTTTCTGAACAACAAACAAAACAAAAAGTTATGCTCACCTGGACACGGAAATTCTCATAAATTGGATGTTTAGTCGGTGCCATTATGTTGTATGTACCATTTCTGTCAATGGATGTGACAGAGTCGCCATGATCACCATACTTTTCGATGAACTCTTCTCCAGTGATTGACTGTGGGAGCTTACTTGCATAAAAAGCTTGAAACCTACACCAAAACAAAAACAAATTCATTATCATCATCTGATTGGTTTTAAAAAAAACACAAATGAGGGATTTTAATCATACCTATGAGGTGAAAGGTTACATAAGTAATCCAAAGAAGCATCGGATTCCTTCAACTCCAAGCTCTCCTCTTCAGCTTCTGAGTTGGATTCAGCAAAAGAAGAAGATGCAACAGATCTTATCATTGTCTTACCAATAAATGCTCCTATCCTCACTGAACCATAGTCTGAGCCACCAACACTGCATAGTAATCAAAATGTAAATACTTTCTTGATTTTAAGTTTGCAAACAAATGTTTGGACTCAAGTGAAGAAAATTTATAGACATAAGAACCTGTGACGTATTCCAGAATCGATCCCCCAGAATCGAATGTGAGAAGGTATTTCAACAAGTCCTAATATCTCAGCAGGCTGCAGAAGAGTAGAGATTAAACGTGCGGTTGGTTATTACTCAGAAAGAATCAAGCTTTAAGTGGAAATGAAGATAGAAAGTAGAACCTGACAGATCATAGCAAGAAGCTTGTTAGCTTCTCCACAAGCAGAAGCCATTTGATCCATCACTCCACAAGGTGCTCCAACAACATAATTCTCCACTTTTTGGCAGAGCAAAGCCACATCTCTCGGAGATATTTCAAGACCTGAATGAATTCAGCTCAAAAATGAATCATCATCATCTACTCGTTAAGTTACTGCAGAGAGAAGTTTGTTACTAACCATGAGCAGCAGCGATAGCAGACATGGTAGAAACTTCAACCGAAGCAGAGGAAGATACTCCTTTACCTTCAGGAACAGTCGAAGAAACCTGAAAACGGATCCGAAGCTAGGTTAGACACAAAGATACATTGACTGTTCTTGAAACTCAATCAAGATTAGTTACCAGTATGCTAATGCTGTCTTCAAATCGAACGTCCATCTCTCTCATTAGTACAAGAATTGTACCTGCAACATAAGCTGCCCACCTAGAAAATGGAGACAATATATATCATTAAAGCATTATGATGATGATTCTTGTCAAGAATCTGAAAATGTTAAGAGAAAATATGAAACTAACTTCTGAGACGGATCCCGGGAAAAGTAATGGTTAGCTTTCTCATAAGATATTGGTTTCCCATCTTCTTCCATGAAATCAGACAAGTCCATATCAAAAGTTGGTCCTCTGTTGCTCAGCTCCGATCCAAATGAAACCTGAAAGTTTCATATTACAGTTTCAGAGAAAGGCAATGTAGAGTCAGAAGAAGAAGAAAGAAAAACAGAACATACAATTTCAAGAATGGGAGTGTCTCTTGAATGATGTCTTGCTTCGGCGTGCTTCCATAGTTTCTGTTTACTTGGATGATTCCTCTGTACAGCGGCATGGCACGCCTCTCTCGTAGGCATCTAACAAAAAACACTCTTCTGTTCAAGATGAATGATGCGAATAATAAAGATGAATCTGAAAATTGGTTCTTGAAGAGGGAAATAAACCAGCAAGACTAGACTTCCAGAGTAATCAGCAATGCCTCCCATTACATCAAGTCTACCAGGTGCCCTCGCCACAAAAATATCCTCCTAAATGGTCACACAAAAACATAATTTGTTCCTCATAACACACAAACACAAAATTCAAAGAAAGTTTGAATCCAAACCTCCCAGTTGAAAAGTGCAGCAGCTGCTAAATGCTCCCTTTCTTGATGATGCCCTCCTATTTTAGCTAATGTTGCCAAACTATCCAAGAAACCGATTGTATCTGAAAGGCCATGGTGATCTCCATGAAGAATCTCAAAGCCTTCTACAAACCTGTTTTAAAAAAAAAAAAAAAAAAAAAATCATAAGAGGTGAATAAAACAAGATTCCCTAATTTGAAAGATACAAAGTCCACAAGGAAACACACTTGGAGGGTTTCTGCTTTTGATCAACCGAAGGAATATCAGCTTCATTTCCAGCGACTTGATACCATTCTGGAACTGAATGATCTCTCCCTGGAGCTCTCTGTAGCTGGAAGCCTAGTATTATTGCATCTCGGAGTCTCCTCGCCCCGCTTAGCTGCATTACCAATGTTACAAATGAATGGCAAACTTATCTATACGAATCAATCATAATGCACGTTACTCAATACATCTGCATTTCTCAACATAATCTGAAGTAACCAATTAGCATTTTTCTTTCTTGTATCACTCACATTGAGTTTAGAACGTTTCTTCCCCATTGCTGTGTCCTGCAGTATCTTAGCCGCCACCTGAATACAGAAACAAGCAGGAGCAATTACATCATCAAACAGAAGAAGTTTTCCTGTATATATGAAGAGTTTTTTGCACTGTCTTTCTACCTCGCCACCATCAGTGTCTCCATTGTAACACGGTTTCAGTGTAACCGCACGCTCGAGATAAGGCGCCCAACATCCGGAAAGAAGATCTCTTCTGATCATTTCAACTCCTCCTTGGTAATACTTTTATGCAGAAAACAAGAATTCTCAAGAGAATGCAAAACAAACATATGCAGACTATGAGTGTGTGTGTGTATATAAGCTCTCTGACCTCAAGCATCTTTCTTAAGAATGGTTCTTCATTGAAGTAGTCCCTTCTCACAAAAATGAATCGTAGCTTGTATGCAAGTGCTTCACTCACGGTCCCATATCCAATTTTTCCTGAATTTTGTTGTCGTTAAATTAGTTAATCAGCACAATGTAACGGTGAAAGACTCATATACATTAGAGGAACAGATGTTTAACCAAGCATGCAGTCTGAAGCAGCAATCACATCAGGGGTATAAACATCTTTTGGAAGTGCTATGAAGTTTGGAGGAAGCTCTTGTTTAGCAGAATCTCCACAGACCTATTATATATTGCATGTATTTTCTCATTTATGATCTTATTTTTCAAAATCAATCAACCAAGCCAAGTTACATAAGAGAACTAAATCTTGATATTACCAGGCATAGCCAACCAGCTGGAAGATATTCCTCCTTCAGTTTCCAACCAGTTTGCTGCAAATTTACATCATCAATATTGTGTAAACCAAAATCTCTAAATGTAAGAAAATTTTGCTTATTGAGGTTCAAAGCTAAAAGAGAATTTGCTCACTTGGCCACCAAAGTTAAAGATGAGTAGTTTCACATTTTCTGGAACTCCAAGCTCTTTCCTAACCTGAAAATGACAAAAAATTGGACTGGTTAAAAAATCTGACAGAAGACATAGTCCATTATTAAAAAGGTGTTTTTTTCTTCTTCTGTTTTCTCAAACCTCTTCTCTAGATTTATGCAATGGCCTGACAACAAGGGGAATATCAATAACGTCATGGAAAGCAGGCACTGTATACGAACAAGATTTAGTTTCTTTTAGTACATTTTAACCAACAAATTAACGGATTTACCATCTTGCTGCGTCCAACCATAACTTACTAGGACAGTATCCAGGTAGACGAATCAGAAACTCGCAGTGCGAATAATCCTCAGCTATCTGAAGTAAATCATCACCAAGAAACCAATGAACTGAGAGAATCAGATCTAAAGCTTGTATCAGTAGAGAGATTATCACCTGCCAAACAATGGATCGGTGATGATGTCCTGCTGCCATCACATACTCTGCATATATAAAGTCCCAACTGCAATGATCACAAATTCACAAAATCTTAACTTTTCTTTGAGATAAATATAAATGTTACCACAGACCTTAAGCCATCTCTACCATAAGCCAGCTTAAAGAATTTGACAGACCTGAAGTTGGTGACGCAAACAGAGCGGATTCCGGCATTTGCTGCAGCTCGGCAAGCGATGGGGACAACATCTGAGACCTGTTTTGACAAATATCTTCTTGATTTGGTTTTGAAGACACACACTAAGAAATATGGAACATTGAAAATGAATTCTTGGAAGTACCACAAGGTTGGCATTGATTGACTTTAGCCACTCAACCTCTGTGGCTAAAATAGAGTCTCGAGGTTCAACAGCAATCTCGCAGTACTGCAAATTTGACCCAGAGAAAAAAATCGTTGCAGCTAAGAACCTAATTGTCTAAAGGAGAAGGAGGAAGCTTCTGAGAGAGAGAGATTAGTGGAAGAGACCTTCTCCAAGGAAGCACGACGATCCACGGTTAAAGCATCAGCTTGTACGGATCCACTGTCCAATAGTACCTAACAATCACCTCCAGTAACACAGTTTGTTTAAAAACTGGAGACCAATCTTTCGATATGTATCAGAGACTGAAACAATCAATCTCCTCGCATTCTTACAAAGTAATTACCTTTCGAATAGAGAGATTGGGTGAGTGAATCTCCATGGTGAAAACAAACTCTGGAGCAGCAGAGACGACATGAACTCGATGTCCAGACGATATCAGATGCCGAACCACCTACGGCCATTACATGAAGAGAGAGAGTGAGAGAGATTTAGGGAGATCAAAAATGTAATGATCTCAGGCAAATATATGGAGATCAATAATCAAACCTCGACGACACGAGTGGCGTGGCCAAAGCCACGGCCAGTAACGTAGTAGGCGAAAACCAAAGAAGGCCTTGATGATTCAGACTCAGACATTGGAGCTGTTTGTGTTTGAAGCAGAGTGGGCATTGCAATGTGTTATATTGTATTGGTAAATCTTTATTTTTGATTTTAATGAAAAAAAGGTTTTTATTAGTTAGCCATGAATGGAGAGAGGAGAAGATGATGATAAGATAAAGCGAAATGGATTTCTGAAGATTGAGATAGAGAGAGAGAGTAAGAAAGGCGTTACACTCGAGCTAAATCTGGAGTCTACCGATTTATTCTAACAACCTAACTTAGACGCACCCTCTCTTACCTTACGTGTTGCAGGGGAAAGCTGTCCTTTTTTTTTCACTTTGACACTACCTTCCAAATTGTACTTTGTCATATTTTTTTTTGTATATTTCTAAGTTTAGAGATGTCAGTGATATTTTCTTCCATTTTAAAGGATGATATTATCTAAAACAGAACTAGCTATATAAGAAAAACAAAGATATGAAACCTGAAGAAAAAACTTGAATTCTTTTTCTTTCAATTTAGCAATTTTCTCTCTTAAAGTTTAGCTGATCTTTTTTCCTTAACTTTGAGAAGAGCAAAAGGATAAAAAAAGAGAGCAAAAGGTACCAAAGCATACACATTAAACCATCACAAAACCAAAAGTGACAAGGTAATTTCGTGCCCTACTGTTGAATTTGAACAGAGATTAGCATAAGTTTCATAAGATGGAAGACAAAAATAAAAGTTTCGACATTTGGGCACACCCACGGGCCATGACAAAGTCGTAGTTAACAAAACTAGAGAAGAAACCCAAAGAGTAGTAGAAGACAGATTCAGAACTTAGAAAGCCTGACTTAGTACTGCCTCTGTCTTTTGCCTGAAACGCTTGTGGATTGAACCGCCGCAGTGCAATCCCTAGCCCAATGTCCTGGCTTTCCGCATTTGTAACAATCTCCACCCGAGGAAGAGCCAGACTTTCCTTGCCCTGACTGAAACTGTTGATTACCACCACCAGACTGACCCGTCGCGGTGCAGTCTCTCGCCCAATGTCCAGGCTTCCCGCATTTGTAACATTCTCCACCTGAAGAAGAGGAGAAAGACTTCACTTGCCCTGGCTCAGACTTCAGATTACCAGCTTGAGCGGTGCAGTCTCTCGCCCAGTGCCCTTCCTTCCCGCACTTATAACAACCTCCAGCTGCCGTGCTAGACTTCACTGGTCCAGTTTCGGTTATCGGAGTACCAGACTGAACGGTGCAGTCTCTTGCCCAGTGTCCTTCCTTCCCACATTTGTAACAGGGCGTGCCTGTTTTCGCAGTTTGATATCCTCTGGTATCTGATTCACCTGAGTTTTTGCTGCTTTTGGTATAGCTATACGTTGTGGGAGAGCTCACTGCGTTATCACTGCACCATTTGAAGAAACCACAAGAGCCCTGCCATCAAGAGAACGCCATGTTATCTATCACACACACACAATCAGAGCCAAGCAAGATTCTACATTTATTCCAAGTGATGGTTCTTGGCACTAGTTGTATGAAAAGGCTCCTGATCTACCGTTTAAAGCTTATATGATAAAAAAATTATCGAAGTGCACATAACGTTTTTACTAACCTCAAACACTGGACAGCGATAAAACTGCCGGCCAACGTTTTCACCAGTTTTAGCAGTGAGAACACGGCACAATCCAGCATTGCATGGACACTGATGATCTGGGAACTTGGATTCGTTAGTGTTGCCATAGCTATTAGTTCCCGGCTGAGTTCCTGTAGACTGAACCACCGCAGCATCACACCACTGGAAAAACCCACAACCTCCGTTTTCCTGGTGAATCATTGTAGCTTTCTCAGTTCCAACATTATTTTACTACAAACTAAGCATAAGTCACAACAAGCCAATCCATTTTCCAATCGTTTTCAATGAATGAAACTATTCTCATTGGCATTTCATCGAACACATAGGACGCATAAATGACTACGAAAACAAAGAGGTAACAAAGAAACATTTAAGGACCTCTCTGGTGGGGCATTTGTAGAATTTGCGGCCTGGATTCTTCTGAGTGTTTGATGTGAGAACCAAACAGATACCAACACCACATGGACAATTCTTCTCCGGAAACTCCTGCTCGCCGGATCCATAATTTCCGGAGACGGCTCCTCCTCCACCGTCTGATCGTTGAAAACCGCCGCTGGATTTGAAGGCGGGATTGAGCGGATTCTGCTGCCATTGCTCGCTTTTGCTCCCCTTCAGAGCCGCCATGTAAGGTCCTTCCGGTTCCGGGATAGGGACAGGGCTAGGAGCGACCCTAGGGCGTTTGGCCAACGCCGCTTCAGCTTCCGCTTCTGCTGCGGCGAGTTCCAGTAGGAAATCATCTGATTCTTCCAGATCTTCGAACGGAATCGTGCCTCTCTCCATACTTTTTCTGGCTCGATTTCGTCTTCTCGATCTACACTAGTGTGATTGTGAAATTGTTTCTCTCTGTGGAGTTTTTGATTTTGGGAATCTTTTAGGGATTTTCCCGGTTTTTATTTATTTTCCCACTGCCGCTTCGCTTGCTTTATTTTGATTTTTGCTGCATTACAAATGAAACGTATACAAGCTAAAACAATTTGCAAAATCATATGTTACTGGACTGAATTGTCTTTAGTCCAAGCCCATTACAGTCAGGCCCATATTATCTTCGATTTTCTCCGCTTATGCCTCAAAATCTCAAATGCAAAAATGGTTTGGCGTAGTACGTAGTACATACACTACAACATAATATTGTCTACTTCAGTTTTTTTTTTTCTACTTATGATTTACGTACGAAGTGCAGCTGAAACACAACCTAACCCTTCGATAGAAATATACTCAAAGGTTGAACGCCAATTCAATATCGATCGGAAAGGTTTCGGTTCGGTTTAGGGTTTTGGTCTTTATTTTGCATTTTGTATGTGATCTTACTAAACTAATGGCGCCAGCAGTGTTTTCTTATCTTAAGGGTTTGAAGTTTTCGAGTTCATACATCTCCTATGATTTGGAGATTTTCTTTTTAAAGAATTACGTCGCACTCAAACAAGACTATGTAACGCACTTAATATATTTAGTATAGTCACCATAACTATTTAATGCATTGAAGAAAGTAATTCTTACTATAGTATTAGTATGGTTGATTTTGAAGTCTGAAAACAAAGTTGCTTCTCTCTTTTATAGGATCGTTTAAACTATATTCAGTGTTACGTAAACTGGCTATTCATTTTAGGGCCCTTCGGTTTATGCAAGAGGCACTAACATTTTTTTCTGGGTAAGCAGAGGCACTAACATTAATAAGTGTATATGTAACATCAATCAACTGTAAACCCTAATCTGTTTTGACATATTTATTTAAATATTACGTAAAAGAGATGTCATTTTGACATCCAAGAAGTAAAAGTTGCAAGAAACCCTAGCTGTCTAGAGAGAGAAAAGGGGAATTTTTTGGTGAACATCTCTGGCAGCTCTCATAGGGCTGGTCCAGCTGGAGCTGAATATTTTCCATTTTATGGTAGTTTACATACTAAAGATTTTACGTGATTTTTCACCTCTTTCTTTTTATACGGTGGCTTTCTTTTCAACAAGTTGTTGGGTAAATCCTACGATTTTGTAATAAAATATCATTCAGTGTTTTAAAAAATGTCATTTTGGTATAAACATTTACATTATGTTCAGAACAATTAATTGTTAAAACATGCTTTGAAATATGTTTAATGTAAATGTAAATGTTTATCTTCAAAGGATATAGTATAGTCTACGTTTTTATTAATTAGTGTAGTCGCTAGCTACTCCCATGTGTTGTTGAAACAAATTATCTATATCTTTTTTTATATATAAACAACCAATTATCTATATCAAAGTGAATTGAGTGAACCTAGCCCAGAAGAATAATGATTTATTCCCCACAAAGCATGTGCGTGAACGGAATCTAATATTTTGATGACTGTTTTATAATTCAACGATATATAATATGAAATCCAAACTATATGTCATATTTATTTCATATAGAAAAATACGGTACATATTCGTGGCGACTTAACGATGTTATGGGACATGCCTAATTTACCAACTCTGACCATACGTTATGGATACTATTGAAAAATGAAAAATAAAACACAGGAACACGCATTTAAGACTAAATCGTGGTAATCACGAGCAAAGGCGTACGTACACGCACACATCACTAACTAATGCAATTTGTATACACTTTAGTGCCACCAAACGTTTAACTAATTAATTTTTGAATTTATTTTGTTGCGTATGCGGTTATTCATTAAAATGTTTACTAGTATATTGAAAAAGCATGCATTTCTTACTAGTTATGAAACTAAATGGAAAATATTCATATCGTGGGTTAAATTCATTTATTATTGTGGTAGTTTATGCCTTATGGTACGTATATGAATCGAATCGTCGAATCAAATAAATAAACAACAAAATTTAGCTGAAAATGGACCCCACAAGTGTCGATAAATAACGACCCCTTGCCAGGGTTAAGGCCACAACACAAGCTTTTTCCAAGTCTTGAAAACATTACAAAAACTCTTTCTCTCTCTCTTCATAGTGTCGACATGGCTTGCGAAAACAACCTGGTTGTGAAACAAATCATCGACTTGTACAGCCAAATCTCAAACCTCGAGAGCTTAAAACCATCAAAGAATGTCGACACTTTGTTCGGACAACTCGTGTCCACGTGCTTACCAACGGACACAAACATCGATGTCACAAAAATACACGATGAAAAAGTCAAAGACATGAGATCTCATCTCATCAAGCTTTGCGGTGTAGCCGAAGGTTGTCTAGAGGAACACTTCTCCACAATCATAGGCTCTTTTGAAGACAACCCACTTAACCATCTACACATCTTTCCTTATTACAACAACTACCTAAAACTAAGCAAACTCGAATTCGATCTCCTGGCTCAACACATAACCCATGTCCCTACTAAAATTGCCTTTATCGGTTCGGGTCCGATGCCACTTTCATCCATCGTCTTGGCCAAATTTCACCTTCCCAACACAACGATCCACAACTTCGACATCGACTCACACGCTAACACTCTCGCTGCAGACCTCGTTTCTCGCGATCCGGACCTCTCCAAACGCATGATTTTCCACACGACCGATGTGCTAAACGCTAAGGAAGGGTTAGATGAATACGATGTCGTTTTCTTGGCAGCTCTTGTTGGGATGGATAAAGAGTCAAAAGTCAAAGCTATTGAGCATCTGGAGAAGCATATGGCTCCTGGAGCTGTGCTGATGCTAAGGAGTGCTCATGGTCTTAGGGCTTTCTTGTATCCAATCGTTGACTCTTGTGATCTTAAAGGGTTTGAAGTGTTGACCATTTATCATCCGTCCGATGATGTGGTCAACTCGGTAGTGATCGCACGTAAGCTTGGTGGTTCGAGTGAAGCTCGTAGCAGCCAGATCGGACGGTGTGTGGTTATGCCTTGTAATTTCTCCAAGGTCCACGCGATTATGAACAGTCGTGGTATGAAGAAGAATATGATCGAGGAGTTCAGTGCCATTGAGTAAACAGGTAACTATAACACATATCTTATATTAAACCCTTTATCAGAAAGAAAAAAATACATGTCTTATATCTTAAGAGTATGTGTTTATGTTTTGCTCTTTTCAATTATCTGTGTTTGTTGTGATGCTTGTGCTATGTTTATTAAGTATTACTTATAAGTTTGTCAATTTTGTGAGTCCTTAATTTGATCTTCATCATGAGTGTGAAGATACAGAACCTTGTTGTATGTTCTTTTTATACGATCAATAAAAAATAAACTTGAGAATCCGCATATATTGATAATTCATTACGGTTAAATTTGTGACTGAAATTAAAATGCCTGGAAATAAAAAGAAAACAAACAAAAAAATTGTTATGGACTAAGCAAACATAAAATATATTTGTAAATTATTATATAAAGGTTGAAGATTCGTTATACTTTTTCTATATCATATATATATTTGGAGAAACCTTTTTTTTTTTGTGTGTGCAAGGAATATATATTTGGAGAAACCATGTCCAGTTTATGGAAGAGAAAAAAAGGGGGGGAAACTTAGTAATATGTTGGTTTAGAAAACCAAACATAGTTAAGTTCCAATACAAATATGACTATCGTCAATTACAAAAGATTTAATAAAAGAATTGTTTCGTAAAAATGAAAGTATATGATTTTCCAACAGGGAAGCTAGAGTCACTGTAGCCTCCATTTCCTTTCTTGTTGGAATAACCAGGATAGTGATTTAAGCAAAACTCCATCTCACGGATCAAATCTAAACCTTCTTTAACACCCAGAGTCTTTAGCTTCCACTCACTAAATGGATATTCTGTCTTATGAATCACATGAATCTCTCCTCCTTTGTCTTCGTCTTTCACAAACACTCTTGCACTCTTCATAAACCCTCTCACAAGTTCTTGGTGTCTCCTGTACACATAGAATACAACGAAACTAAAAAAAACAAAACGAAAAAACAAATGTTCTTAAAATCAAATATGCTTTATTAGACCGGTCTGACCATGATCGGAAATGGATTAAGATATGTCTACTACTGGATCCCTAATTCACTACTGCCTTGAATATGAATTTAAAATCCAGTGAGACCGATTGAGCTCAATAATATAGAAACCAAAACAATCATTTCTTTCCCTACCTATTTAAAAAAAAGAAAAATAGAAAAAGGAACAAAAAGAACAAGTAGAGGAGTTCACAGTGCAAGTGGTATACATATGCATACATGATTGTTTTGATTTCGTGCTCACGACCATAGTCGAACCCTGCGTGAGGGAAATTGAAGATGACTCTGTCATATGTAGCGGAATGACCAAGGCTTGGATTGGTGGTCATAGAGTGCACGTTAACTCCATAGACCACGCTGCACCCCATTCTCACTAACTCTTCTGCGTTTGCCTTTCCATTCTTGTACTTACGCTCTAGCTCCCCTACAACATTAATCAACAATTATCATAAGATAAGTATTAAACTTTCTTTCTCATTATCTCATACACCTAATAGACAAATGTTTAAGCCATTGTGTGAAAGACCATCGCAAATGATTTGGTTACTTGTTTTGAAAATTTTCACTTATAAACTTAACATTGCAAGAAAATATACTCCAAATTATATGGATATCAGAAGATTAGCTGTATAAGAAGGGTATCTCTATATTAGATCATAGCAGTAACGAAATTAAGAAATATAAAAATAAGATGTTGATTTACCATGAGTATCGAGAGTGGTAGCGGTGAGGTTAGTTGCAGAACCAAAGGCTCTAGCTAGAGACAGAGAAAAGGAGAAGTCTCCTTCTCCAACCAAAAGTATTTTTTGCTTGTTACTGTAATGTCTTAACCTTTTAGTTTCCTGGAACTCCATTTCATCTGTGTAGGCTCTTGCTTATCTCACTTATGTATTCATATAAACATGTACACATATGTATTTATGGATGCATGCATGGGTCAAAGAGGACTTAAATGTTTGGCTCTTCGAACTTTGTGGGTATTTAATATATATATGCAACTCAAAAAAGCATTTAAGATTCTGTTCATGTATCCTTTCGAAGACTAGAGTCTAGAGTCAAACCTTCTTTCTTGCCCAGAGTATATAGAATTATAGATACATAACTTCAGTACTACAATCTCATTGATAATGCATCCGTTTACACATGTACCTTTATTTTATTTTCCAACGGTTCAATTCGGTGGAAATCATATTTTAGGTATGGTAAAAGAGATATACCGAAATATTCTACATCGATAGTTCAACGCTAGAAGCCTAGAAGATAAGGAAAATACAAGCCATGTTTTGCTGTAACGTAACTCTAGCTTCGTTTTATGCGTCACGTGAATCGCTAATCAAATATTTGAAGTACACTTACATAAATTATTTTTAATTTTATCATGCAGAAGTTGATGTATTAAAACTGACAAATACAATAAAATGAAAAATCTTAAAATTCGTTAATCTTAACATCAGAAATGAACATATAGAGATTTAAGAGATGACTAGGTATATCCCATCAGAGAAGACTAGGTACCTCATCAGTGTGATTTGTTCTAGTGGATAAAATAAACATCATGATTTGTTAATTTTAGAAACTCTATATTAATTTTATAAATGTATCATTTTGAAAACGCTGAAAAAGTAAAAGAGATACAGCAGCCTTTTAGGTCAAGTTTTGGTATTAGCGCATTAGCCAACATACATAAATAACTTAAAAGACATAAATGAAAAGTGAAAACTCACATGAACCAGCCCAGTAAAAATTACTTAAAAGACCAATTACCAAAGCAAGAACAAACCTAGCGAAATGGAACTCTACGAAAAAGAGTGGTCTCATATCATGTGAACACTCATTTTAACACTCATATCATGTGAACACTCATACCATACCCTACTTATACCTCAAGCATTTTTGATAAAAAGGTACAAGCCATTCGTAAACACGAAAGTAGAAGAAAGCCCAACAGGGAAGCTGGAGTCACAGTCACCTCCACTTCCTCGCTTGTTGGAGTAACCTGGATATTGACACGTGTCAAATTCCATTTCTCTGACACAACGCAAATGTTTTTGTTTACCAAGAGTCTTGATATTCCAACTGGCAAATGGAAACGCTATCTTATGAGTTACATGAATCTCTCCAGTGGCTTTAACCATCTCCCTAGCACTCGTAAAAAATCCACTCACCACTTCTTGGTGTTTCCTGTATCCTCGCACGCATACACATGATTATCTTTAGCAAACCAAAAACAACGAGATATACATATATACGAAACAAAATTTTACATACAAGATGGTGTAGCTCTCACGCTCAAGACCAAAATGAAACCCTGCATGAGGAAAGTTAAAAATGATTCTATCATATAGAATCGATCGGACTACGCAGTAATCTGTGTGCATAGAGTGCACGTTAACACCGTGGACAACGGTGCACCCGCGTCTCTCCAACTCTTCTACATTATTCTTGGCATCCTTATACTTCTGCTCCAACTCCTCTAGTATGATTTTTAAACGCAAATTTAGAAATATCCGAAATAATAATTAAACATTTTCAAAATACAAATACAAACAAAGAATGATAGATCAAGCGTCTAAAATGATAGATCGAGCAATACTACAAAGAAAATGATTTTTTTTTCTAGTTCTTTTATGAAGAATGTGTATCTACGTACCTCGAGTATCAAGAGAAGTTGCAGTGATGTTAGTAGCCGAACCAAAGGCTTTGGCTAGACATAAAGAAAAGGAGAAGTCTCCTTCTCCGACCAGAAGTATTTGCTGATTATTATTGTAATGACCACAGTGTATCGTATTTGAAACATCAAACATCCATGTCATCTGCATAATTTAGCTCCTCTCATCATGCATATATATAGTTATAAACGGATATGGAATGCATGGATCGATGAGTTTTTTTCTTCTCTTTGTTAATTTGGCTCTTCGAACGTTGTGAGTAATTATTTAATGTTGACGAGCATTGATCATTATTCACTACATAAATCTTTACAAACACAAGAATTCAAAACATTCTTTCTTGACCAGCGTCTTTAACCATTAACAACACTATTTGGTTTCCAACATGCGTATTAGCATCGGGACGACTAATTTGTTTTCACCGAATCTAATTTGTGACGATTTGTTTACTAATCAGCAGTTTTTACGTATTTATTCTCCATCCTATAAAATTTGTAACTATTTTTCTTTTACTTAAATAAATAGTGTGTAGATGATATTGTGCCAAATAACTAGAAAATCGAAAGTCCCTGGTTCGGTTATGAAAAGCTATAATATTTTTAAAGATTGATTTAATCTATTTCCACTACTAAATAAAATATGGTTTAGACTGTCAGGGGATCATTACCTCAAGGTTTTAAACTAGAAGGCGATTCACAAAGTAACTGTCTCTATTCACAAATTTTAAGCGATTACTGAACATCCGAATTTGATTGAACATGTATATATATACTCTTTTTCAAACTCAAAATCATAAATAACTATATACTCTCAAATAAAAAAGGTTCATTTAGCAACAGATTTACAGTTTCGGTTATATATGGCCTGAAATTTTAAGCTTTGTTACTATGACATTCGATAATTTACAGCGTCTTTATAATATTAAATTTTTAAAAAGTAACAAAACATGAGAAACATGAAATCATGAACGTTGAAAGGACAATAAAGGGATTACAAAACTTTAGAGGGAAAAAAGCTTTTCCTTAGTCATGAAGTGTTTAGGGAGCCACACCTAACGACACACAATCTCACAAACATTACCGAAAAGGAGAAAGAAAATATAATGGAAAAGGGGAAATAATAAAACAATGTATAGGAGTTCGAAACTTGGACTGAAACACAAAAGCAGCAAAGAAGCAAATTTGTATTCTGGTTGCATAACTTAAACGATCTCTTCTTCGAAATATCCAAACTCATACTTTTCACGTAATTAACTAAACTTTTCTGTGTATTGAATTAGTTATGTTTTATACCAAATAATCTGATAGAAATTCATTTTATCCTACATCATATAAGTATTTAAAAATAAATAAATTGAAAACCTATCTTTAGTAAACGAAGAATTATTTTCTCAGTTTTTTAAATATGAAACTATATTCTCATTGATTTCCAATCTTTGTATCTTTTTTTCACTAAACCGTCATCATTATTTTTTTATGCTTTATATAGTCACTAGATTAAGACCCGAATATACGCGGGTTTATTTTAAGATTTTGTAATAAAATCATGGAAAAGTATTAAACCAAATTTGATCATTTTAAAGTAAACAGAATAATATTAAAAACCCGATAAAAAATTTAAATAAAATAAGATCGGTAACCTTTTTACGTTTTTATTGTAATTGATATTTTTTTTGAATTCATGATATAAAAAATGAATTAATTTGTTTTATTTTATTTTTATCCAATATAGAAAGACTTATATATGTCTAAATATGATCAACTGATTAATTAATTCAACAAAACTTTATTATTCCATTCAAGAGATTTCAATTGATGAAATCTTTATTTAATAATTTTTTACCTAACAATATTGAAAATATATTAAACTATTTAAAATTAGAATATCGGTTCATTATATTTTCTTAATATTAGTTAGTTGCTTGATAGTTAATTTGTTAGTTTTCTATTTATATTGTTTCTTTTTCAATTTTGTTTTTGACTCAGACCATTATAAATTTTCAATTTCATTATTAGTTAGTTTTTTTATTATCATTATTTTTTCTTAATATTAGTTAGTTGCTTGATAATTATTTGTTAATTTTCTATTTATATTGTTTCTTTTTCAATTTTGTTTTTGACTCAGACCATTATAAATTTTCATTTTCATTATTAGTTAGTTTTTTTATTATCATTATTTTATTACAGATATCGCAATTTTGTGAGTTATAAAAATCATACGTATTGCTATCATGTTGTTTGCTTTGATGAGTTTGTGAATGAGAAAAAAAAAGACTACTTTAACTCTCTTTTTATAGGGGTTTATGTAACTTATTCCATGCAGTTATAGGAAATTTAGTTTACCTGTTATGTTTAGTTAATCTTTTATAGTTAAAAGAAAAAAAATTATATTTGTCATATCCTAATAGAAAAAGGTTTTTCATTCATCAAATTTATATTATTCAAACCTATTTCATGTACTAATAGGATTTTATTTATTTCATTAATTTGAATCTTATATGTGTTTGGATAATATAAATTTGATGAATGAAAAACTTTTTCTATTAGGATATGACAAATATAATTTTTTTTCTTTTAACTATAAAAGATTAACTAAACCTAACCTATTTCATGTACTAATAGGATTTTATTTATTTCATTTTGAATCTTATATGTGTTTGGATAATATAAATTTGATGAATGAGAAACCTTTTTCTATTAGGATATGACAAATATAATTTTTTTTTCTTTTAACTATAAAAGATTAAAATTTCGTTTTTTTTCTTTATCTAAATTTTTTTAATTATTATTTTTTTCCTTTTACCTAAGACACATGTCACGATCTTAACGGACATAACATTAAAAGTGACACATGTCGCAATCCTAAATTTTATAAAAATCCTACGTGTCGCAACCACGTCGCGCGCATCCAGCTTTATATAATAAGATTATAATCTCTTTTATATGACTCTCTTCCATTTTTTTACTCTATTTACAAAAAAAAATATATATATATATTAAATTCTACACAGCAGTCTAGAATAAATTAATGATTTTTATCAAATCGACCAACTCTTGGTATCTTTTCATATAATTTAACGATTATATGCCCAAAAGTCATCCGTATTCAATCAAAATTCACCTGCTAAGTGGAAAAAAAATTTGTACGTAATACAATCTGTCAATCTCCCCCATCCATAAAATAGGATTTTTTATTTGCATTTATAAGAATGCATGTAGTTTTCAACATAAACAGCCAGTGAGATTTGCTTTTCAAATTCTTCAAAACAACACGCATGGTCCCACTCTCCTCTCTACAAAGACAAAACCCATCCCATTAAGCAAAAGCTCCCTCCTTTTCCCCACTCACACTCTCTTTTTCAAATTCATACAAAAACTTTTGCTTTTTTTCTATTTAACCAAACACCATTACACATTCACAAAATTTCCTTCAATCAAACACACATTTAGTTCTCACACAACCAAGAAACTCAAAAAGACAGACACTTTTTAGAGTTTCTTCCTTCTCCTCCTCCTCTCCTTCTTCAACAATCTAAACATCATCAAACCAATGTCAAATCAGCTTCCTCTTTCCCCACAGCCACAATCGCAGTCACAACCGCCTGAAACGCCTCCATGGGACACTCCGTCTTCCAAATGGTTCACTCCGATCAACACACCATGGAGAACAACACCCAGGAGCAAACAATCAACTCCAACTCCAACAACACCAGCAGCTCTCACCGAAGTGATCGTGTCCAAATCACCTTTATCTCGCCCTGCAACGCCTTCTAAACTAGACGGTATCGAATCAGAGCTTTCAAACGATACAATGATTCTCTTGCAGCTAAGAACAACCCGGACCAATCCATGGATATGGTGTGGCGCAGCTCTGTGCTTTATCTTCAGCGTTCTTCTGATATTCTTTGGGATCGCTACGTTGATCCTCTTCCTAGCCGTCAGACCAAGAACCCCTGTTTTCGACATCTCTAACGCGAAGCTCAACACAATCCTCTTCGAGTCACCGGTGTATTTCAACGGTGACGTGTTGCTGCTTGTAAACTTCACAAACCCGAACAAGAAACTAGACGTGAGGTTTGAGAATATCTACGTAGAGCTATGGTTCTCCAACAAGTCGATCGCCAGGCAAGGTATCTTGCCGTTCTCGCAAAGAAACGGCAAGACTAGGCTAGAGCCGATTCGTCTGATCTCGAATTTGGTCTTCCTGCCTGTAAACCACATACTTGAGCTCAAAAGACAACTGGTGTCCAACAAAATAGACTACGAAATCAGAAGTACCTTCAGAGTGAAAGCTGTTTTTGGGATCATACACTATTCTTATTTGCTCCACGGGAGTTGCCAGCTCGAATTGTCCAGTCCACCAACAGGAAACTTAGTTTCTCGGAGCTGTACTACAAGAAGATGGTAAAGAAACACAGGTCATCTTCAAAGTGTCTAGCTTTATAACCTGTGTTCTTCAAGCATATATCTTTCTTTTTTTGCGCCACTCACAGCATGTAAATAACGAATCAAGATTGAAGATTCAATAGACTCTATCTAGAACTGAGATCTATATTGTAAAGAGAGATCTAGTAAGTTTGGTAATCAGATTGTCATCCCTGATTCATATTTTGCTGCAAGATTACAAAAACCTGATCCGCAAGACACAATCTCAAAGAAGAAAAGACCAAAAGTTCCAAGAATAACAGAGGGATCAGACAGTAGATTCCTGTGTTGGTTCCCTTGATGGTTTTAAATAATCAAAAGAATTTGATCCAAAGGAAAAGGACGTACACTCATCTCCTAACTCAAGCCAACATGGAGCTTCTTCGATTCAACTTTCAACTTAATCAATATCATTTTTGGGGAAGCTTCACAGATACAGCTAGCCTAAAAGCACAACTAGCCTAGCCAGGACAAGCATGTAAAGTGAATTGTATAATAAAAAAAGCTACAAGCCTCAGCAAAATCTTGAGACAAAAGCGAAAGAGAAAAGGACCTAAAATTGGGGAATTTATAAACATTACATGTCTGGTGGCAGGCTGAAACAAGGGATCAACAGAGAAAATAAACAATCTTGGAAATTCTTTATATCACAATTGCTATTCATCTCTGATTGCACTCTGAAATTTAGATTTCGAAAAACTGAAACCTAAAGTCATCTCAACTCAAGAAACCAAACAAGAACACCCTTGACCTTGACCGTATGTAATTAAATGGAACAATCACCTAGTATACAATTCAATGCTCAATACTCAACATAGTTCCTCAAGACTTGGTCTAAAGTAGCAAACACAGATACTTTTATCTCATGGCCGTAAATAATTAGGAAGATGGGCGACTGGGGACTTGTATACACCAGATACTAGCAAACAAATTGTAGATATTCACACATGCATTGTTTCACAAAAATCTACAGAGAAACAAAAACCAAAGCATGGACCTATGTCTCTTCACTAAACATTTGCCTTGTAAAGCATCCAAAACAACTCGCAAGTTAAAATGTGTTTCCCCATAATCCCCACTATCCCTACTAGCAGCAGGTCCTATTGTCCTGCTTGCTGCTACGAAACATCTTCAACTACTAAATCAAAAGGATTAAGCTCCGTCCCCAAAATCTCTCATATCCTAAAACAGCAAAATCCGACTCATTTTCAGATATCTCAATCGCTTCTGTTCCCAAATCCTCCTTTATACCAGCATTGGTACCTGAATCAGAATCAAAAATCTGTTTCATTCACTCTTCCATGGTTAAGCTTCAAGGCCTTCTCTTTTAGCAATGTAAAGGAACCCGTAGTGTCGAGATGGGGATCCAATTCATCCTCCCTCGATTTCAACTGAACAACAAGCGATTTCATATTCTTCGCTTAGAACAGAATAAATTGCTCGTACTTCGCCTTAGGTTTCTGTACCGATTGGGAAAGCTTGAAGATCTCTTGTAGCTTCGGAGGAAGCTCTTCTAAAGCTTGACAATTCTGGTTGCTATTTTCTGGAAAGTGATGGTGGGGCGACGAAATGAGAGAGCTTCCAGTGCATTTAGCGGCATTCGATTCAGGGTTTTTTCGCCGGATGTTTTATGAGGATACACGAAACGACGATCGCTGCCATCATTTCAACGTGAAGCTTTTCTTCCAGGGAGAGAGACGACGACAATGGACAAGGAACAATGTGTAAACTGTTAAACTTCTGATACGACGTCGTAAGGAACTTTGGTTTAGCCGATGTGAAAATCGAAACAAATTCAACCAACCGAACCGGAGTTATTGCTGAGAGAGCCATCCCACAATTCCCAAGCAATCACAGTGAATTTGACCAACGATCGAGAAAGTCCACCAAACTTCAAACCAACCAGTGAAGGGATGATGCCATGATGGGGTTGATTCTGATAATTTATAAACTATACGGCTCTTTTCGTAAATAAAACATTCAAGCTTCGTCTTCGTTTCTCGCCTTCGCTCCACTATATAAATATACTCCATAAAACACTGAATCAATCAGGGGTCCGAATCCAGCTTATTGTTGTTCCCAATATTTTAATTAGAAATTAGGTCAATTGTTTAATCAAAAATCAAAGTCTGTCCCTTTCCTTCTTTTTCTTTTCTTTTGTCTGCATTTTTTCCAGATCAAGTAATCCTTCCTTTTTTAACTCACCCTTGACGTTTGCAGAGATCCTTTCAGCTCCTGCTGAATCTGGTATATTTCGAATCTCAGTTTGCAGAATCGGAATCTGAATTTCTTTTAAAAATTTCAAAATTTTCCACATGCAACTATTGATTTAGTGTGTTTAGTTAATCTCGGGTGGTTTTGCATTGGCTGATCTATGAACTAAGATGCTGATGGTGATCAGATTTTGATTTGCAGTTCAAATTTCAATGCTTTTCACTTTTTTTTTTTTCAGTTTTTCTCTAGCAAAAGTGGGGTTTTAGATTCACAACGTAAGACGAACAAATGAGTTGATTTTGTAGGATTGTGTTTACTGGATCTCTTCGACTGTATAATCTTAAGGCATATGGCAATTTAGTTGAAAGGTTCTGAATAATCAGTGTCGTCTGTTTTAAGACTGGATTGTGTGATTCAGATTTCATGTCATTGTTGTATTTTGTTTATGTGCACAAGAGAAAACGGTTTGTTGGTCTTACAAAGGTTTCATTTTTCAAAAACTCTTTGTCGTTGGTTTACAGGAGATGGGTTCTAAGTCAGTTGTTGACATGATCGAAGCTTCTTCACAAGTTCATTATTCTGGTTTCCACATGAACGGTGACATGAATGGGGTCGAACCAGTAGCATTGCAGGAAACAACTTCTGCATCGCCAGACATTCAAAGGCAGCCTTTTGTAATAGGTTAGTTCTGCTTTTCTAATATCTCTGCTGAGTAAAGTCGATAAAGAGAAGTTTGGTGGATGGTCTTGATTTTGAGATGATTATCGTTTGAGTTTGTGGTGGGCAGGTGTTGCTGGAGGTGCAGCATCGGGAAAGACTTCTGTTTGTGATCTGATCATTCAGCAACTGCATGATCAGCGTGTTGTACTTGTTAACCAGGTAAACGTTCTGTTTCACTGATAGAGAGTTCCGTAATGATATGCTTCACTTGTAATAGCATATGTATCTTATTCTTCAAATGCTTTCTGCGTCTTGATAACCCATTTACGCCACTAAATATCCGGAGATGAATGATTTGGCAGGACTCGTTCTACCATAGTTTGACTGAAGAAGAACTTGCTAGAGTTCATGAATACAACTTTGACCATCCAGGTGAGATTTACCTTTGAGATGTGGCTGGTTTTCTGTAATAATCTGGTGTAAATATGTGATGTCACTAGTTTTCACCGTCTTCATTGGATTATAAAGTCATACACAAACACATTATATAACGACAGTGATTGCTTTTTTTCTCTTTTATCTAGCTCTGTCTTCACATCCATAGGTATTTTTTTTTGTGATCTTGTAGACGCGTTTGACACGGACCTTTTGTTGTCTTGTATGGAGAAACTGAGGCAAGGACAAGCTGTGGATATTCCAAAATACGACTTCAAAACTTACAAAAGCACTGTTTCCAGAAGGGTATCATTTTCCTTCTCACTGTTACATTATTGCATGGAATATACTTGAGATGCCTTCTTCTTTCCTCATTGCCCCTCGTAACGATACTACTTTTCTGGATTTCATCTGTGGCTTCTGTCTCGTATGTCTGTTATATATGACAGAAACAAGAGAAGAAGAATCAAGTCTTTGTCTTCTCTCTCTCAGTCTCTCTCTCTCTCTCTCTATCTTAATGGCACCTAACGCAGGCCAAAGAAAACGAGAATCTTCCAATGGTCTCTTCCAGTGAAGAGGAACAATAAAAGACTGTTTCCTTGCCCGAAAGATCGAAGGCCAAGCGTTCTTTAAAGAAATTAGAGGCAGAAGATTCATCAAGATTCATCTAAGATGAAGACTGCATGTTGATCAAAAGCAACTGTGAAAAAACAAGATTGCCTTGAAGCAAAGCTATTTCTTCATCTTCACTGAATATTCTCTGAAACATAACCTGGTTTTTCGTCTCATCTTCCTCTTTTCCTTGTTTTTGATCAACATGCACAGTCTTCATCTTCATCTTAGATGAATCTTCTGCCTCTGATTTCTTTAAAGAACGCTTGGCCTTCGATCTCTACAGCAAGGAAACAGTTTTTTCTTGTTCCTCTACACTGGAAGAGACCATTAGAGGATTCTCGTTTTCTTTCCATTAAGAGAGAGTGGGAGTGAGAAAAGACAAAGATTTGATTCTTACGACGTGATTTTGGAAAATGCTCTGCAGGTAAACCCTTCCGACGTAATATTACTTGAAGGGATACTTTTATTCCACGATCCTCGTGTCCGAGCATTGATGAACATGAAGATTTTTGTGGATACAGGTCAATCTTTCATATTACCTCTTCTCTGGATACATTATTCAAAATCTAGCATTACACAATTTCACATTGTCTTTCTTTGTCTCTGTGCAGATGCTGATGTGCGCTTGGCAAGAAGGATAAAACGAGATACTTCTCAAAATGATAGAGAGATTGGGACAGTTCTCGATCAGGTTAGCCCATGTTTTCTTTGCAGCCTCAGTTTTTTAGTGCGCATGTAATGTTGCTGAAAATCTAAACCCGTTTGGTACAGTACTCAAAGTTTGTGAAGCCTGCTTTTGATGACTTCATTCTTCCAACGAAGAAGTATGCAGATATCATCATTCCTCGCGGCGGGGATAATCACGTGGCGATTGATCTAATCGTGCAACATATTTGCACCAAGCTGGGTCAGCATGATCTCTGTAAAATATACCCTAACCTATATGTTATACAATCAACATTTCAGGTAATAAGTTTAGACACTAGACACGGTTAAGTTCTCATCTTTTAGCCTCATATGAAACTGATGAAGATACTACTTTGTCTTTCAGATAAGAGGGATGCACACCCTTATACGTGATGCTCAGACAACCAAACATGATTTTGTATTTTATTCTGATCGATTGATTCGGCTGGTAGGACTAAGTTCTCTCAAACAATTGATGGATTTCCTTTAACGTACTTACGTCTCTGTCATCTGATATTAGTTTGCATTTTGCTTGTAGGTTGTAGAGCATGGTCTTGGACATCTGCCTTTTACTGAAATGCAGGTCGTCACTCCAACCGGTGAGCATAGTGAATTCACTAGCAATAATGCAGAGGTATAATGGTTATATTATATCCCACAATTAAGTGATTTCTTGGGTACCTTGTGTCAGGATCTGTATACTCTGGTGTGGATTTCTGTAAAAGGTTATGTGGTGTCTCCGTGATTAGGAGGTATTTTCTTCTCCTAACTTTAAGTCTTTTCAAGAGAAACTTGTACAAAAACTTGCCTCATATCTGCTTTACGGTTGTTATGAAATAACCATAGTGGTGAGAGCATGGAGAATGCGTTGCGAGCATGTTGCAAAGGTATCAAAATAGGGAAGATCTTAATCCACAGGGAAGGCGACAATGGTCAACAGGTGATAAATAATAAGCAACTCATGTGTGTATGTCCCTGTTTTCTAGATCCTCTGTTGTTTAGATCTCTAATAACACCTTCCTGCAGCTTGTCTATGAGAAACTTCCTAATGATATCTCGGAAAGGCACGTCCTCTTGTTGGATCCTATCCTTGGCACAGGTTCCCTAACTTTTCTTTTCCAGCTTCCACTTTAAAAAAACATTACGTTCCTTATTGGTTTAGTTGTAACAAGTCAGTTTGGGAACTTGCATTGTTCAGGAAACTCAGCAGTTCAAGCTATCAATCTTCTTATAAGCAAAGGTGTACCTGAGGGCAACATCATTTTCCTAACCCTTATAAGCGTAAGAAATCGTGCAAGGCCTCTTCACATATCTTTCATAGTTCCTCGTTATTATTCGTGATCCCTTCAAGATTCTTTTTTGTTTAACCAGGCGCCTCAAGGTGTTCATGTGGTCTGCAAGAAGTTTCCAAGATTGAAGATAGTAACATCGGAGATTGAAAACGGGCTAAACGAAGAGTTCCGTGTCATTCCCGGAATGGGTGAGTTTGGAGACAGATATTTTGGTACCGACGATGATTAGTATGTTGGTGGTGCATCTACCGCCAAATCTCTTGTGGTTTCCCCCCATATAAAGGACCCTTCAAGCTCTGGGAGCAATTTTGATTTACTTGAGAAAACCCTCATGAGGGGTTTTGATTGATCCAACTCTGAACTTTGGAACTCATGTTGTACCATATCTATATGTATCCTTGAAACTCTCGACAACTCCATTTCCTTTTCATAAATGATTAAATGTGAGCTTATTGCCTGTATTTGCAACTCTAAGCACACACACACGTGCGGCCAAAGTGTGTGTGTTTGTGTGACTGTTTTAGGCTCCCGCCAAAACATAACCGTTGGGATAGTAAAGTTTGGTAAGTTGGTAAACTTCCCGGAGTGGGCCCCACGAGCTTCTCTATCGCCTTCGCTCACTTCAGAAGCAAACAAAATTATTAGGTTATCATACGGTTAAAGGCAAACCAAGTAAATTTTTGAGAAACACATTTCATTAGCGCATGAATTGAAGTGGTAAAAACCATGAGATGAGATATGATGTAGTCATGGTATATACGATTATATACTTGAATCCAAAATTGGAGAAACAAACATGGGCACATAAGTTGGAGTGTTGAAATAATGAGATGATGTAACGTTGTTATGTTAGTAGGAATACATCGAATCGAAACAAGAAGTTGTTCCCGTACATTCCGGATAATCATCATTAGCTTTTCGTTCCTTTTGTCGGGTGCGACTCCAAAATCCTTTCTTTTCATACTTTACGCTTCTGATAATAACACTATAATTTAAGTTTAACTAAATAAATAGTTTCGTTAAAAGATTGTAACTATACTAATTTGTTGTTCCAAATACGAAAAATAAGCATTAGTATCATAAGGAATGTATGTGGAAGCTAGACGTAAATAATTTATAATAGAAAACAATATACATGTTGTAGTTCCTTGTTCAACTTTGAATTTGTAACATAGTTTCTTTGAACAATTTATCCTTTGCAATATAGTTTAAGAATTCTTGTTCGTCACTATCAAAAATCTTATTCTTGCACGTGACTATAGACAACAAAGAGAAGCAACACACACATAAAACTGCAACTGTCGTTCTTACATTTGGCTAAGGCATGTGCAATATTATTATTGTGTGTGTTTTTGGCTTAAAAATGTTAACTTGAGTCTCGAGTCATCTTCAATCTGATATTATATTATAAACATATTGTATTAAAATGATTATTCGTAGATGTTAAAAATGGTGATCGTTTGCTGGAAAGTCATTGTTATTCAGACAACACATGATCATGTGATGGGGTGGCGCGTGGGTCCACGTGATCCCACGATCGAAAGCCTCTCTTCTCATTTTCACAAAATTAGCAAACATCCAAAACTTAAGCAATTGTATAATTGCATAAATTTTTTAAAAAGAAAGACGAATCTTTCCTCTGTATGCAACTCCAAACACTACCTTCCTTTTCCCCAATTTTATACTTAAATTCTTCAGAAAATTACCCAATAAAATACCTTAAATTTTCATATAGATATATAACTCAACATGTTCCTTTTGGATGATAGAATTGTGGATACATGTTCAAACTAATCCATACATTATGCACGCGCATATACAACAAACAAAATTTTGGCATTGTTCAGACAAATTGGATTGAATACGAATAAAATAACTTGGATTTATGTTTTATTTCTTTACTCCAATTATTTTGTCTATTATTTAGAAAGTCAGAAAACAAAACAAAACACTTCAAAATCTATTGCAAATTATTGTACATTACATTCTTCAACCCGTCTGCAACACAATAAAAATTGAAACTCTCAAACCAACAAAATAAGCTATAAGAGGTTCTTTCTTTCTTTCTTTCCGATTCTAACAAATCATCGACAAGAAATATTCACACAACCTTTATAAAATGTCATCACCCTAAATTGTAGTCCTATAGGCTGTTTTACACGGATTCATCTGAAAATGCAAACGAACTATTAGATGAACCTCTAGGAGTGACCATTTTCTCCGGCGGCAACGGTTGCGGCTGCCATTTTTCACATTTCCCTCCTTTTACCATATCGGTCTCTGATCGTCCAATATCAAACTGCCTAATCTCTTTAAGCATTGCCACAACGTCTTTCATCATGGGCCGATCGGTTGCCTTATTGCTCACGCAAAGAAATGCGACCGCTAGCGTTTGGAGCATCTCGTGCATTATTGGATCCGCTCGTCCCCGGAGTCTCGGGTCGAGGATTTCTCCCGGAGCTTTTTTCTCGGCTAAGTGATCTCTCACCCATTGAACCAGATGTGCACCTCCCGATAGATCCGGGTCTAGTGGATGCTTACCGGTTAAAACTTCCAATAGTACCACTCCGTAACTATACACATCACTCTTTTCGGTTATACGTTGCATTGAAGCATGTTCTGTTAAAAACAAAATAAAATTCGTTAGAATAATCCCAAATTTTGAAATTGTCAATCGTAAACCGGAATTTTGAGTTTTACCTGGACCCATGTAACCGTAAGAACCAGCTAACGGAGGCCGGTTACTTAGTTTCGACGAGTCTCCATCGGTATTTCCATCACCGGAAACGGTTTTGGCTAAACCGAAATCGGCTAAGTAAGGTTCGAACCGGGAACCCAATAAGACATTCATAGCTTTGACGTCGCCGTGTAGAATCGGAGGGAGACAATCGTGGTGGAGGTAAGCGAGGGCATGTCCAACGCCTAAAACGACATCGTATCGGGCTTCCCAATCAGCTCCTCCTCTTCCTTTGCCGGCGCCGTGAAGCAGAGAGCTTAAACTTCCGTTGGGGAGATAGTCGTAGAACAGGAGTTTTAGATTCTTATTCGAGCACCAACCCAGAAGACGGATTATGTTCCGGTGTCGGATCGATCCGAGAGTGTTGATCTCCGAGTTAAACGCTCCGGTTTCTTCCTTCGACCACATTTTTTTAACGGCTAGAGTTTCGCCGGACGGGATCGTCACTCTGTAAACTACGCCGGAGCTTCCTGTTCCGATCACGTTAGCGGAAGTCAAGTTTTTGACGATGTCGTCGATCGAGAAATCGAGTTTCTGATAGAGAGTCACTTCCCACGTATCCAATTCTTCGTGTTTTCCGGCGACTCGTTGTGCTTTGACGAGAGTGTAAACCGCCATGAGAACGAGGATGACGCTTGCGGCGACGAGGATCGACATGGTTAGCTTCACGGCGGATCGGTGTCGGGTTTGGATCCCGTTATCCGGTCGGGTCGTAAAGAACAGCCCTTTGTTGGATTCGAGAACGGAGAGTGGGAGTTTCCGGAAAAACAGAGTGTTGGGCAATTCGCCGGAGAAGTCGTTGAAGGAGATGTTGAGCGAGACGAGGTTTTGCAGATCGGCTAAGACGTTTAGGTTTCCGGCGAGTCTGTTGTGAGAGATATCGATGATTCCGAGATTGACGAGGCTCGAGAATCGCGACGGGATTTCTCCGACGAAGGAATTGCAGCTCAGATTCAGAGAGATTGCGAGCGACGGGATACGGCCTAATTCGTTTGGGATTGCTCCGGTAAAGGCATTGTCTCCGAGATTGAGAAGCTGGAGACTCCGACAAGACGAAATTTCTCTAGGGATTTCGCCGGAGAGACGATTCTTCGCGAGATTGAGCTTCGTGAGCTCAATTAACGAACCAATCCCAGATGGCAGAGGACCGGTTAGTGAATTATCGGAGAAATCGATGAATTGCAAGCTCTTCGGAAGCGTACCGGGTAACGAACCGGTTAAACCGTTTGAATGAAGATCGACAAATTCGAGGCTTTCGCAACCGGAGATCGCCGGAGGAATGTTTCCGACGAGACGATTATCGCTTATATCGATAAAGTTAAGATTTTTCAATCTCCCAATCTCCGCCGGAATATTCCCCGCCAGTCTGTTCCCGTTGAGTCGAAGCCGGTAAAGATTCGTGCAGTTTCCGATATCCGGTGGGATAAATCCAGACAAGTAATTAGAGAGAAGAAGAAGCTTCGTGAGGTTTCGCAGCTCGAAGATGCCATTAGGAATCGAACCAGAGAGACCGTTGTATGAGAGATCGATCGCCTGAAGCTCTGCGCATTTTGAAAGACTCTCTGGAATCTTTCCGGTTAACTGATTGGACCACGCGAAGAACATAGTCAAGCTTGTTAATTTCCCGATCAACGGGGGAATCTCGCCGGAGATTTGGTTGTTGTCGATCTCTAAATGCGTCAGCTTCGTGCAATTCGCTAGCTCTTCAGGGATTGTACCGGAAAGCTGGTTAACGCTGAGCTGGAGCTCCTGGAGATTGGGAAGGTTCCCCAAGCTTCTTGGGATGTTTCCGGTGAGGAGATTCTCCGATAAATCGATCAGGAAAAGCTCCGGACAGTCTCCGAGCTCGATTGGGATTTTACCGACGAGATTGTTCTGCCATAAGAGAAGACTTTGAAGCTTCTTGAGACCCCCCAAAGTCACCGGAATCGATCCCGAGATTGAGTTTTGGTACAAGTAGAGATTTTGAAGCTCCGTGCAGTTTCCAATCTCATCAGGGATTGGACCAGACAAGAGTGACGTGTACAGAGCTATCGTCTGAACGCGTTTCAGGTTTCCGATCGACGCCGGGAGTTTACCGGAGAGACTTGTTTCGGCGAGACCTAAAGTCACAAGACTCTCGCAGTTACCAATCTCCCAAGGAAGCTCTCCTCTCAGATTCTTGTTCCCACCTGCACGGAAGATTTCTAGATTCTTGAGGTCTCCGATACTCTTTGGAATCTCTCCGGCGAGTTTATTGTCGAAGAGAGTGAGCTCGACGAGGTTAGTGAGACTCCCTAGCTCCGACGGAATCACACCTTCGAGATTGTTGGTGTTGAGAGACAGAGTCTTGAGTTTCTTGAGCCTGAAGATTTCCACAGGGATTTCACCGGAGAGAGAATTATCGGCCAAATCGAGAACTTCTAGCTCCGACAAGTCTCCGAGCTCCTTAGGGATTAAACCAGTGAGATTCACGGAGGTTAAACTGAGTAAAGTCAGAGACTTTAGCTGCCGGAGATTCGTCGCCGGTAAGGGACCTTGAAAGTCCATGACTTGGAGTTGTATCTCCGAGACTTGGCCTCTCGCGTTGCATCTGATTCCGAACCAACCACAAGGGTTTGATTCTGCGGCGTTCCAAGAAGATAAAGCGTCGCCGGAGATGTTTAGCTGAGATTTCCATGAGAGGAGAGCTTGACCCTGCTCGTCTATGGAGAAACAGGGGATGAAGAAGAAAACAGAGGAGTTTAAGAAAAGGAAGAGGAAGAAGCAGAATCTAAAGTTACGTGGCATTGGTGAAGAGGAAGAGAAAGAAGAGGAAGAGAGGGAGAAGAAGAAGGAGGAAGTGAGAGAGAAGTGCGTTGGGATTGTGAAGCGAAGAACCCCATGGATTTGGTTTTTTACTTTGTTTTATAGAAAGATAAAAAAAAAAAAAAAAAAAAAAAAAAAACAGAGGATACAAAGAGAGAGAGAGAGAGAGAGAGAGAGTGAGAAGAAGTTGCAAAGGAAGATCTGGATCCCAAAGAGCACCTCTACCTTTTTTCCTTTATTATTATTTTCCAATTTTTATTTGTTCTCTTTAGTTTTCCACCATTTATTTGTTCTGTAAACAATTTATAAATGAAAAAAACTGGGTTGAAAAAATTATAGGCACATCTATTTGTGGGTAAAAAACAAAAGAAATGAGCCATTTTGCTGGTAGTATTTTTCAATTTTCATAAATGGTTTTATTTTCTTCATTTATTCTAATAGATATATTTATTTGTGATTAAAAAAAATATTCATGTTGCCGATACTATTTTTCATTAATTGTATTTTCTTTTCTTTTTCGTCTTGGTCGAAAATAGTACTGATCTTGTTATAATCTATATAATTGAAAGTGCTTGTGACACTTTCAAATTGATGACACCTCAGTATCCCAAGAGTGCCATATCATCTCTTTTTTTAACTTCCGTTTGACTCCAAAACAACGTCGTTTTTGAATTTAGCTTTTTTTTGTCTTTGACAAAACTATGTCGTCTCCGCCCAGATCGTACACGTCACTAGCTTCCGGCGAGACTGTCCGCATCCCTCTCTCCGCCGTTTCAGCTGTTCAATGACCGCCATTAACTCCGCCAGTTACGTCTCCTACGTTCCGATTGCCCGCTGCCTTTATTAAAAATCCTTCCTCTCGATGTCTCCCGATTTTGTCTAAAGTCCCAAAACTTCTGATTTCGCCGGACGACGAGGACCATTTGCAGCGACTCCTGCTCAACTTTCGCCGGACAATTTATCCGGCTAGGGCTCCTCTCCGCAGTGCGCTTTACGTCGCTCAGAAGAAGAAGAAACTCATTGACCTCTACGAGAAACGCTCTTGCAAAGCTTTTTCAAATGATCAGATTGATTCCGCTCTCTTCTTTTTAAGAGTAAAACTCTCTCACTTGTTAAGTGAAATTTTGAAGATAATCGTTTTTTTTTCGTTTGTTTTTCTATAAATCTAACTATAACAAGAGTCATAAATGCTGACAGAAAGAAGAAAAAAAATTAAAATGATGACATGTTACAAATGGCCCTATTTATTGTTTTGGTATTTCTCGATTCATAGAGTATATCCGAGAAACGAAAAGAAGACAAGATCACTGAAATCAATAATGATGAATTTCATGTTTCTAATAATGGTATTTGTTGAAAAAGATAACAATAATGATATTTGTTGAATACTACCTGGACTACAACTGATGAACGATTGCTTAACATAGAAAAGCTAAGTCAAGTGTGGATTGTTAGTTTGTTACTAGGGGAGTTTTGTTTATTTTGTTACTTCTGTTATCAATTCTTTACTTGGGGTTGGGGAGAGTTGGAACTCGGAAGTGGGTATATAGTGGTAAAATTTAATGACGGAAAGAAAGATAAAGATACCTACTTTGGGTTTCTGATGAATTATAAAATTAGAAGTTGAAACATGGAATCTTGAAGAGAGTGAAATGCACATGCAAGCTAGGAATTTATGTGAAAGATTTTCTTTTTTCTTTTGCTCATCTCTGCTCATCTTGTCGGTCCATTTCATTCGCTGTAATTACCTTAGTATACTAATGTTATACATATATAGTACATCGTCTATTCGTCATCATGTATATGCTTAACAACTAATCAAGAGATTTTTTTGTATACATTGTAATTCTATTCAAAAACTCAAGACCATGCATCCAATACATCTTTTGTTTCTAGTTAAAAGCATCCAATAGTATAATTGTATTTGTAGTTGTAGTCTTGTAGATACAAAGCTTGATGCTTTTACTACACCTTAGAAGAAATAAGATTACTGTGTTTGAAAAACTGATATATAAACATGAAGATATATAAGCTGTAAAGACCGTAGGTTTGAATGAGGATTGACCTAAATTGTACTCTTTTAAATACACTTCTAATAGTTTATGAGGTATTGATTTAAGATGGCGCTGTTTAGATCCAACATCGTGGATTGAACAAATCTAAGAAAAGGGAGCTGGACAAAACAAAAAGAAAATGGGAAAAGATAGGAAATTAAAATTAAGATCATGGGTCAAGCATCATTAGGTCAAGAAGATTATATATAAAGATATAACACCACACCTCTAAGTCACATGCCATCGTAGCATCAAAATATTAAATATGTATCAATAGAGATAGATCTATAGAGAGAGATGGTCATGTGCTTGTATTCGCAGATTTACATGATTTATATATAGTAAAGTGTATAGAGAAGCGAGAGAAAGCATTTAGACAACATGGTTTTATTCTGTAGGTAATTAATTATGGAATAGTGTGTGCTCTAATTAACGTGAATGTCACTTGAAGAATAGTGATAATCATATGATTGACAACATATGTTTCGTAATGTGTAATTTTTGTTGTATGCTATAGGCAACAAATATTTTTTCTTTTCAAAAGAGTTTCATTAATGGTAACAAGTTTCTTCCTCATAAACACACACACACACATATATCTTGGGGTCTACCACATTTATATAAAATCTATACATAGAGCATATAAATACATTTGTTACAAAACTAAAATTAGAGTAGAAGGAATCTTCCGTTAATCCAAGAGCAGGAGGAACTTTTTACTCTTCCACAGACTCCAAAAAGGATCCAGGGAAAGAGTTTAACAGTGTCAGCTTGTTGAAAATCGTTTTTATAGATCGAAAGCAACGATAGAAACTTGAATGTGTTCACCGGCGTGTGTGGTGCAATGACATTGACATCGATCGACTTCAAGGCTATAATAACACAGATTTGCTAAAGTTTTGAATTCAATTCCATCGTAATGCACTGTACACATTCAGTATGGGGGCACTTGATCATTTGGACTCAGGCTGGAACGTTTTATTCGTAATTGAACGAATATCTCTTAGATTACTAACTATTCATTAACTCTTTATTCTGTCAACCTTTGATTATTAACTTTTTATTTTGTTTCATTTATATAACTTACAGTACTGTTTAGTTTTAATGAATAAACAAGAGATGAACATGTGTGGGAAGAGTTAAATGAACATGGTCCATAAAGAGGAAAAATAAAAGGGAAAATAATAAGACCAAAAACCAACAAACAAGAAGGAAGTAAAGAGACAGCAAAAGATGCAAAAGAAAAGACAAGTACCCAACTGTATTTTCTAAACTTGTGACAATTTGTATTTCTTTCCCAAATCTTGTTATTATCATTAAATGGTCCCTATTGTTCTTTTGTCCATCTCATTTATCATTATTCAAAACAAGCTAAATAGTTAATGACTGTTATAACTAAACAGCTTCCTGAAATGACTTGTAAATGAGGATCTTATTCAAAACACTTTCACATGTATGAGATGAAGGGTGATGATTTTTTTTATTATAATGAACGGTGGTGGTTTTCTTACTTTCAAGTTTCAACAAAGTTAATAGTGATGATAAAAATTAAGATAAGTTATAAGATGTAGACTTGATTAAGACAATGGATCAAGATCTGGATCTGTATCACGTTTCGATTAGGCCAGAGATCTCATCACATGACGATAGAGCTAGCAACATAAAAGACATGTATATTTAAGTTAGGATAATATTTGATACAAGTTTCGGCTTAAAACTATATGTAAATAATTTATAAAATACTAAATCTTTTTAAACAAAAAATACCAAATCTTTATTTTATAGTTAGTTTGAGTCTTTAAAACAAGAATTAGTCACAATATTCAATACTGTGCCTCAAAACAAACAATTGAAGCAGTCACTTAGCTAATAGTTAGCATTCGGTACTACACTTTCGTGAACCTTTAGAAAATAGAAAATCATTCATGTGAACTCGTTTGCGGCCTCAAAATCCGGTAGTTATGTTTTATTATGTATTTGCCTTTGGAATCTTGGACTGAGTTAAGCTTTGTTTAGTGATAAATCAGCACTAAGTGAGTGTTAAATTAATAGAGGTGGGGCTAATCTATGACTATGATGGGTAATTTCTTACTTATTTATAAAAAAATATATATTCAAGCATTTGTCTGTATCAATTTGATAATTTCATTTATAATAAAACTGGTCCATTGTGGGGTATTAAGTAGCAGAAGCAGTCCAAGAATGTAGTGGCAGAAGTACAGAAATGTGAAAAGAAGTGGGCATCGATCAGTATTATTAATTTGTCGATCCAATGAATATAACATATAATATGGCTGGTCATGATAATGCTATATCTTATAAGAGTGGCCATGTTAATAAAACTCCATTGGTTGTAGCCACTCCTACGACCACGTACGAAGTCACTGCAGTAATCAAACCATACTAACTCATGCTGATAAATATATGAAAATAATCAACGCATAGAACTCTTCACACATGCATCTCATTATATTCAAAAATTCATGGCTCATACAAATAAACCTTCCGACTCAAATCAAAACCAAAATCCAATAGTTATGATATATCATCTAGTTAGCTTAAAATCCTACAAATATTATGAACCACCAAATGTTTCAATATGATAGATAAATATATATACACATACACATACACATACATTATATATAGTAGATAGTACTAGATAAAAAAATTGATTACTAATTTGGGACATTTCATCTCAGTATCAAGTGTGAAACCTCTTATATATAGTTCGCCACTTCTTGCATAACAGATTTAGGAAAGTATATATAAAGACGTTTAGAGTTTACATGTCAAAGCTGATATGAATACATGAATAAAGTGTGCAAGTGTAAATACTAAATAGGCATGTTGTGTTTGTAGGTATGTATGATGTGAAATGAGATGGGGCCCAATGAGAATGAGACATGGCTTTAAGAGGGAAATCATAATAGTGACCTTTTTTGTGATGACAACAACCACACGTGCTCATTCCTTCTACCAAAGGATTCTCGCTTCGTTGCACCTTTTAACTCCAATTATTTCAGAGCCATTCCGCAACCTTCATGTTAATTAATTTTCAGCTTTTTTTTTTCCTTTCCGCATTCTTTTTTCAAGTTCAAAGTTTTACCTTTTGACCATAGTTTTTTCTTGTTTTTCTTTCTAATTGTTGAATTTAACTCCCTTATTTTAATACTAATTCTTACTAAGTTTTTGCGTAACCACGAAAAATCTTACCGTGATAAGTAACTCAGCCTTTTTTTGTCACCAAAGATAATTCAGGCTTTTAAAACTGCCTTTTGGTTACTTTTTTCACATTGCTTTTTCACGGAATAAGTAATAGACAAAAATAAAGCAATGTTGTTCAGAAAGATTATAAATAGCACAACACTAACTTGATGTGTCTTTAAATCTAACATTGCTTAGTGGAGAAGTTGAGCTTTTGCAATCACTTAATATTTTTTCTTATAAATTTATCAAATGAATGGACCTTTGATGTCTAATGGTTCATTTTATTACTAGATAATACGTGTGATGAAAGGTGTAAATTAAAGTGAGGGTAATATATTCCTTCCGTATTTCCAGGACTTGGGTTTCTCGCTCACATTGATTAATCTCTAAACAACCCCCATTATGAAAATAAAGTTCGAATTGTATAAGTGTTTGTATCAGTTGCCTAAATGTGAAGGCAAAAAACCGAAATAAAGTTTATAGAGCCGATGATTAATTTGTTTTCCAAATAAGTTAACTCATATAGAAAAAAACTTCATTTGTAATCCTTTATTCAATTCTAAGAATGAAAAAACAAAAAACAATTTTATTGGAATAATGTTTTGTCACTGTACTCGGTATTGGCATAATGTTTAAACATCAACTGAAATGGTGAATTTTAGAATTTACTCCTGGAGATGAATTAAACTAATATGTTAGGTAAACAAGGACAAATGTAACTACTGGAAAAGAAATGAGATGTTATTAATAGGCTCCCTTGTCTTAACCTTATAGTCTTTGCTTTATGAACTTGAAGACTAAAGAACTAAAGAGTCTCACTTGCACTAATGCCAAGTTCGTGCATTATATTTGTCCACCAACGGTCAAATTTGAACGCTTTTCAGTGGGGTTACCCTTAATTAATATTTAATTTTGATTAGTGAAGACCTCTAATCTTGCATTATTGGTGATCTTTTAGTCATTTTGATCAAAGCCAGTCTCCTAATAATGACGAGTCTTTTTTGACTGATGACTGCTGACTGATGGGCCCCATTTCAAGGCCCAAGTAATTCAACAGCGGAATTTCTTTGTGGCCCAGCTAAATAGATATGGTTTACTATAATTTATTTGCACTTTTGCAGTAAGAGATGTATCTTTCAGTCGATCAGATCTCGAGTTTTTGATTAAAATACCAAAACCAAAGAACCAAGAACATGTTATAGCCAAGAAAATTGATTCAAAGTTAGATATTACTTTCGTGCTCTTGGATAATAATTACACAGCTATTAGAATGTTAATTACATAAAGTTGCCGTATCTACCAACTAAACTGTTCAAGTTCCACTTCTTCTTATCCCAGTGGTTGATTGGTTGAACCAATTTGGCAGAAAAAATATAAAAACAGAAATTTATAACAAAACTTTGAGCTCTTGCACCCACATTTTCTTCCCAGAGTTGTCATCTAATCACTGTTAAAGAGAAGAGAACAAGACCCAAACAGGGAACTGAGATCTTTCTTTATACACTAGAGAATGATGTTATTTTACATTTTTCTTCCAATAGATGGATGCGAAAGCTCATCTCCCAAAGATTCTGAAGACGGAGGAGGTAAGAGTAGAACTGAGGAACTTCATTCCCGATGATCCACCAGGGAAGTAGGATATACAGTAATAAACCAGTGCAACAACCTATGGATTCACAAAGAACATATACATTAGTTTTTATGAGATTATTTACTTAAACAATACGAGAGTAATCTAAATGTTTAAATGTTTGTTACTAAATCCTTATCGAGGCAAGAATTAACTAGAATGGAAGTTTCTCATTCCAGGGAAAAAAAGAACTTCACAAGTCAGATTTGTGAAATTGGGAAGAGGAAAATTTTGACATATGAGAAACAATAGGATATAAAAAGTGGTTAGGAGTCGAAGAACTGAGTACCTGTAACGCAGAGAAAAGCACGGAGAGAATGTAGCTATGGAGCACCATTGAGACATATATGGTACCAACCATGGTGGCAATGAATCCTAAAGTTAGTGGAAGCCTCTGGAGAAGCCAGCAAACAAGAAATTAAAACTTCAAAAGTAATAACTGCAATGATATACTAGTGCTGTAGTGCATATATAAGAATGTACACAGAACTAGGTCTTGTTATTTACCTCTCTTGATGACATGTGAGCGAGTTGGTTTTGCGGGCCACGGAGAGCGAAGAATGATCCGATGATAAATCCACAGCCAAGGGTGAAGCAAATTGCGAATTTCTGTGGCATGAGCACCATGACTGGAAGAAACATTGTGAAGGCAAGGAAGACGAAGAACACACCACTTGCTAGGAGTAAACCGAAATACATGAACGCTTTTCCTGAAGGCATACTGCTTGTTGCAGACTGCAGGTTCCCTGGAAGATCTCTAACTCCTTTTGAGAAGCTGTTAACAATTTAGATTCAGATTCAGTAAGTATCAAGATCAAGAAATAGTAACACTTCCAGAAATGTCCCGGTGGAACAATCAAGAGAAGAGTTAAGAATTCAGGTAAACAAAGAAGATTGTGGGATGCTTAAGACTATCAACTCCAAATTACAGAAGCTTATTCTCATCCAAACCCTGTTAATGAAGAGATGAACATATTTTCGCATATCAAACTCAGAAACGAAGTGTAGCACATAACGGAACAACAATCTTACAAGTCCATCACAATCCATAGTAGACTCATACGTGAGGTTCAACACAATGCAGTTGAACAATCAGCTCTTAAAACAAGTAACTTCATTCAACATAAAGGCTTAAGAAGATCCAAGAATATGTGTATTTGACTAAATAACAGAGCCTTCTTTAATGGAAACTCATGACTGTTTTGATGCCGAACAGAGAACACAGCACCAATATAAAACCATTCACTAGCTATAGCCTCAAACTCTAAAACTCTAAGCTTAAACTCTTTGGTAATTTGGAATTGCGCAGATTCGAATTATTAGTCTACTTCATGATTTACTAACATACAATCCTCACTACCAGTCCCAGATTTGAAAACCAAATTGCTCAGAAACAGTCACAATACACACTAAGCTGAAGAAACCACTAAAACTAGATGAAGAGATTCGATGGCTTACACATTGAAGGTACCCGAAACGGTGTTGTTGGCAGATCTAACGGCAGATTCGATATCAAACCCTAAACTTCCGGTGTCTTCTTCAAAATCTCTCGACGCTGCGTAAGAATTCCAATCAGCTACCAGAGACGTTCCCGTCTGCTGCTGCTGCTGTTGCTGATCTCCGCTGTTACTTCCGCTCATTGAAAACCAGCCTTGTGCCATTTTCTTCAACTTTTTTTTGTTTTGTTCCGATATTTCGAGGGAATTGAAACAGTCGACACACCACTAAAACTTCCAGAACTCCAATTAGAGATCTAGAATCGGCATCTTCTCCATTCGATGACTTATAAAGCTCGTTTGATATAGATCGGTTGACGTAGTAGTACGCCGACGATCGGTCATTTACGTCGGAGCTAATAAAATCGGTAGTTGAATCGAGGAAGAAGAGGAAGTGCTCAATTGCTAAACGGCAGCGTTTGGGTATTACGATAAAACTTTAATTTATAAAAGCAATGTTTTTACTTTTTACACGTTGAAAAAACAGTAATTCACACATTGACAATAAAAAAAAGTAAATTACTTGTAACTAGGGTTTGACCCGCGCCCTGCACGGGGTGATGATTTCTAAAGTTGTATTTTTATTAAAAATGTCTATTTAACTATCTTAAAAATTTATGCTTAGTTATTGTATTTGTTTATAATGTGAAAATTAAACATTTTAAACCATTTTTTTGAAAAAGGTAAACAAATTAAGGCTTTGACCGTATTGCCATATATTAAATTAATATATTTAAGTGAGATACATAAAACTCAATTTACAATATAATAAAATTTAAAAACCAAAAAAAATCTGAAAATAAAATGTTATTGTTTAAAAAAAATTATACCTCATGTATTTTATATGATAAGAAGTTTAGATATGTGCGCACAGATTATAACTAATGTTTTTCTTCTTTTAAAATTAAAACATATTTTATTATAATTCCAAAACAATCCAACCAATAAGAAAACAATATGCATAATCCAAATTATCAAATCAACAAAAATATAATTAATTTTATATTGAAAGTTAAAATAAATGGAGTAATATTCAAATTTTTGATCAAATAAAAAATATATAAAAATAATTATTTTATTCGATTTAATTATACGATTTAACTAAAAACTATATTAAATTAAATAAAAATTACATTTAAATACCTACTAAATGAGGTTTCCTACTCATAACACTGCACATCATTTTTTTTAATAATATATATCTACACATTTATACAACAACATATCCAATATGGAAATTTCTACCAGTTTAAGTGATTATGGTGTTTTTAAAAATTTAAATCATAGCATATACATAAAAAAAATTCGATTTTCTTTGTTATATTTTTAATATTGTGATTCAAATTGTTTTATAAATACAGTTAAACAAAGATGATAGGAGATATGTAATGATTTTTAAAGAAATTATTATTATGATACAATTAAATTGAATATCATATCATATCTTCCTTATTTATTAATTTTCTGTATGTACCAATTAAGGAAAGAGAATAATATTTTATTTTATTAATATTTCATTAAATGGTTAGTCAAATTAAATTTATAATGTCTCTAACCAAAATAATATGAATGGCACTACATGTAATTAGTCTAGTAATCTTTGGGTTAATTAAAACTTACCTTGAGAATGAACCTAATGATGACACCTCAGCATGGCATTTTTGTTAATACCACATGACACAAAGGTTTATTTTATAGTGTTTTCTCTTTTAATATATTAGGGATTACATTTGTTTTTTTTGGTGTGATGTAGATTATGTTAAATGGTCCCAGTGATTAAAATTAGCATAATTGATCTCACATAGAAGAAGGATCTGGAATTCGAGAGAAGGATCTAGAAGACCTACCCAACTATCCCGTATAAATATATAACTTCTCCTCCATTATTTCGCATCATCTTTCTCTACTCTCTGAAGAAAAATCTTTTTAGCTCCCTTTCTCTAAATCTGCTTCATAAACCCTAGAATAGAATTCCGATCAACGAGATGGCGGACGCTGAGACTTTTGCTTTCCAAGCGGAGATCAACCAGTTGCTCTCCCTCATCATCAATACCTTCTACAGCAACAAGGAGATCTTCCTTCGTGAGCTCATCAGTAACTCCTCCGATGTACGTCTCTCGCTCTCTCTTATCTCTCTACTTGGTTTATGCTTGTGTATCTCATTCGATTGATTTACCGTATCGATCTGTAGATTAGGTTTGATAGGCTACTGTTATCTCCGATTTGAGAATTTGGGTTTACTCATTGTAGTAGGGAACTCTGTGATATTCAAATCTGTCTATTGGTGTAGTGTGTTGCTATTGATTACAGCTCGTTGATGTCAAGTTCGGATTTGTTTTTCTGTCACTCATGAGATAGATTTGAGCTCTAGACTCTGCGATTTAGTTTGTATATGTTCTGTGTATCTGTTGCTTACGATTGAGTTTTATTGCGTTGATGCAGGCGTTGGACAAGATTAGGTTCGAGTCATTGACCGATAAGAGCAAGCTCGATGGCCAGCCAGAGCTTTCATTCACATCATCCCTGACAAGACTAACAACACCTTGACCATCATTGATAGTGGTATCGGGATGACCAAAGCTGGTACGTATTGATTTCCATAAATCTTAAGTCTTGGAGTTTTGTTGCTTTGAAAATTCTGTATCTTGTTTGTTTCTTGAGTTTTGGCTAATGCGTGTTTTGCTCCATTGTACAGATTTGGTGAACAACCTTGGAACAATTGCAAGGTCTGGTACCAAGGAATTCATGGAGGCGTTGGCTGCTGGAGCTGATGTTAGCATGATTGGGCAGTTTGGTGTTGGTTTCTACTCGGCTTACCTTGTTGCTGATAAGGTCATTGTCACCACCAAGCACAACGATGACGAGCAGTACGTTGGGAGTCTCAGGCTGGTGGATCTTTCACCGTGACCAGAGACACTTCCGGTGAGAGTCTTGGCAGGGGAACGAAGATGACCTTTACCTCAAGGAAGACCAGTTGGAGTACCTTGAGGAGAGGAGGCTTAAGGATTTGGTCAAGAAGCACTCTGAGTTCATCAGCTACCCGATCTCTCTCTGGATTGAGAAGACCATTGAGAAGGAGATTTCTGATGATGAAGACGAGGAAGAGAAGAAGGATGAGGAAGGCAAGGTCGAGGAGGTAGATGAGGAGAAGGAGAAGGAGGAGAAGAAAAGAAGAAGATCAAGGAGGTTTCTCACGAGTGGGATTTGGTGAACAAGCAGAAGCCTATCTGGATGAGGAAACCAGAGGAGATCAACAAGGAGGAGTACGCCGCTTCTACAAGAGTCTCAGCAATGACTGGGAAGAGCATTTGGCTGTGAAGCACTTCTCCGTTGAGGGACAGCTCGAGTTCAAGGCTATCCTTTCGTTCCCAAGAGAGCTCCTTTCGATCTCTTTGACACCAAGAAGAAGCCAAACAACATTAAGCTCTACGTCCGTCGTGTCTTCATCATGGACAACTGTGAGGACATCATCCCAGAGTACCTTGGATTCGTCAAGGGTATTGTCGACTCTGAAGATCTTCCTCTCAACATCTCCAGAGAGACTTGCAGCAGAACAAGATCCTCAAGGTCATCCGCAAGAACCTTGTGAAGAAGTGCCTTGAGCTCTTCTTTGAGATTGCTGAGAACAAGGAGGACTACAACAAGTTCTACGAGGCATTCTCCAAGAATCTGAAGCTCGGTATCCACGAGGACTCTCAGAACAGAACCAAGATCGCTGAGTTGCTCCGTTACCACTCAACCAAGAGCGGTGATGAATTGACCAGCCTCAAGGACTACGTGACGAGGATGAAGGAAGGTCAGGAGGACATCTTCTACATCACCGGTGAGAGCAAGAAGGCTGTGGAGAACTCTCCATTCCTCGAGAAGCTCAAGAAGAAGGGGTACGAAGTCTCTTTACATGGTTGATGCCATTGACGAGTACGCCATTGGTCAGCTCAAGGAGTTTGAGGGAAAGAAGCTCGTCTCTGCAACAAGGAAGGTCTGAAACTCGAAGAGACTGAAGACGAGAAGAAGAAGAAGGAAGAGCTAAGGAGAAGTTCGAAGGACTCTGCAAAGTGATCAAGGACGTTTTGGGAGACAAGGTCGAGAAGGTTATCGTCTCTGACCGTGTGTGGACTCACCTTGCTGTCTTGTCACCGGCGAGTACGGCTGGACCGCGAACATGGAGAGGATCATGAAAGCTCAGGCTTTGAGAGACAGCAGCATGGGTGGCTACATGTCGAGCAAGAAGACGATGGAGATCAACCCAGAGAACTCGATCATGGACGAGCTGAGGAAGAGAGCTGAAGCGGACAAGAACGACAAGTCCGTGAAGGATCTGGTTCTTCTTCTCTTTGAGACTGCTCTTCTCACTTCTGGTTTCAGCCTCGACGAGCCCAACACTTTCGGGAGCAGAATCCACAGGATGTTGAAGCTTGGATTGAGCATTGAGGAGGATGATGCCGTTGAAGGTGATGCAGAGATGCCTCCGCTTGAAGACGATGCTGATGCCGAAGGTTCCAAGATGGAGGAAGTCGATTAAGAATTGCACTCAGATTGCAATTGATGGTGTTCCTTTGACTTTCCGGCTTTTCTTCTCTTTTTCTATTTCGTTGAAACTATTTCGGGATCGTTTTTTTAATTTTAGAGTAATTCTATCGGTGTAGCTTTTTTTCTCCAAACTCGGTGATTTTTGCCCAAGTAAGAAACATTGTTTCTATCGCATCTAGTTGTGTTTAAACTGTTTGGACACGTTGATTCGTACCCGATTACACCTTTCTTGAGTTCGTCTTACAGACTTGACAGATGTCAAGAGACACATGACCAGTCATGATTTAGGAAATTGTGTACAGGTTCAACAGAAAGAGAGATTTGACCAAATGCAACTGTTTTTCAATATAAGCTCAATCAAAAGGCAAAAAGACCAAAATCATTTTTGGTCAATACCGAAATCAATCTTACTAAGCGGTTTGAGAATTGGTTTACCAAATGACCTTTTTGGGTTTTGGCTGAAATGTTAGTTCTGATTAAGAGACAAATTTTGGAGAAAACACAAGGCATTTATATTTGAGCCTGAAGATCTTACGATTTTAAGAAAAGAAATATGCTTATAAAAGAGAGAGGCAAAAAGAAGGCAGAGACATTCATTTGTTCTCTTGTTGCCCTGATGACCCGTGGCTTTTTCATGATGTGAAGTTGCTAATGGAAAGGAGAAAAGCATGACTCTGCACCTTTACTTTCATGAAGTTGAGACTCTCTCTAGTTTCTCTGCTAATCAACGTTTTGAATCTGAATCGATGTAAGCGTTTTGGTGTCCTGTGTTCAAGTGCCTGCGGGAATGAAGAAGACAAGTTAATGAGAATTAAAGGTTTAGTGGAGGAGACTGGAGAATCCGACCCCACAAAAAGACTTATGGAAAGAAAAAATATTGCCATAAAGACCATAATTAATTTTGGAGATGAGAAACTTGATGAGCAAGTCCCCTCCTCTGGTTTTAGATGGAGAAGACAACCAGTTAGGTTTTTTTCCATTCATTCTTCTTTTCTTAATTCACTTGCCTTTCAAAAAAAACATTCATTCATAATCCATGTCTCTCCTTCTCAGCCAACCCTCGAAACTCTGTTTTCGAAAACCTGTGTTTGTAAGATCTTCTTCTCTTCACTCTAATGGCTTCTCATCTTCTTCCTCTTTCATGTACGTTGATCCTTGTGGTGGAGATGATCTCGGAAAACTCGTGATTAGGAGGGCTGGTGACATCACTCCTCTGGAAAAGAAGTTGCCTCTTAAGGAAATGGGAACGATAGGATCATCCAATGGATGGCTTGCTACTTTGAAAGACGGCGTGGTGGGTCTCCAAGAGGTCGATCTAAACCTAAATACATCAGATCCGAAACGCATTACTCTGCCTCCTCTTGTAACTGTGCCTCATTGCCAAACCCTAATCGTCAACAACGTTGTCATGTCCTCATCTTCTCCAGAGGAAGAAGACTGTGTTGTGGCTATCAAGTTCTTGGGGAATCAGCTCAGCTTTTGCAGACCAGCTCAGAGCAACTCCGAGTGGATCAACATCAGAATTGCACACCCTTGCTTCTCTTCCTCCACCGTCATGTTCTCCAAGAAAGATGACATGTTTCGTATACCAGGCTCTGGAGGCCACATCATTGGATCTTGGGATCTCCGCACTCAAATGAACACAACCAAGTTTCAGAGGTTCCGGTTCAAAAAGATCCCCAACCTGACCAAGCCCAGCAAAACGCTTCTGGATTCTTGCTACAAGAGCGAACACTTGGTGGAGTCGAGAGCAACCGGTGAAACTTTCTTGGTTAAGCAGTACAAGAAGACTGCCGAGATCGTCGACGACGGTATTGCGAGGATGAAAACAGAAGCTGTTATGGTGTTCAAGCTTGACAGTCAAGGAAACGCCGTTTACACTCAAGACATTGGAGATCTCTGCATTTTCCTCACAAAGTTCGAACCTTTCTGTGTCCCTTCTAGCATTTTTCCCGACTTGTGTCCTAACCACGTCAAGATCTTGGATGTCGACGAAACCACAATTGTTAATCTGGCTGATCAAACGTGGAACTGTTACTACAATAAAAAGAAAATAGACTAGTAGTTTTGAATTGAGTTTGAGTCTAGAGTCATGTCGTTTTCTCTTGAACCTTTAATCAAAAATATTGTGCTTTTTTACATTTTATGTTCTGTATATTCATATGCATAAGCTTTGCTATTATCTCTCATTAATCTCCCAAATCTTTTGTATTTATGTATTCTCCGTTAGAGCCACGAAAGGACTTATGGGAAACAAAGATATGAGCATAAATTGATTTTGGAAATAGGAAACTTGGTGAGCAAGTCACTTCCTTTGTATTAATTGAGGGGTTTCCAGCTGCAGAAGAAGATGTCAGGTTTTCTTTCATTCATTCTTCTTTTCTTACTTATTTTGGCTTTTCACTAAGAACATTCATTAGTCATGTCTACTTTGGTATGCATATATATATGCTCTTAGAGAAGCTTTGCTATTATATCTTACCAGTCTCCCAAAGCTTAGTAGTATAGTGCCAAAGCTTCGAATGTGTGGCGATTATCGTTACATGACAAGAACTCCAATTATTCCATTTTCACAAGAAAGATTGAGAGATCCAGACGATATCACACTCTAGGCAACTTGTATTACTAATCTAATATTTTTTATGCCGTATTAATCAAGCAAACTATAACACACGGCCAATTATTTAACAAATCAAATCAAAATAATAGTAGGCAAATCGAAAGCAATGAATGGCAGCTAGGGAAGGAGAGGAGATGATATAATTTTGGAATCAGGAAAATGATTACTAGGAAATAGAGAAATTGCGAGTTTCTCTCTTTTTTTTTGGGGAAAGAAAAATATCAACACAGTAATAAATTTGGAGATTCGGAGAAACTTGGTGAGCAAGTCTCTTCCTCTGTACTAATTCGAGAAGATGACCATTTCTTTCAACTAGGGCTTTTTTTCTTTCTTTACGTCTTCTCTTAATTCTCTTGCTTTCCTCTAAAAGAAGATTCATTATACCATGTCTCTGCTTCTCAGCCAGCCCCCGAAGCTCTGCTTTCGGAGACCTGTGTTGGCAAGATCCGAAGGCTTGTCGTCTTCCCTGCTGGAAACCCGTCCTTGTAAAATCATAGGCGCTGATCCTTGTGGAGATGATCTCGGAAAACTCGTCATTCGATATTCTAAAGAAGTTAAAGATACTTGTTTGGAGAAGAAGGTTCCTATGGAGTTGATGAGGGACATGGGAACGATCGGGTCGTGCCATGGGTGGGTAGCTACTTTGAAAGACGACGGCATTCTGCGTCTCCAAGACGATCTAAACCCATATGCATCGTATACAGATCCGAAACGCATTTCTCTGCCTCCTCTTGTGACTCTGCCTCATTGCCAAACCCAAGTTGTCACCAACGTCTCCATGTCCACATCTTCTCCGGAGGACCAAGACTGCGTCGTGGCTGTCAAGTTCTTGGGACCTCAACTAAGCCTTTGCAGACCAGCTCAGAGAAACCCCGAGTGGACCAACATCAGAATCGAAAACCCTAGCTTCTTCTCCTCCCAGGTCATGTATTCCAAGATACATGACATGTTTCGCATGCCTGGAGCCGGAGGCCACCTCATGGGATCATGGAATCTCTGCGAACACGGCAAGAGCAAGTCCAAGTTGCAGATCTTGCGGTATAAAAACCTTCCGAAGCTGACAAAGGCGAAACGAGACCTTCTGGATACGTGCTACACAACGGAACACTTGGTGGAGTACTCAGCAACTTTTTGTGAAACTTTCTTGGTTAAGCTGTACAAGAAGACCGTCAGGATCAGAAAGGGTATAGTGAAAATGAAAACAGTGCTTTTGATGGTGTTCAGTCTGGACGAGCAAGGAAACGCTGTTTACACTCAGGGCATCTGAGGTCTCCGTATGTTCATCTCAAAGTCTGAACCCTTCTGTGTCCCTACTCGCTCATTTGGTTGGCGTAACCATGTCTATATCTATGATGTCGACAGTGTAACATGTGTCGAACTGTGTAATATCACCGAACCTCATACCGACCTTCATGGTACTATTAGTTTGACAGACGGATTCTGGACCCCTTACTATATTCCACCTCAAATAGATAGACTAGGACACTAGTTTTGAATTTTGAGTCTAGATTCTGTCTTTTCTTTCTAACTTCACTTCTGTTATTATTATTATTATTTCTCAATAATATCTTCTTCTGATCTCAACGTCATACAACTCTGAGCTCAGCCCTCTGTTACATGACCATCTAGAGAGGAGGTACTAGCTTGATGACCTCGTGTAGTGTTCCTACACATTTTTTGTTTGAGCAAAGACCTATGTAGAGGATCAAGCCTGGTTGCAATGGTAAATAACTCTAGAAAATTACTTTAAAATTTCTTACAAATATAGTGATCGATCATCAAGTAATAGTGATCAAAGTTTGAATTGGACCAAAAGAAAATATTGAATTTGATTTTCAAAAGAAAATATTGATCAAAGTTTTGGTGGGAATGGGATCCGGTGGTCGGATTGGACCATACCGATCAAAAAATTTGGACACTTTACATATCATATCAACATGCAAAAGTTGTATCTACAAAATATGTCCGATAAAAATGTCGAAAAAAATTTTGCTTCACCAAAAAAGCTCAAAAAAGAAAACAAATGAGTTCAGACTTCAGAGAACTAACGAACTTTGTATATTGCTTCACAAAAAGCTCAATGAAACAAATGAACAAAAACAAAAGGGTTTAAACATAAATGTTGTTGGTTGCTTTTTTTCTCTTCAGGTATCTTCAACTTGAGAATGGAACACAAAGCTTGGAAAAGTAGTTGTGATATCCCTGCAAGCACGCACACAACAAGATCAAAACCCATTATGTTGTATAGATTTTCTCCTTGTTACATAGATAGAAACTCACCTGAGATACTGAAGAGTCATGTTCTTGAGAAGAGTAGGGTTTCTAAGAACAAGGGTTCTCCACTCTTCCTTATCGATCTTTCCATCGTGCTTTGTGTCTGCTTCCTCAAACGTCTGAACAAATCCAAGACTCAGGAACATTACCTTCAACAAAAAGAAATTGCGCCAAGAAAGGTAACAAACTTACCTTGTCGATGATATCCTCAATGACAGTATCCTTCAAATTCATTCCGGATTCAGCAAGGGTTGCAACAACCATTTGCTTCAACTGTAAAAAATGTCGGAGAGAGGATGGTAAATTGCAGTTTTTACAAAGTTATTAATGAAGCAATTTGAAAATCTATACAAGCTTTACCTCTTCTCGTTCGATAAACCCTTGCTGCTTAAGATCATACAGCTGAAATGAAACTGCAAAAACAATATATACCATCAATCTCAAACCACCAAACTAATGGGGACATTTTATCTACAAAGCTATTACTTATTAGGGACGTACAGTGGATTTTGTCGTCTATAGGCGCATTTGGGTGAAATACGGAGAGAGCACGAGCAAACTCCTCGAACCCTAGTATGCCATTGTGCTTTGTATCAAACAAATCGAAAACCTAAAACACCAAATCACTTAATGTCATCAGCATTTACTTCTCAACTTGATCTTTTACCTAAATGGGACTGGGAAAGAAACATCACCCGATCTGCAAACAAGCTTTCTTTCTTGTTTGTCTTAAACAAAGCCAACTGAAACTCTTCCTGATACAAAGTTAACACAAGAAGATATGAGTAATTGTGTCTACAAGAAGCAAACAAGATCAGGCAAAGAATTTTAACCTTGTTTATAAGCCCATCATCAATCACGGCACTGCTGATTTTCTTAAACAGCTCATAAAGAGCTTCTATTTCACTCACACTAACTGCACCATAAAACATATAATGGTTTTAGTTCCTCTAAATGGTGTTCCTATAACCGAATAACAACAAGATTAGAGACGTACAAACTGTGTCTCTAGCAAGCAACTCAGGGTCTCCAATGCCTCCAGGGTTTTTGTATAAATCGAGATCAAAACACCCTAAAACAGAAGAGCACAGATGCTTGAAACCGTCTATGCACTGCGCCATGATTTGTTAAGCAAATCAATACTCTCCATGCCTGCAAATCAAAACAAACAGTGAGAGAAGTTTTGCTAAGTGAAAACTCTATAGAAGCATTTGAAACAAGTATAATGTAAAATCACCTTTTCACCATTTCCTTGTTTGTGTGTGAGAAAAAGGCTGCGACTCTGCGATTATCTGTAATGTAAAGGAGCTGGGAGATGAAATTCACAGTAGAGCATAAGATATTATTATGTAACACAACTTGGAAAAGAGTTAGATATAGGATCAGACAAGACTCGGAAGTGTTATAATCTCAAGTCAATAAAGGCAACACAGTGCTTACAAACTAGAAACTGAAGTCACTGTCATTAATATCAGATGATTACTTATGTCCACATAAACAGAAACGAAGCATATCCTTCTTGACAAGATATTAAAAATCTTAATTTTCCCACTCAAGCATTAACAAAATTTTATTCTTTTCTCTCTTCTTTAAACCATCACAATTATGGAACATAACTTACAAAAGGAGTTAACGAATGATATCTCAGAAGAAAGACATCATTTTTCAAAATACAGAAAAATCAGCAGAATCGAAAACTATTGTGATTGGTCAGTAAAGAGATTCATAATGAAATCGGAATTATACAATCCAGGTGAATTCAGTCGTAATCAGCTATATCAATCCAGCGTAAACAAAAACCGATCTATATCCCGAAATCGTTCGATATTTCACATTATAACAAAACGGATTCGAACAGCTCAGAGATAGAAGAATCACGTTTTGTAACTCAAAATCAGTAGAGGAATTGAATTCGTTAAGAGAAATTCGACGAATTCAAAATTTTTACCGATTCAGTTGCTTGATTGATTCAAAATCCCAAGGCGGCTATGGAGGTTGAAGCTGGCGATTGGTAAGGTGAGAGAGGCTTAGCACGATTCTCTCTAAGCAGATAGAAAGTTGCAAAACAAATGAAAACCTGAAAATATCTTTCCTTTAAAAATTTAATTAAATATAAATAATCCCTAAACCTTTTAGCATTTATTATTATTAACTTTCTATAAAAATTAAACTTAGATACTATAAGTGGAGATTTAATGATTAATTAAATTTTTAGTTTTTGGTTTAGGGCTTTATTAAGGCCTTGGCTGGTTTTTAGATTTTGGTGTTTTGTTTCAGATTTTAGTTTTCGATTTTTGATTTTGGTTTTTATATTTTGATTTTCCTGTAGATTTAGTTTTTTGGTTTTTATATTTTGATTTTCCTGTAGATTTAGTTTTTTAGAGAATTGAATGGTGACTTATTTAGTTTTTGGTTTTTTGTCTATATTTTTGTTTTTTCATAAAAATAAAACTATGAATTTATTAAATATTATTCCTTACCAATACAATAAATAATACCAAAAAATATGAATAAACTATGTATTAGATATATTTTTATGTTCTTAATTGTTTAAAATATATAAATATATAAATAAATTTATTAACAAGAAAAAAAAAAATATATATATATATATAAATAGTCGGGGTCAAAAGCCAGCTGCCTCTGGTCGTCCAGCTCCAATGAACCAGTATAGAAAGGTTCGATTAAACTGGAATCACCAAGATTAGATTATAAGTTATACTACAAAAAAATACTTACAATTTCTAAATTTATCGTGTATGATCCCAAAATTGACTTGCACCCAAATTAGTGATACATGAACTATCTTAACAAGTTCTGTTACACACATTTTTCATTTGTATTTTGTATTTTGTTGAATTTATTTCAGACAACAGATTTAAATACTCAAATGATTTGTAACATTGCTATTACCCATCTCATATCCGAAAATGGAGAAGGAGAACCCTTGTTTTAATTTGATTCAATAATCGATTAGCACAAATGAAGTTTTAATTGATAAAAGTGTAAAATGTGCAAGTAATCAATTCTCAAATATAAATTAAATCGGTGAAAAATTAGATTAAGTTTACCTTGAATCGGTTTAGGCCGATTTCAACCGGTTCAGTATACATTATTGAACAATGTCATTCGAAAACAAACAATCAAAACAGTAGCAAACACTTATTATAACCGAAAAAACAATTGTATTAATATCCGTTTTACTGAGCCTTGAGGGGGGAGTTGCTAAACCGGCTCGACTTGGATGACAATAGCACAGCGAGGTTCGTCCCAATAGACCCGACACGTGTCAAGGAATCTACGCGGTGGTGCCTGCACCTGAAAGAACCGGCGTGTGTCGTCGGAGAACACAGGCAATTTTGCCTAGACGGTTTGCCGGAGGTAGAGCTCCAACGGCGTAAACTCGGTGAGTTTTGGTCTTGGCTCTGTTTCTTCATCTTGGTTAAACTTGTGGAATACTTCTCCGCCATAGATTCTCCGATAATTAGGGTTGAAGGGTTTTCTTTCGCCTTAGTTTTGATGAATATTGAATATAGAGATTGAGTGTGTTTTGTTGTTGTTTCATGGGCATGAATCAATGGTAATTATATGTTAACTTGTGACACAAGTCAGCTAAACTTAGCCGTTGAAGGTTGTTGACAAACTGCTTTTTTAAGATTGGGGTGGTTAGTATTCTAGAAAGAACAATTAGGAAAACTATTTGACTTGGTTGTTATATTCTTCTTTTTATGGTTACACACACATTTGTGCATGAATAAAGTGTCAATAAAATAGGCAAATCTATGAATAAACCTAAATTTTATTAGTGAAAATCTATTGAAAAAGAAACTAATTTTGTCTAAGCGACTAAAGCTCCAACTGAACATCCAAAACAGTCTAATTAAGTTGAAGATCTTGTAACTAATAAAAACATTTGACTTTATTTTTGGGTTTGTACCTATTTTTAGCACGACCTTAGAATCTCAAACTATTTAGATGCATTGTCAAACTTTATTTTATGTACTTATATTGAAAAAAAGTCTAGGAAAAACAAAAGGTAAACATTTCGAATTAGAAGTCAACTTCAAATGCACCAGTTGAACATCCAAACATACTATGAATTTATATAACAATTATATTAATTTAAAAACTTATTGTAGTTAAATGGTTTAATCAAACTTATTGGAGTATGCTTTTCTAGTATACCAACTGAAAATTAATCCAAGCCATGAAGAGAAAGAAAGAAACATGTGGAGTATAAATGTATAACTATAAACACTAAAATCAAGATTCTATGAAATGTTGTGGCATTGTGATTTGCTTCTCCTCACAATGTACTTTACGGTTACTGGTGAGCTCTCTATGTACAAAAAAATATTGACACTCACACAAGTAACCTACTTGCTTCAAATCAAAACAAAATATCAAAATAACAGAAAAAGAAACTTAATAAGAGATTTGACTCTTGAGCTTTTAGGGCTTTTAGGTTTACTATCTGGGAAGATCTTGTTTGCAGAGAGGACAACAAGAGATGATACGAAGCCATTGATCTACGCATTTCAGGTGAAACTTATGTGAACATGGAAGCTTCCTTACTTCTTCTTTGTCTTTATACTTTGTCAAACATATACAACACTCCTGCAAAAAAGTCAAAATTCAAAAAAGTCAAAGTCTATTCCGTTTCAGTCCTAAATTAGACCAATAGAAAACATTTGTGAGTCATAAGCCTCCCTAGTGGATCAAACAGAGTCATCACATCCAACATTTGTGAGTCATAAGGATTAAAGACTTACTGGATGATCCGTTGCAGGAGCTGAATCTGAATCAGAATCAGAAGCACTGTCATCAATTCGTTTGTATTTCCAGCTAGGGAGACTAGAGATTTGGTCATCCGATGCTCCTCTCTCTGAAGATCCCATGTTCATGTTGTATCCAAGGAGGCTGCTAACGAGAGGCACCAGACAACAGAGGAAGAGGAAGAGAATAAAAGGAAACGAATAGCAGAGAGCGTTCCAAGCCAGAAGAGAGACGCAGAGGGCATGAAGCTTAGGAGCATGGTCGAAAGAAGCGAATCTTGAATCGAACACCCAAACATTCCCAATCACGAACCAAATCGCAAAGAAAAGCTCCAGCGACGTTCTGCATTTGTTCATCAAATGAGAAGACCTGAAACAACAACAACAATTAGATATCTGAGAATCAACAAAAGATTTAAGATTTTGAGTGTTACCTGTTTTCTTCTTCTCTGCCTCTCTGTTGCTGCTCAACATCGCCGAGGCTAACGTCTAGCTGACGATACCGGCCATACAACAGCATGAGGTTAAGGAGACATCCCACGTCGTAGCCTGTAATCCATAGCCTCACAGGCCAAATAGGTCTCTCTTCTTTAGAGATGGCTAATGTGAGTGTTATCACAGTGAGCTGAAGAAGCAGAGCAATGAGCTCAGACATCATCCAAGTGCTGGTGTTGAAAGGGTTGGAGCCAAGGTCGGATCTTGATCCGTTCTGGTAGTGAAACACTCTCCTCAAGAAGATGAACCATCTAGCTCTAGACACCTTCATAGCCAATCTTATATAAGACGAAGATGGAGCAGCAGCTACAGGTACAGGTACAGGCACATGACTGTTATCGCTTCTCGGTGTGGAGTCTAACGAAGAAGATGATGAGATAGTGATCGAGATATTATCGGAAGAAGTATTCATCGGAAGTGTTGTTTTTCAAGATTAGACCTTCACAAGAGAGAAGAAAGATTGCACAGAGAGAATCAGATTTGTGAAAGTTTATAAATTGTGAGGACGCCACATGGAAGTTGAAGTATATAAACGAAAAGATCATGAAACATGAAAATTTAGGGAGTAAGAAAAAAAGTCACGAAATTTTCATGGCCTAACAATAATAAAAACACACACATGGAAATTCAGTGAGGAATATAATCGAATACCTTCTCTGCAACCATCAGAAAGGCAATCTCTGCTCTGTACACGAACTCCACGATTTACCAGATAAGAGAAATCTTTTTCAACAAACAGAAACTACACAATGACCCAATTAAGTAGTATTTGTAATCGAATTTCAACCCACGAACAAAGGAGAAAGGTAACAATTTTCCAAAAAGGGGATTTTGAGTGTGAAATGGAAAAACTTTAGAGGAAGATCACTTATGCTGACATAGGGAGGAGATTGAGATTTGAGAAGATAGAAAGGAGAGAAGAAGATGATCAGAAAAAAGGAAGGTGTTGTGATTATGTCAGAGAAGGTGAAGTTGGGCGAGAGATGGCGACCAAGAATCAAACCATAAAAAGGATTGCTTCTAATTTTATAATTTTGTTATTGCTTTGGTTTGAAGAATCAAAGAACGGAGAAGAAGAAGAGAGAAGAGAACCGTTGGCCTAATCTAACACACCTGAGATTTTGTTTATGAAGCAATGTTTTAGAGAGCAACTGTTGTTTCTAATTAACCGCCAAAGCAGACCTCTTTCTCTTTCTCTCCCTCTTCCCTAGAAAGTAGAATGACAAGGATATTTTTTGATTCTTTTGTTAAGTATTTATAAATTATTATATTTGTTCTCTTTTCGATAAGAAATGGATAAGAAGAACATCTTGATGAAGTCATCAATTCGAAAATATCACAATCTTTCTGTTTTAACAGAAAAATCTTCTTCCTTTCTTGATAATTCACCCCTCAAATAGTAATATTGAAAACAAAACCGAAAAATGCTTATTTTTCTGGTCACAAAGTTTGTATTTTTAATTCAGACTTTATGATTGACCAAGAAATAAAATTGAATTTTCGTTGTCAAGAATACATGTAGCAGGTCGAAAGCAGAAAAGGAATATGTATCGAAAATCCAAAAAAAAAAAAAACTGTTGTAAATATATAAGAAAACAAATTTATTTTGGTAATTTCTTATATATTCACTTTTAATGCGTAAATAAATAATTAATTTTGAAAATAAAATAGAAAAATTGGCGGGGAGGAAACAGAAGGAGTGGGGATGGTTGGCTAACTAATCTCAACCAGAAGAGTTCCAGTCATCTACGTTGTGGAGTGGACCCATTCTCTCTTCTTTTCCACGTTGTTTTTGTTCATTATTTTTGTCTACTGTCTAGTTATATAATTGTGGTCAAGAAAATTATAAGATAAACTAATTTTGAATGAATAAATTCGAGAACGTTCGATTGATGTCGGAGGTCATGTAACTTTTTTTGGTTCTGGTGCATGCTCTGATATATTGGAGATTTGACTTTTCTGTTGGTGTTCCGTGTAGAATGTGAATAATGTGTAAATATTCGTTGTTTTTTTTTCCTACCGTAGACTCTTTAGCTATCAAGGAAAAACCTCGATTCTCTAGCTAACTATAAAATGAAACTCGTCCTGTAAGTGATTTGTATGTTTTGTTTGCTTTCTTCAAAATGGTATCTGTCTTTAGCAGCTAACCATTTCCTCATTTGTATAGTTCAGTTGTATGTATCTAACTTAACTTTTAACTCTAAATTTTGAGATTGAAAATATTTCACAAAGATACTGTTGGCAATGGTCTTATATTATACATTTTGTTTTACATAATATCGTTACAACATGCAAGTAATTTAAATATCCATAAAGTGTGTTTCGCATTCTTTAGAGTAATTCTGTCGAATGTAATATACGTGATGTTAAAACTTAAAAGTATACTACTCGAAACAAAATTAGATTTGAATGCTTATTGCTTAATAACAATAATGGCAGTGCTTATTAGTCTTCTGCTTCAGGTTGGTTTATAGTACGAATGTATTCCATTCACATATATATCAATACGTACAAGTTGACATTTCCGAGATTGGAAATAGTGAATAAGCTAAAGTGCTGATTTGCTATGTGTGGTATATCTCTTAAAATAGTAAGTACTATTAGACTTGACACTGACAACACAAGATTCCAAATTGTATTTCTTCCCTTCTTCTTCTTTTGTCCTCTTCCAAATTGTTCACTAATGAGACGACTAAACCCACTTTAATTGTTAACTATTAAAACCGAAAAGGGATTACGCGATTCTAGATTCGTCTTAATGACCCATTACAACTTTATAATTAAAAAATAAAGAATGGTACAAACTACAAAGTGACGCTTGTATGCTCAACGATCTACACGTAGAGAATAAGGATGATTAATTCAAATTTTTCAGTTCATTCATGACGTTAATAAAATTTCAAAGTTTAAAACATAAAACATGGTTTTTCTCTCCCTTTATCGTCGACCAGGAATCATGTGTTTGGATATATATGTCGGTCTCGTCGACGATTGAGGGACCAATGGAGAAATCTAACATAACGAACATGATTACTTACTTAACAAGATAAAATCTCATGAAAATTTAAGTCATTTGACCAATCATTGTATATTTCTGTAAACAAAAGAGGAAAATCCAACGCAACATACAGAGACTGACACGTGGCGTCAGACGAGTACACAGACACGTGGATTATTATTAGCTTGAAATCCCACACTATCAATCAGTTTCGTCACACGGCTCTGATTCAACTTTCTTTTGGTGTTATTGTATACGCCCGACATTGAACCGTGTTTATTATAATTGCGATGACATCCCAAAACCAAAACTTCAGGTCGGCTTATCGTAAAATGAGGTTTTTTTTTTGTGTGTGTGTGTGTGTGTGTGTGTGTCAATTTTAAAGATTTGGGCAAGTTTTGAAGCATCTTCTTTTATAGTTTGGATATTTTATCGATCAAAAATGATTCCTGGGTTCTATATAACTTGAAGCATCTTCTTTTATAGTTTGGATATTTTATCGATCAAAAATAATTCCTGGGTTCTATATACTTTTGGACTTCTTTAACAAAAAAACAAAAAAATTATACTTTTGGACTTGCTATATATATACGGGCCTGCAATATTTATAAGAGATGTGTTATTGCACGCAGATTCGGCCCTGGGAGCAAGTAAGCAGGTGCTTGCTGCCCTGTTTCTTAATAAGAAGTTAATCGTCCATATTTTGACAAAGTCTCATATAACTTAGTTGTTATGTTGGTTTAAGGTGCAGAGTTTGAATCTCTCCTGCCTATTACTCTCTCCGTTTCAAATTAGTTGTCGTTTTGGCAAAATGTATCTGCAAATATTTGGACGTATCTGCAATGCAAAACACATCCAGATACGTCCAAATATTTGCAGATACATTTTGCCAAAACGACAACTAATTTGAAATGGAGGGAGTATAGTTTTTTCTTTTAAATTTCTCTTTCATTTATTAATTCATCGAACTATAATTAAATTTGACTCGCGGCCCATTGCACGGCCTACACAGAACCAATACCAATAGATTTTGCGAGTTAACAAAGCATGTTTTGAAAGCAAAGTTTCATTATGCTTTGGGTTTCCAAGTTCTCGTTGGTGATTTTGAAAGTTTCAGTACAAATTAACCCACTCATAGTGACTTGTGTTCTTGTTTTGCAATGTCTTTAAACAAACATATTGTTATGTATAATTTCCTAAACAAGCTTCTTTTTGTTTGATACAGATTGGATGGGAAGATAAACCTTTATCATGGATCCAACAAAAGACAATTTGCTTGTGAAGGTGCACTTTTGGTACTAAACTCTGTTAAAATCTCTCACCCGTAGGAACACTCATTTGCTTGATGTCTCAGGGATTACTGTAATAAAGAAATCAAACACATGATAACTGGGACTGAAACAACAACTTTTCACAGCCGTAGTTGTCTTTTGTTTTACTGTAGATGTATGTGGTTTTCATAAACCGGAATTCTCTTCATTCTTGCAACAATTCTCTCTGATAATATAAAACCTTTCTTTGTGTGTAGATCACATACAAAGTCTCTTTCTCTGTCATTGCTGATTCCAGTTGTGTTCATAAAGGAAACTTGTCGAATGAGAATATAGCACAACCAACGATTTGAAAGGGTCTTAAGAGAAAGACTCTAAACTGAGAACTATCTAAGTTCTAGTCACTTGTGGGATGGGAAAAGAATGACTTATTTGTTAAGCAAAACTTGTCGGATGAGAATATAACACAACCAACAATTTGAAAGGGTCTTAAGACAATGACTCTAAACTGAGAACTATCTATGTTCTAGTCACTTGAGGGATGGGAAAAGCATGACTAATGGGTTAAAGAAAACTTGTCGGATGAGAATATAACACAACAAACGATTTGGATGGAATGGAGGGTAAAGAGGGCTTAAGAAAGTCTTAAGGCAAAAAAAAAAAAAAAAAAAAAAAAAACAGATTCCTTTTGCTACCCACGGCTTATAAAGTCAATAATGAAAGACTCCTGCAGACTATGGTAGTAGTTTCTTTGATCTCTAATGTATATTTATCTATCTTAATTAGAATGTATGTCTTATCTCTGTTTTGGTGATTGTATGCATCATAGGTTTATGTAATGGTGTATCAACAATTTTTTCATGCTCATTTTAGGCATGTGTTGTAGGTGCTCTAATCTTCTTTGCCCTTTAAGTTGTTGAAACCGTAGTTATTAGACTTTGAAGTTATTGACTATAGAGTACATAGGTTTATGTAATGGCGTGTCAACAAAATCCAGTTTTCTGTTTGTTACTAGACTAAATAGCGAACTGAGTTTACTATTATTGAACATTCTAAGAGTATGTTATGTTGTGCTAGCTATTTATTTATTATGGATCTCTGTTCTTGTCCATTTCTAATTGCATCTCAACCTTTCAAGTAAAGAATATTTTGTTGTTGTTGTTGTTTGTTTAAATTGAACAATTTAAATTTCCTATGTTAATTCTGTCGATAGAGAATGGATTTCTGTAATTTTGTAGATTTGTGTTAGATTATGGAATCTGACAAATTCATTCGGAGTACACACAGTTCTTGCATATTGGTTGGTTGGTCACTGGTCTTGTCTGATCGTCTATAAGTCATTCTTTGTGAGTACTGATTGTGTTTTTGTTTTTTTCTAGTAGTTTAGATGATTGAATCTTTAACTTTTGCTTCTTAGCTAGTTCTCGTAAGATTTAGTGTGGTGAAATAACTAACCGTGTCGAAATTGATTTAGTAGCATACATACATGCCGCTTGAAGATGATCATCAATTCTCTAACACATAACTTCACCAACAGAAAAAATAATGAAGAAGTTGAACATATAGTCATATAGACAAAATTATTGAAAGTGAAATATGTTTCTCCAAACCAAAGAAGAAAATAGTAATAGTCATACACACAAATATAGGCATGATAGAGGAAAGGAGAGGAGACTTTGTCGACTTTCATCTCCCCTCATTGATCTTGACTCCAAGCATTGGCTTAAAGTCGCTCTCTCTGGGGGTGACAAAGCTCGTGGAGTAAGACGTAGAAGTGCCTGTGACGCTGAAAGAGGATTTTGAGGTCTCATCAAAACTCCAGTCGGTTAGGTAGCCTGGCTTAGAGCTTACATCACTGACCTCAAGGTCTCCTGAAAGCATGGCCACCACTTTTGACATGGGTGGTCTCAAGGAATAAGATGACTGTGTGCACAAGAGAGCAATGCCTATCATGCGTTTCACTTCTTTCATGTTGAATTCACTCATCTCATCATCTATTAGTTCTACTTCTTGTCTTTTCTCGTGTAGGTTCCATGCCTGTATAGTATTGTATTAATTGTTAATACACCACCACAATTATATATGGATTTTTCTTGTGTAACAAGCAAGGTCCAAGAACGTACGTACCCATTCAAGAAGATATTTCTTTTCATCCTCCAGCTTCACATCAGAGTTTTTCCTCCCACTGATAAGCTCAAGAGCCACAACGCCAAAGGCATACACGTCGGTTTTCTCTGTTAGGTGTCCACGCATGGCATACTCTGGCGCAAGATATCCACTTTTGCATTCGTACAAATTAACAACATCATATATATGATCATAAATCTTATACATTAATTAGAAGAAAAAGTTGAGGAGACGTACATGGTTCCTGCCACTCTGGTGCTCATGTGGGTTTTCTTGTCATCGTATAGCTTTGCAAGCCCAAAATCTGAAACTTTTGGAAGCAGTTTAGAGTCAAGCAAAATGTTGCTGGCCTTCACATCCCTGTGTACTATGCAAACACTCGCCTCCTCGTGGAGGTAGGCTAGACCTCTGGCTACTCCCATGCATATCTCAAAACGGGTTGACCAATCTAGATTTAAAGTCTTGTTATCTCCTCCTGCAACATCGAGGGCATGCATATATAATGAGTAACTCGGCAGATAAATAAATTAACCATGCATTTTTATGTTCATTATAATTACCAAATAGTGCATGATCGAGACTTCCATTAGGGAGGTACTCGTATACGAGCAAACGATGATCTCCTTCATAGCAGCATCCGTAAAGTTTTACTAGGTTGCGATGCATGACTGTAGAAATTGTTATGATCTCTGCAACAAATTGTCCCTTCCCGTGTCGAGAACTAACCGACAACACTTTCACAGCGATGTCTCTTCCATCATTCAGCTTTCCCTTTTGAGTTAATTGATATGTGTCAGAAATTAAAAAAAAAAAAAAATGTGTTGGTTTGTTGGTTAATTAATTTACCTTATAAACAGACCCAAATCCTCCCTCGCCAAGCTTGTTAGTGGGATCAAAATCTTGAGTGGCACTTTTAAGTTCAGAGTAAGCAAAAATGTAAGGCTTTGCGTCCATACTAAGCAGCTCTACAACCACAAGAACCTGTTAGAAAGATGATATTGAAGCTGAAAGACTTATATGTGTTGTTATGATTATAATCACCTTCATCATTTGTGTAACGCTTTCTGCTTTTTCGGATGATGAAGATAACCACACACGCAAAGATGCTCAAAAGTCCTAGGCCAACAATGACACCCACGACAGTTCCAGTCTTCTTCTTATTTCCCTTTGATGGTGGCCTGTTAGCTACAGTTGGTGTAAAATCTGAACAAGAATATGTAACACTTAAAGCATCATTAGGAGGCAGATATAATTTATTTAAAGTAAATAAAAAAGGAATTTGCGGGTTATTGTGATACAGTACCTGGTTTTGCACTGACCGCCGATATTAGTGGTCCATAAGTACCTAGAATAGGAATACAACAACTTCCTTTGCCAGCCCATAAAAGATGAATTTCCAGGTAATTTTGTGATACATTAGCTTTATATCTTCTCTGAACTGCTTGGACAGTAGTGTCACCAGATGTTCTGCGTATATCAAAATCTTTTTCAACACGTCTTCCCTGGAACAAACAGAACATAAGCTAGCTAGTTAGGTCTCATAAGATTATTACACCAACGTCAAGTTAACTTGTAAAGCAAGCAAGCGATACCTGGACATAGATATCAAAACGTCGTGTTCCTAAACCTCTCCAAGAGTTAGAACCAAGAATTTGTATTTCAGCAAACTGAAGTGTTACGGTATAGCCTCCATTTTCCAGCCCCAAACCATAATACCGTAGAGAAGATGAAGAATGTCTTGCTGACTGAAAAAGCTCTGAGTCCAAAGTGTTGATAACCCATATATTATTGCTACTCCCGGAATAAAGTCCTACACTACTGGCTGCCCATCTCTGAACATCACTCACGACAAATGAAGCTGATCCAAGATCATCGTCCTCCCTCTCAAATACTGCTCCCCCAACACTTCGTATTTGTGGGCCTCCGCAGTTGATCGAAAAATCAGAATCTAAATAAACATGTACACCAGACTGTAGATTAAATCTTTTGCAAAAAAATATCAACATCGAACATACAAGAACAGTGGTGATCAAAGTATATATCTTTGTTACTCTTACAGATTCCTTTGCCTCGATTGCAGGGGAAGTTCTTCTGCAGGCAGTTCAGTCCTGAAAAAGCTCTTTTACCAATAAAAGAAAACATGTTTACACAAGGAAGAGAAATAAAATGATCAACAAGAACATATTTAATAAAATCACGTACCTCTTGTCAAGACCTTCCAAGGTGAAGTTGTTAGCAACAAGGTTGCTGCAAAAATAACATACAATTTGGTTATGATTCTAATAAATATTTCCTATAAAATTAAGGAAGCCAAAAAATGTCCCGAGGTTTGATAAATACAAATAGAGATACAGAGTTATTTGTGTACTTACGGTTTCAACTTCTGTAAGCTGACCCATGAAGGCAAACTACCAGACAAATCATTGTACGAAACATCTCTAAAAGTAAAGTTAAAAGAAAAATGATTAGGATCTAGAGAATGTGTTATGTGTGTCAAAAGGGTATCTTGTACAAAACTTGAGTCTATATCATGACTTTCAAATATGATCAATTGTAACTCACATATTGCTCAAAGTCTGGCTCTTTTGAGTGGGCAAAGAACCATTCAACGTGTTGTTTCCCAGAAACCTAATATGAAGACATGAAAGTTTTCCACATATATATATATATATATATATATATATATATATTATCCTGCCAGGAAAGTGTGTATATAATGAGCCAAAATAATATTTAAGGAAGAAAACTTACAAGTGAGTAAGTCGACCTAAGTTGAAAAGTGAAGCCGGAATTGGTCCATGTAGTTTGTTGAAGCTTAAATCACTAGAAAATAGACACACTAACTTCAATATATACTATGGGGAAAAATGAGAAATAGTATTATCACCAGTGTTAGGTGACTTTCACAGATCATCTCACTTGTTTTAGAGTAAAGACTCGTTGCACTTACACTTGTTGCAGACTTGAGTATTCTCCGATATTGGAGGGTATAGTCCCAGTGAAATTGCTGTTCCTCAAAACTCTGCCACATAATACACAAGAGTAGATTATGATTTGATCATGAACATGAATTGGGGATTGAATAAGTAGTTGAATCAAAGTTCTCTTACAATATATTTAGAGATTTCATGTCTTTGATGAATTCAAGAGAAGAGCTTCCATTGGATATATCACTAAGACTCCTATAATATTTAGGATAGGATTATCAATCATGTGGAGGAGAGAAAGAATATAGTAAACATTAATGACTCTTACACCAAACATACAATTCTCTCAAAGAAGTTAAGTTGGAAAATGACGACGGTATCGGACCATTCAAACCAGTTCCATAAATTTTCCTGCAGTAAAACATGGTAGCAACCCAAAATTTTAATTGCCATGAAAACTTTTCCTCCAAAAAAAAGTAAACAATTAACATAGATTAATAAGATAATAGCAAATTAACAAAAGCAGTGTAACAAATACATAAAAATATACACATCTCTGTAAAAATGAAATCATTCTTACAAGATAGTAAGTTTTGTCCATTTTCCTATAAATTCCGGTATCCGACCAGTAACGTTCACATCGTTAAACCAACTGGTGCATTCAAACATGAAGGGAAAAAATCATAAAAGAGTTAGAAATCCAAACATATATAAAACTTAATTATATGCAAATTTAAGAAAAGAATATCTTACGCGTCTTCCATCTCAACAAGATTAGCAAATGATGAAGGTATTTCCCCACTAAGTCCAGAATTTCCCAGGTATCTGCAATAAAATGTAAGAAATGCTTACAACACTAGACGATTTTGAAAGTTTATTAATCAAGTTTTCATATCTGAATTAAAAACGCAGCATAAATACATTTAAGAGTACTTTCTCACATTTTCAGTAGTTTTGTACAATTCCCAATCTCAGGTGGTATAGAACCGGAAAAGTTATTTAAACCAACACCACTGCATGCAAAAAATGTAGGTTTAGTAACAAAGAAGCATCAAGATGTAACATTTTTTATAGTTTTGAAGAAGAATGGAAAAAAAAAAAAAAAAAAAAAGAGAAGAAGCGTACAGCGATTTCAAGTTTGTAAGCAAACCAATTTCCTTGGGAAAGGGGCCAGACAAGGCATTGATCCCAAAAGTTCTACAGTAGTTGAGAAACAGTTGAAGCGTGAGAGACAAGAAAAAGAGATTAATAAAGAAAAAAAAAAAAGGAAGAATAAGAATAAGGTTTTATTCAATCAAGCCAGCAGCCTTACATCCATTCCATTCGAATCAAGTTTCCAACTGCAGGAGAAAGGGTGCCTGTAAGATAATTTTGAGCCAGGTTCCTGAAAGAAAGAGGCATATATGTGATTTTGTGCATGCTCGTTTATGATGATGATAAGATTAAAGGAAAATGTAAAGTCCATACAGATTCGTGAGGTATGTCAAAGTCCAGAGCTGTGGAGGTATAGGTCCTCGGACATCTAACGCATAAACCTTGCTGTAAATTAAATGAAACAAACACTCAGTGAGTGGATGCACAAAGACAGTAGATAGAATTAGATAGAAAGAGATAAGCTGTACAGGGCGGTGATGCGGCAGATTGTGGAGTCGACGTCGCGGTAATTACAGTTGCATTTGATAAGAGGGTTGTAGGCTTTGTCGTCGATGGTGATGCTCTCGTCGATGGCGGCGCCGGAGCAAAGTTCGCCGCTGATGTTCCATTCCTTCGGCGCCCGGATCTTCCAAGCCGCGAAGATGGAGTTCAAAGCTCGCGCTGTTGTTGTTTATCCCACGACAATTAACCTTCAGTTTACTTAAAACCAAACATAACTTGTAAATTAATTATTATACAAGTGTTCAAAAACAGAGCAGAGACCTTCGTCTTGTTGAGTAGTGGCTACGGTTTGGATTTGAGCTCGAATCTGGTGAACCGAACCGGAAATACACATCAGGAACCAGACGGTGAGGAGCATACACGTGGACATCGTCGTCGTCGACAGAGTTTTTTTTTTTTTTTTTTGGTTCACAACAAGAAACAACGGTTGTGACTTGTGTGTGTCTATCTTACTACACTAGAAGCTTAAGCTTTGTGTGTATCGTCGTCTCCTTAAATGGTAATCTCTTAATTTTGTATTTTTTGTTTTTTATGGACTTAGGTTATCTTTCTTGACTTATATTCATTCACTTGTATATGTACTAACCAACCAAATGACATGATAAGATTAAGTGGACCACCCGTCTTAACTACAGTTCATTTCAACCCACATTTTAGTCATTTAGTCGTCGGCTACTTAGTCTTTCCTCACGTTTTTGGAATAATCCACTTACGTAATACTAATTATCAAGAGAGACTTGTGAATATGCAATTGTTTTTGTGGACGTAAATTAAAGACTTTTCACAGCCTGTTTGCTTTCACTCCTAAAGTTCTTTGATATATTTTTCTATTGAATTGAATTTATAATTAGTTCGAACCCAAAAAATTGTTTGTTACATCAATAGTTTAATAAGATGAGAGTGAAAACATAAATCAATGTGTGGACAAGAGATTAGCTCATCGTTTCAAACCAGAACTGAAGCGCGTCTTCGTATCCCCTAACTGTCTGATGGAGGATAGATATATATATATATATATATGCAGTTTCGAATTTGCTTATTAATGATTCTCATGAGCTGATTTGAAGAAAAGGGAGTCATCTCCATGTAAGCGTGAGTTCCTTTCAGTTTTAAATACATAGCGAGCAAAAAATATAGGTCTCCAGGGCTGAGTTGAATCAGATATGAAAGAGATAACGACGTGCCAATTGCCTGAGAATTTTCTTTGAAGAATTCCTCCACCCAAACCCACATTTATAATCTATTCTGGTCATAAGTAAATTTAAAGTTATAGTCAGTGGTTGTAGAATTCAGCTATGCGTACCTTTCATCGCAAGTAACATCTTCTCTCACTGATCTTGGCTCCGAGGAATCAGAAGCGCCTGTGTCTTTACTCTTTAGTTTGAAAGACATCGATAGAGGAGCTTGAAAATCTCCAGCCTGGCTTAGAGGTGACATCACTCATCTCAACAAGTCAACATCTCCTGAAAGCTTGGCCACCACCAACCAAATAAAAGTCCAAAACCATGATTATGGATCGGTGGACCACCACTCGCACACTTCATTATTAATTTCAATGCCATACTTTCCACGAACGGTCTTACCATGCTGATGTTATTGATCAAGGCCAACTTTGTACGAATGGAAATGCTTTTTGTGAAATAGACAAGACTTTTTAAGTCTTTTTTTAATTGCGTAAAGGGCTAAAGGCACTATTCCTCTGTTTTCTGATTTTTTTTTTTTGAGATGTATACTCACTAGCTATAAACTTCTTGTGAAATACCCACCAACGAAGATGCTCTTATGGGTTTTGGTTCTCAAGCTTTGATTTAAAGCTCCATTCCTTGCTGCCCTTAATCTCTACAATTCTCTTTATAGCTCTTCTGTATTAATCTCTTCAAACTTCACCAGCTACAAACTTCTCTCTCAACATATTCGATTTAGAGCTTGAATATTTTATTGAATCAAGTGTAATCTGTTTCTCCAATCAAAGGAACAAAAATGTGATCCTCATATATATACACAAACATCTCTATAACCAACCCCACTATACGTAGTTTTAATAGAGAAGGGTGGGTCGACTGTCATCTTGATCTTGGCTCCAAGAATTGGCTTAGCGTCTGTGTTTCCAGGTGAAATCTCGGAGCCAGGTGTCACAAAGCTCGTGGACAAAGATTCTGAAGCGCCTGTGTTTTTGGTTTGAAAGCCGCCGCTCAACATTAGTTGTGACGTTGGCGACTTCTTTAAGGTGCCGGAGATACGAAACATGTATTACTGTCTTGGTCAAAATCAAAAAATTAACCAAAAACTTTTACAAGGTTTCTGAAAGAATCAGATCTCATACAATACAACAGAGAACAACAAACAATTCACATTTTAATGCTACACATCTCTCTTTCTCTCTCTCTCTGCACACTATATCAATTACAATCCAAAGCAACAAAATAAACACTAAGAACAATCAACAATTTTTTCTTCTTCTTGATAATCTACATGATTCTTCTCCCAACAGAAAGCAGCCATGGCAGAAGCACTTGAAGCTCAGGCTCCTATTAAAGAAACCAATAAACAGCAGCTAATTGATCTTCTTCGGATCATTCAGAACAAACTCTGCATACAAATCCTTCAACGCAATCACCACCGTCGTTATCAACGGTCCCATTATCGCTCCCTGCAACAAACAAAAACATTACAAAAACCTCAAATTTTTGTTCCAAAATTCACAAAGATCAAAACTTTTGTCTCTTTCTGTTACCTCGAGAGCAGAAGGAAACAGAGTCACCCCACCAATAATACTCAGTCCAGTAATGTAAGCATTAGACCCAGGAATGTCATCTTGAATCTCCGAAGCACCATACTCCATCAACACAAGATGAGTCACAGATAAAGTCACCGCAACAATGTACCTCCCTTCCAGCACCAGCTGCAACGCCGCCGGGATCGTCGCCACCCAGTAAGGGAAAATCGGCAACAGGGCGCTGATAAACGCGAGAACAGTCGACATGTAGAGAAAATGTATCTTGTACAGCCTAAACAACAGCCAAGTGAGACATCCTTGGAAGAAGGCAATCTCCGCCGTCGCTAAAAGCACGCCGGAGATCGCCATGTCGAGCACTTCAACGCATCTGACTCTAGCTGACGGGTTGATCGGTAACATGTTCATGACTTGCTCCGTCACACCACCTGACTCAGACGTGATCAAAACGTAAAGAACCCAAATGAAAACCATCAGCTGAGAGACGAAGTTGAAGAACTCGGCTGCTCCGGAGATGATCGAGTTTCCGATGGAGAAGACGAACTTGGCTCCGCCTCCAACAACCGATGCGCTGCTCGAGAAAACACGTTGAGACACATCCATTCCTTTCACAGCAAAGCCTTTAGCTTTCTCCACCAAATCCTCTCTCGTGATGATAAGCTCCCTGAAGATCACATCAACCTCCGAGTAGATTTGTCCCCACTCCTTGTTCTTGACCCGAGTCCTCAGGCTCATGAGCTTCTCCGTGTAAGGAGACGGAGCTATAAGGGCCGTTGACGGCGTCGACGTGTTCTGAGGCTGCCCGATCACGAAATGCTTGATCCCTGTGACTAGCTCCGTCATGTTATACTGCATTGCTAAGCTATCGATCTGCTCTGAGACCGTCTCGTAGAACTTCGTCGTGTACATGTCAACCATCCCGGGGACATCGTTCTCGTCCATCCACTGCTTGATCCCAATCTTCTCGGCGTAATTGCTCTCTTCCACGTGAGATTTCAGAGAGAAGACTGCGTCTTTCCCTTCAACGCCGATCTTGTAAGAGAAGAAGATGACACCAGTCAGAGATCCAAGAATCATGAGCACAATCAAACCGATGGCAACGATTGTGTTGAGTCTATTCATTATCCCTCTGGTGAAGTAAGCAGTGAAATGGCTTCTCCTGAAGCTGTTGCTCCTCAGGGAAGAGACGGCGGAGAGAGTCGAATCGACATTCTTGGCACTAAAGAGAAACCCTAAAGCGAGGATCACGAGAGACCCAATAGCCCCAATTCTCTCGTAAGCGATCACAAACACACCGAAGGAGACTAACCATTTGACCAATTTCGAGAACCCGGTGTCGTTCCTCTTCCTCGGTCTCCTGGGTTTCGATCTCCTTAGAAAAACCCTAAAGCAGACGTTTTTGATATCCGCAATCGATCCGATGAAGACGTTGAAAATCGAGACGGGAACAGCGAGGATGACTTCCGTGAGCCCTAATTTCAAGGGCTCGCTCCAGAAATCGACGAGGGTTTCTTGTATACCTCTCAAGGGAATCGAACAGAGAATCGCCCACTGAATCGGTCTCAGGTACTCTTGCAACAGCTTCCCGACGAAATACAGGACGAAAATGGCGAAAGCGAGACCGGCGTGAGCCATCGCTATGTAGATAGCGAGACGCGCCTGGGAATCGACGGAGGCTAGCGACGTCATTCCGGGTTCTCCTCCGTCTCCTCCTCCGGCGGCGGAAGGTTTTCGCGGCGGCGATGAAGACGAAGAAGGAGGCTCTTGAGGTTTACGGGATGAGGCGGAGCGGAACATGTCTTGCCACGGGAGATTTGCGGGGATCGATGATTTCGTCTCCGAATCGTACGGGACCAATTCCATCAATTCTCTCTCCCTCCAAGACCCGATTTTGAAATCTACAAGGAAGAAGATTTTTTGTTGTTTCCTTTCGCCTTCAAAGCTGAAAGGAGAGAAATGGAAAGAGGTTTTTCAGATAATTATTTATTTTTATTTTTTTCCTTTCAGATGATAATCGAATGTTATGATTGGCCATTAATGGAGACAGACAGAAGGAGAAACATATCTTAGTTGTTTTAATTACGAAAATACCCTAACCGACGACATAGTCTGACACCACCACAACTGGTTCAAATATTCTCCTTTACATGATTGATGGTCTAATTCTCGAATTTAAATCGGTAACTGGAGATAATTATAGTATTATTATACTATCCATATAACATTCTATGAACCTTCTTTTGTGCTTTTAACAAATGAACCAATACAAGTTGTCAAGTGTCATGTCAACCAAAATGTAACATTATACATGCCTGGATGGAACATGCATGATGCAACAAATTAAGCCAGATACTTTAACGCAAGTCACAATCTAACACGTTCTCACCATTTCTATTTGTTAATGTGAAATCGAAAAAATATGAAATTTCAAAAACAAGCATTCGATTTCTAAACAAAACCCGATCACCATTATATTAAGCTTAAAACAGTTTTGCTTTGTGATGATGTGGTTGTAAACGGTACAATTTATATAGACTATGTCTATGAGTTATGTTTAATAGATAAAGTATACAAAGATATGATCAGACGAAAAATAGGACGACACGAACAATTTGATGAAACAGCAGTCGGTATATAGATCAAACCGATCACTACTTTTCGCATGTAAAACGGTGGACTATAAATTAAAACGGAAAAACGAACACAAACTAGAGCTTAAATTCTACACAAAAGAATGTAAGTTTAGTACATCCAGAAAAGATAGTTGATCCCATTGAGTGTCTTTCACCAAAGACAGCTACCTTGTTACCAGCCTCCACTCCTTCTACTCGTGCCACTGTTCAGGAAAGTAAGCAAGCTGAGCTTTCTCTTGGTTCTAACCAGTTCGCATCTTTGATTTCTTTTGAGGAGGAAGATGTGACTTTGGTTTCTCCGGAGGAAGAAGAAGTGTCGTTAGATTTAGACAAAGAGTCTGATTGACGGACTTTATGACACCTTTGGGTAAAAGAATCCTTCGAGAAAGACCAGTGAAGCCATCAACAAAAGCTAAAGAGATGATTTGGCAAGTTGCAGGTGGTGGAAGAGGTAATCGAGGTCGTGGAAAGAGAGGTGGACGTGGCTAGATGCCTTCATCCTCATTATCCTAGAAGTCAATCGATGCGGAAGACTCGATTGTGTAATGGTATCAAATGTACCCAAAGCTTTTTCACTACTTGTTTCTGCTTTTAAAAAACTGTGTGACCTTGTGTCATGGCTTGTAACGTTGTTTCTTTGTTACTCATCAATAAAAACTACTCGGGTTAAAAACAAAAAAAAAAAAAAAATCTACACAAGTTTAAATTCCTATAATATCATGAACTAAGAAACAAAGAAGTATATATGTTAACAAAAATATAAACAAATTTTAAACTCTCTTTACAACATTACTAGAGAAGTATGTGTACATTTCGTAATCTCTGAGATATTCAAAAAGAAAAAGCTCATAGGCCTAGCAGATTTACATGTAATTATATGTATCCTTATGCAATGAACTTCTGATCATTTGCCCCCACTTCAGATTTTCTTCATTAACGTATGCAGACTGCTGATGAACCGGGCCAGTCGACTAACAAAATTTGGATTTGGACCGATGTAGAATGTGCTGGATCAATAGAGGCCCATCAATCTCTCTATCTTTTTACAGGGACATTTATAGATTGCCACTGCTTTCAGTGATCAGTAGTTCAAAACTTCAAATACACACTTTCACGTAAAAAAAAAAGGATTCCTTTTGTGAACCAAGCAAAACCGGGTCCTAACTATATTGGTGTTACGTTTTAATCAATACTAAAATAGACAGAATTTAAGTGGTGGTTCCACATAAACTTACATATTAGTATAATATGAAGATAAAATTATACAAAGAGATGGTGACGTGGCCATGCAACCTTTTTGTTTTATTAAGTAGGCCCTTCAAGAGTTTGTTGAGACTTCAAAATCTTGGAATTAAAGCCTCTCGATTTCTAGGTCAAGCGTACATGTGAAGTCATTGTTATTCGTAAAATGAAAAACTTAAGTAGTATCAGATTTCCATCAGTTATACCATATAATAATTCATTTGTTTACCCAAAAAACAATACATAACTTACAAGTATAACACGTATAACGCAAGGAACTGCTATTTAATCATTTGTCTAACTTACTCTACTCTCTCCCCTTTTTGTAGGTTGCGAAACTAACTAATTAACGATACTTTTAAAGTGCAAATAAGTGGTAAAATATTATGTTGTATTTGAAATGAATTGAAATAGGTTTTATAATTCATTAGATTTTAAAAATTTGTGTTATATCTATTAATCTCGGCAATACATTTTAGATTCTGTTTTAAATAATTTACTCATAGAAATCTATAGTAATTTATTTGAAATAACTCAATAAACAAATGATTTTAAAAGTCATTTAGTTTTGAATAACAATGAATTTTAAATCTAGATTTGAAATCTTGATTGAATAACACTGGATTTGAAACTCTATTAATGAAAGATTATAAATCAAATATCGAATAACACTAGATTTTAAAATCGAATTTGAAATCTTGATTAAATAACACTAGATTATAATTCAATTTTAGTTATTTTAAATACAACATCCAATAAATATATTGACTAAAATAATATTTTGCGTTTTAAACTTAACCGAGCATTATAGCTAACGATATGCTATGTTTGTGATCACAAACAATAGTGTTTTTTGTTATCTCTGTACTGTTAAAACAAAAATACCTCGTACCGAGCTGAATAATTTTTGATCAACGAGGTCACAAAATTGGACGTACATTAACTCTGCACGTGGCTACTTACACAGTCGACAATTTTCGTAGAGGGAACAAATAAACAAAGATCCCTGAAAAAAATCATAATTTTTCTAAATTTTTGGAGATAAATGATGATATAAATAAAACAGAAAGATACGCTATGAAACTGCGTCTTCAAGCAACAACTGCTTCATTTGCTCTCTCTCTCTCTCTCTCTCTATATATATATATATATATATATATATAAGGGCTCTTTGCCTCTTCTATACACCAGCCGAAACAATCATATTATTCATGACATTATATCCAGATATATATTTTCATTCCTTTTCCGCATTTTTTATCTGAAAAGCCAAGTTTTCTCATTTCTCTCCATCCAAATGGAAAATGTGATCTGGGTTTTTCACAGAAACGATTGAAATACAACACAATCGGAGATTTTTTTTTTTCAAATGGGTCTGGTTGATTCTTTGTTTGGAAAAGATGCAAGGAAATTTCTCAAAAGGAAAGATAGTGATGCTGCAGAAGCAGGTGAATGGTTATAATAATTCATTTAACTGCTCGTCTTCCTCATTTGATTTGCCTCGTTCATTACAATATATTACAAAAATTCAGTGATTTTGTCTTGATAAAAGAGATGATGATGCTTTGTTCTCAAATTGTCTCTGTTCTTCAATCGTTAAATATTCAATGGTTTTCATCGGATGGTTATCATTAAAGGATTTTGTTTCCATTTAAGGAATTTAATGTTTATCACCTGTTTGATGAATTGCTTCTTAAGAAAAAAGGAATTGCCTTTTGATCTGTTTATGGATCGTTTTGTGTTTTATTGAATCTCGACAGGAAGAGCTTTGGAAGAACTCAGAAGCACTTTATACAATGAGCTTAAAACATCAGAAGGAGCTAAACGGCAACAACAGAGGTTTTGCGGCCCTGTTGTTGCAATGTCATTCAATTTCGTTGTTGCAGTTGGAATCATCCTCGCCAATAAATTGGTAATTTAGCTTCTTCTTTCTTTCTTTCTCTTTTTTTTTGTTGTTGTTGTTGTTCCATGTTCTTGTAATAGTAATCTTCTTCTTCTTTTGTGTGTGTGGATTTGATTGTGCAGGTGATGGGAAGAGTTGGATTCAATTTCCCAATCTTTCTAACATTGATTCACTACGCAGTTGCTTGGATTCTTCTAGCTTTCTTCAAGTCTCTCTCTTTGCTTCCAATGTCTCCTCCATCAAAGACAACGCCTTTCTCCTCCCTCTTCTCTCTTGGAGCTGTCATGGCCTTTGCTTCTGGTCTCGCTAATACCAGTTTGAAACACAACAGGTCCATAGCTCAAGCTCTAAACTGACCTTTGATAACACTAATCAGACTGTAAAGAGAGATTGTGCTCTGTTTCATCATCTTATCTCATACTTGAAAGTTTCTATTTTTTGTTTTGTTTCCAGCGTTGGATTCTACCAGATGGCTAAGATCGCTGTGACACCAACGATTGTCCTTGCAGAGTTTGTTCTTTTCAAGAAAACCATTTCTTCCACAAAGGTTATTGCTTGAGTTTTATGACATTTCACCTGATTAAGTAAGAACTCTCATTACAAGGCTTTTTTGCTGGTGCTTACTCTGTTTTAGAGTTTGTTCTTTCACAGGTCATGGCATTAGGCGTAGTATCTCTAGGCGTGGCGATCGCGACAGTCACCGATCTAGAATTCAATTTGTTCGGTGCATTGGTTGCTGTTGCTTGGATCATCCCAAGCGGCATCAACAAAATCCTCTGGTCTAATCTTCAACAACAAGCTAATTGGACTGCCCTAGCGTAAGAATCTCACTCTTTCTCTCCTTTACTTGAGGCTTAAGCAATAAAAGTCTCTTTAAGATAATAATAAAATATTTGTTGAATGTAGATTGATGTGGAAGACGACACCGTTCACTATCTTCTTCTTATTGGCTCTCATGCCATGGCTTGACCCACCTGGAGTTTTGCTGTTCCAATGGGACTTGGCTAATTCCTCCGCAATTCTCGTCTCGGCTCTTCTCGGCTTTCTTCTCCAGTGGTCTGGTGCACTCGCTCTCGGGTTAGTCTTTTGTTCTTTGCTTCGCTGTGAAGATCATTCTTGAGCTTACATGATTTGCTTCTGCGTCATTTAGCTGTACAGAGTTCATGAACAGAACATAATGAAACCGAAACCGGTTCAGAGTCATTACGCAAACCGGTGCTAAAACATCAATTCATTCTCGGTTATTAAATGTTGGTTTAGTTTAATTAAATTTATATGCTTTACTTGTTGTGTTAACTTGCCAAATGTTGTTGTTGTTTTGTTACAGGGCAACCTCAGCAACATCTCATGTAGTATTAGGGCAATTCAAGACATGTGTGATATTGCTTGGAGGTTACGTTATCTTCGGCTCCGATCCTGGCTTTGTCAGCATCTGCGGTGCTGTAGCGGCTCTTGCCGGTATGTCTGTGTACACGTGGCTCAATCTTCCGGGGAAATCCATCGATCACAGCTCGAACAAGCTGCTTCCGAAGCAAAACGCCGCCGTTTCAAAACCTAAAGACGACGGTGACAACGGAGGAGGAGAAACCGGAGTAGCTGAGCCACCTCTCTCGAAGACCACAACTGCAAATATCGTATAGGTTTTATATTTTCTTTTTAGATGCGAAAAAAAAATAGTTTACTTTTTTCTTTCTGAGGGTTGAGCTTGTAATATTGGTTTAGCATATTTTGCTATCTAATTGCAATATTGCATATCAGTAAATATAATAATTTTACCGGTTTTGATTTATTGTTACTGTGAGAGATGTCTATAGATACACCATTCGTTTTTCTTGGACTTAAAAAATCGACAAAACTAATATCAAAAACATCTGAGTTATACAAGTTTGCACCAATGAACGGTAAATCAACATCATACAAAGGCTGTAAAAACTTCGAAGCTTACAATAAAAACATCTCAACTGTAATCAACTTCTAAAATATTGAAACTGAGGGTGTAATCTTACATTTTAAGTATTTTGAAATTATAGAAATCGTCAAAAGGTTTAAAGAGTTTACTAATTTCACCAAAATATCGATGCTTTAAGATTACACCCTCAGTTTCTATAGATACACCATTCGTTTTTCTTGGACTTAAAAAATCGACAAAACTAATATCAAAAACATCTGAGTTATACAAGTTTGCACCAATGAACGGTAAATCAACATCATACAAAGGCTGTAAAAACTTCGAAGCTTACAATAAAAACATCTCAACTGTAATCAACTTCTAAAATATTGAAACTGAGGGTGTAATCTTAAAGCATCGATATTTTGGTGAAATTAGTAAACTCTTTAAACCTTTTGACGATTTCTATAATTTCAAAATACTTAAAATGTCCGGTATAAAGTCGGGCCGACCCGAACCCGGTTATGTGCGGGATCCAATCGAATTCCACTGTCGTTAACAAAAAGTTGATCTCAGAACGTTTCGATTGCCTTACGACTTCATAATTTCCTTTCTGTAAATCCACCACCGTACTCCGGCGAGTGGTATTGTAAGGATTGACTCAGTGAGTCTCCGATCGAGTTAGATTGAGATGGGAATGGGAAGTAACGGCGAATTGAAGTATGAGATCTCTCAGGACGCGTACATTAAGCTCGTTCTCCACTCGCTGCGACACAAGACGGCGGCGGTCAACGGAGTCCTCATCGGTCGAGTCAGCCCTAAGGACGAAGGAATCGTAGAGATCTCTGATTCTGTGCCGCTCTTTCACTCTAACCTTGCTCTCCTTCCTCCTCTCGAGATCTCGCTCCTCATGGTCGGTTTCTCTTCTTCTTCTGCTTCTTCTCATTCTAGGGTCCCATTTTTCGCTGATATAGGTTTGATTCGTAAGCTTAGAAATTGAATTTTGGAATGGATACTGAGTTACGAATTTTGGAATTTTAGCTCGTGATAGTAAATGTAGTTGCAGCTGCATATGCTATTATTAGCTCCTTCTTGCTGTTCTATTCGTTGCTTGATTCTCAGTAAAGTGTTACTGATGTTTCCATTTTAATATAGAAAGTTCAGATCTTGAATTGTTTGGGTTTAACCACCAACACAACGTTGTTCTGTAGCTGTGTTCGAGAGTGATTTAGTGTCTGTATCTCTCAATGCGCATTGGCAGATGGGAAAATTCTTGGGTTTTTTTGTTTACTTGATCTGAGATTCCAGACTCACGGATTCAGGTTTATTTTTGTTGCTTTGATGTGTTAGATAGAAGAGCATTACGTGGCTCAAGGTTTGAGTATCGTTGGCTATTTCCATGCGAACGAGAGGTTCGATGATGTTGAACTCTGTGGTGTGGCTAAGAACATTGCTGATCACATCTCTCGCTATTTCCCTCAGGCACCGATTCTCTTGGTAAATGTCTTATCTTTTACTTCCAAGTACAGCAATTTATTTGATCGCTAGGTTTGACAATCTTATGTTGCACCTGTATTCTGTTTTGTAGTTGAACAACAAAAAACTTGAAGCCTTATCAAAGGGTAAAGATCGAAGCCCAGTGATGCAGGTTGGTATTTCTAATCATTAAAACGTTTTGAAAAGCTTAGGATAGCATTGGATATGAGACTTAGAAGTTAGTCAATCTAGTATAGACATATAGCAAGGCCACTCTACACCAGTATCGCTTCTTGGCATTGGACTTGGTATGTTGTTATGAAAAATATAAGCTCAGATTTTGTAGTATCTGCTAATATATTTTTAGTCCCGTCTCTTGTCTCATCGTTGCATTCATTATGTTTTATTGCATCCTAAAAAATACTGTAAACTATAAGATATAGAAAAAATTACCATACTAGCTGCTTACAGTTCCACACTGTCTACTTGAATTGTGTTAGCATCCTTCTTGACATCAACCTTACATCGTCCTTGTAATCAACACTTTTCTTGCTCTTTTCTTTTGGTACTTTCTGCTTGATGCAATTTTCTTTTGCAGCAGTTAAAAGGTCTGCTTAAACGGTTTTAGTAATGATTTATTTTGTGTGTGTGTGTATGCTAGCTCTGTGTGAAGGATGCTTCTAGGAACTGGAGAGTGGTTGGAGCAGATGGAGGAAGCAAGCTACTCTTGAAAGAGCCATCGGCCAATGTAGTTTTGTCAGATTACATTTCATCTGAGAAGTGGAAGGACGTCACAGATGTTGATGATCATCTTGATGATGTCACCAAGTAAGTTAGATTCACGATTGAAAAAAGCTATAACCTTTATGTACACGATGGTAATATCTCACTAACATTCACTGTAATTGCAGGGACTGGGTAAACCCTGGACTTTTCAACTGAAGACCGATCTGCGATATAGCTAAAATTAGATTTTTGCTTTCATCATCTTCAGTCGAAAAACAACAAAATGTTCGGAAACCTCTGTTTACAATTTCCCTTAAACCTTGTTCAAGTATTACGCGACAGAGCTCAGAATTACTTTTAATGGTTATACATCTTTATCATTTGAATGATATCTTTTTGGGGGCTTGTTCTTGTTCTCTTTAGTTGCATTTTGATTATACATACAGATGGAAAGAAAGCTCTGCTTTATTTGGCTATTGCTCTTAAACTTGCCAAGTGCATACTAAAAGTTGTAGAACATGAAACCAAATCTAGTGCTTAACATTTCCTGAATCGCTTAACTTTTCTTAATGATGGGTTTTTACACAGATATAAAGACCACCAAAGCGTTTCCGAAATCAACATTTACCGCCTTATCAGGGCAATGTTTCCATCTGCATCAACCTTACTGCACGGGACAGCCTTTAACGACAACACCTTTAGCCGTCGGGCAATGCGCTAGAGGGCAATGGTCAGTGTTCTCAAGCCCCCACCAGTCAGGTAAGCTTATGTCATTGTTCTGAAGCGCAAAGAAGATCAACACTCCCATGATGGCAGTACCTGCATCAAGCGCTGCAGAGAGGATGTAGTTGTGCCTTGCCCACCAAGTCTTAAACCTCCTGAAGATGTAGTAGTTGAACACAACCCCAACGATGGTCCAGGACCAGTAATGCACTGCCTTGGCTTGCGGCATTGCGCTCACTGCTGAGAAGATCAAGGGAATGTGGATCTGTTTCAACCATTTCTTCTCTGGGAACTTCTTGGATAGGTACCAGAAGGGAACCGGAGCCAAGATACCGATGAGGAAGAACCAGTTCATCCCTGGATAGATACCTTCTTTGGTAAACATCCTCCCTGGACCGATCACTCCCCAAATGATCGATGCATTGTAGAACACTTCATCTCCAGGACAAGTCCATGGACTACCAACCGGGAGCAAGTCCGTGTTACAGATGTTCTCCACAGAGGTAATGAGCCACCAGGTTGTTCCGAAGCAGACGGATGATGCAACTATAGTTGCAACAAGCTGGACGATGAACATAGATCTTGGAGGAATCTTCATGTAGTGACCAAGCTTGAAGTCTCCTACAAAGTACAAGGCTTGAGACATACTGATGTATCCGTAGGTCTTGAAAGCCACGTTGGCTAGTGGCTTCCCTGGGTATAAGTACCCGATGATCAGCTCTGTGATGACGTTAAGACCCATCTGCTGGTTGGTTGTTGCTTGGATGACTCCGATAGGCAACGTGAAGAAAAAGGCGATGAAGCAAGCGAGGATAAGTCCCCACCATGGAAGCTGAAGCTGTTTGTCAAAGCCCTCACAAGCCCAAAGTGAGAAAGCAAAAGAAACAATGAGAACCGCGACGAACCACGATTGAGGTACTGATTGGTAGTTCTTCTTCATCAGTCTCGAGTGCACATCTTCGTACTTGTCCTTTGTCGCTGTCTTTGCCTTCTTCCACATCCCCCATATAAACCTTAAGCAACAAACATTAAAAAGGTTAAAGAGAGCCATCATCATCATCAAATCAAGATTTTCAAAAGATGATGAAAGATACTTACTTTCCATCAAAGAGAGCGACGTGAGAGATGGTGGCGGTGAGAGAACCGAAGCTGAGACCATAGAGCAACGCAAACATGACACTCAAGTAGAGTTTGCTGTAATCGTTGTAAGCGTCTAGGTTGATATCAAAGTTCTTCTCGTTGAGGATACGGGTGATGTTATAGGTGTGTCCGGTCTGGTCAAAGGTCTGCGAAGTGTAGAAGGGGAACTTCTGTGCATCATAAGCATTAGTCCAGTAGAAGATAGGCAGAACAATGTACAAGAAGATGAAGAAACCGGCAAAGAAGTTGGCAATGGCGAAAAACGGCACAGCCAATGGACTCCCCAAGAAACCAGCAACCGTGGACCAATCAAGACCAAACGAACCGATTCCTAAACCATGCAGCCCCGAACCGACAATCTGAGCGGTCACTGAGCTCTTCCAAATCCAGCAGACGAATGAGATCGCGGAAATGGAAGGGAAAAGGTAACCAGGGATGATGTAGTAAGCAAAACTACAAGCAAAGACAATGAGGAAGAATCTAAGCCTGGTTTGTTGCCCTTTTTGTAGCTCCTCCTTCTCATGTAAAGCTCTGTTTTACATATTTTGACACAAACCAAAATCAGTGACCGGTTTCAGAGACTTTTGATGCAAGAAATGAAAAAACCGAAACGAACCTGAAAAGTGACACTTGAACCAAATTCGACGGCCACCACATGTACGGCGAATCCACCAAGAACTTCCTGAAAAGTCCGGCCCATCCATATCCCAATAACTGCAAGAAAATGAGTGTTAAAAATCAATAATCATATGAAAAATATGATTTTTTTAAAAAAAAAAGATTGCATTTTTTTAGCTACTGTTATATTCACCCATTAAAAAATGAGTTTTAAGACATTTTACGTACCTGAGTGGTTTGTGTGAGCATCATTGCGGCGGCGACATTGAGTTGACGATGGTAAAAAGCTTTAACAATGGTAATAATATTGGTGGCGTAAACACCTCCAGCTCCGGTGTTAGCAAATATTGTGATAAGAACATGTTCCTTCATATTGAACGGACCAGGATTAAACGACCAAGACCAGTTTGTCCCGGGAAACCCGAATTTCCTTGTCGGAAGCGTAGACGCCATGAGTTTCCCTAACGGTAAGGTCACGATCTGAGCAGCAACCGAAGACACCCAAAGCTGGTTCGACCGGAAATTAAAGAACTGGTTCACGAACGCAAGCAGTATGCAAGAGATAAGTCCGAGAGTCCATGTTCGGAATGTTAGGACCGGTTGTGATGGATCGTCGGTTATCGGTACAGTTAACCGGACTTCCTCAATCGGATTATCATTCTCCTCCACTTCTTCTTCTTCCTCCCCTGTTCAATCCAAAACATAATGAATAATTATCCAAAAACGAAGAATCGAGACAAAACCGGAGAAGTAAGAGATACATTACCGTTGATGACGATCTTGGACTCGTGAGGTTTGTCGTCGGAGGGTTTGTGTTCGTCGAAAACGCTCGTCATGGTTTTATCTTCAAGCCCCTTTTTCTGTCCTTCGCGATGGTTTTTTTCAATGAAACCGAGGTTGTCTCCGGCGGCGGTGACCGGATTTGTAGCCCTCGATTAACCACCAGTCGGAGTTTTTAAAAAGGTGGCCTGAAAATAAAAGATTACGATAACGTTTCCTTAGTTGTAGTTCCCTTAGTCCAGATGCATTTGTGCGTGGATTTTCCTTCATATATAGGACTCTAGACAATTTACACCACAGGAATCGTTTTTTACCGTTTTACTATAATTAAGACTAATGTGCGTAAATAAAGGATCGGTTTTTTTCTTTGGGTTTGAATTTTGTTGATAACAATTTTTAACTGAATTGGAATCTTCAAAATCGGTCAACTGTAGATTCTTTATTTAACTAGTGTGCTCAATGGAGTCAAAAACTATTTTTATTTTATTGCACCGGAAGAAAAAGAAAAGTAAAATGTTGGAATAATTGTGACGACCAAAAAAGAAGAAGAATTAAGTAGATAAGTATATAGCAAAAAGAGAGTGACGACATATAAACTATGTTTTCCGATAATTAAGAAGTTGAAACCTAACACTCTTTATACACTAGTGGAATCTCTGAATTCACATTTTATGTTTCAAGATTCCAATATAATTAACAAGTAAAATTATAATCGATAAACAAAAGAATAATCGGAAATAAAGCATAGACCATATGTAGAAAATCACTAGCTATAAGTATATCACGAAAACCATAGTTTGTCGTACAAGAATGAAAAGATTTTGAGCTTTTTTCAAGGAACTTACTTGGCCAACTCTATACTCGTCCCAAAACGTAACTCGCGATTACAAGCTTGAGAGAATTTTGTTTATGGAATCCTTTGAGAAGATGCATGCACATTTATAGGACGAGAAGAAAATCTTTTTTTTCCAGAGTATATGTTTACAGTCAATGCAGATTCTTCTTATTTCTATAAATAGATTACAAAGTCGTTTGCGTTTTGATTCGATATTCTATTTTTATAACATTTCCATGCATGGTTACTTCTCGCATTGTCTAGGTTCATTTTTACGTGTCTATTGCCACTTGCCAGCTCTAATGATTTTGACTTTTGATTTCATCTTTAATTGGAAGATACGGTTGAATCTAACCTGGCATATTCAATTCTCTAACAGAATCATATGTTACCTTTTTGAAAAAGTTTTGATGAACTTGGATGAACCGGGACATGCTAGAGGAAGTGGGTTCAGTTTTCTTTGTAAAGATCATCATATATATAGATGAGTTTGACTAATCTCATGATGAGCTAAACCAAATTAAACCGAAAAAACTGGTTCTTAAGCTTATATAATCGAATGGATAATAAAAATGAGATTCAGGATAGGGCTATCAACTGGCCGATAGGACATATATAATCGAGTTAAGTCAACTAATTATGTATCATTATGGTTATGACTTGTATAGACTGACTTTTTTATATACAGTAGAACCTCTATAAAACAATACTCGATAAAACAATAAACACTATAAGACAATAATTTTCTCCGGTCCCAACTCGGGCCAATGTAAAAAATAGCATAATGCGATAAGATGATAAGACAATAATATTTTTGAAACTCCTATGTAAAAATATAGTCCCAACAATAACCTAAGATAATAATTATAAAACTAAGGCATATATATCTAAGACAATTTAGTAAAATATGACTCCAATGTAGTTTGTCTTTTCTGAAAGTTGGATTCCCGTTGGAGCTCATCTCGAATTTTTCTTATTGGATCTACAATTTCTGTTGATGTATTCTCAACTTGCAGCCAAAAGTTGTGAAGAGTTCTCGAAGCCACAATTGCTTAACTACTTGCACATGTCTTTCCTCATCATCTTCAACTTCATCTTCACCATTAAGAACATTAGACATAATTTCTTCTAGATTTTGAACTTCTGAGCATGAAATATGTAAATAACAAAGTATAAGGAAAATTTGAATAAAAAAGTGAAAAAATATATGTCTATAAAGTTTCTTGTTTTTGATAGAATATTTCTATAAAATAATAATTATTGTTTTATCGATAAAATAATAATTCTATAAGATAATAAAATTTCAAAGTCCCAACATTATTGTTTTATAGAGGTTTTACTGTAACTGGAAGAGTTCGACTCCAAGTCCAAACGAATACTATATCCTGACTATATCTATATGGATAGGGGGTATGTGAAAACTCGATATAAAGAGGTGGATGTTCTCAATATATTGATTCGACTGACTTAAATGATGTTCGAAAGCATATAACAACTTTCGCTCGAATCGATCGACATATATATAAGATATTTCTCGAATCGATCGACATATATATATATATATATATATATATATAAGATATTTATTAGCTTTCGCAACCAGATTCTTGGATTGGGACTTTCAACCACACATCTAAGTACGTCATGTGAAAAGGATGTACATATGAGTATGACTATCATAAATTGATTTTCTTTTTTTGTTGAAAAACACCGACTCAAATGTAGATTTCAGCAAGAAAATTATGATTTCTATAAGTATTTTAAAATTTATACTACAAAAATAAGTTAAAATGTGTTCAAACAATTGATCGAAAACCGACCATAACAATGAAGAGGTGAGCTAGACATTAGTAACCAAGTATTTTCTTTGATATAATAGAACTAAAAACCCACTATTTATCAAAGTGATAGAACATTTTCTTGTTATAATATTTTGTAATAATATACACACTACACAGTACTATTAGCTACAACTTTTAACTTAAGAACCATATATCGCATATATATTGATACTTATCTATCAGTGGCTAGTAGTTAGCATGATTGCATAGAGTCCACATCAACTAAGCTTGTAAGCACAATACAGAAACTTAATGGCGACATATTTTCTCGACGCATGTTTCCAATACTACAAGATAAGGTGCTTTCGTGTCTTAACGATTATGACAATTTGATTACTACTTCCGTTGACTGAGGGGCGCATAGTTGACAAATCCATTAACAGAAGCATGTTCTGAACATTTTAGTATTCCTTTCACACTCACAAAATGACAATATGTATATGCACACAACTTGTTAGAAGAAGACGATGAACAAGCTTGAGAACTGGACCACGTACGTCTGAAAATCCAAATTCTAAGCAATCGATGGAAATACTTTATGAAAAAAACGTGGTCAACCGTTTTGTTTACTTTGCCACTATGAATGATTTTCAACTTTTTTCATGCCACGAATCTTGGAACTACATATCCTATTATAGATTGAGTTGTTTTTGTCACAATGCTAAAAATGAATATAGAAGAAAGGAAAAAAAAAATGTGAATAGAAACCATGAGTTTATTAAAGTTTGCAAGATTTTATGTGGAGATAATTCGGTCGTTCGGATGTTTTTTTTGTTTCATCAAAGCTTTTGGTACAAAATATATTTTCTTCAAGTTTTGTTCTCGTTTTGCAAGTTCAAAAGCTCGTATGTACCAACAAGATACACATTACCCACTTTCAGTTTGTGGTTCTGGTTTATCAAATGCTCCTCCTTTTTCTCTTTTTGATTGAGCCGTCTCAATCAAAGAGGATATCGCCTGTTTTTTTCGTTTGGTTTTTAATGTTCTTTGAATTTTGCTGTACGTAATATTACCTTACAAATATATATCCACACTAATTTCAAGGTTGTGTATTTATCATTTATGAATGAAAATGCCAAGAACTTAATGATTAAAAAATGAATAACAAGTGATTTCGATTGGACTTAATAATAAAGTCACCAATAATCTCCCTTAAAAAATTTGGTGAATAAAACCCAACAAAATTTGTTGAACAAATGGTGATCTTGTAGCAGTTTTTGAGTGGTGAAGATTTTTCACCATATATCAATTCCTCTAACATATGGTGGAGCCTATTGTTGAATTCTCTTTACTTTAGCCAAGCAACAACAACAAAACATGTAAAACTTGTTATTCTTCAGATCTTTATTGGACATTTAATCTAACAAGACCTATTTTTTATTTTCCAATCCAAAGGCTAGTGTGGCTTCTCCGAAGACAGTTTCATCAGTCCATCAGAAAAAAAAAAAAAAAAAAAAAAACATTTAATCCAAGATAAAAAAATGGGTCTAAATTATTACAACGGGCCAAAATATTTATTTGGGTAAAAGCCCATTAACACACCAATCACTATACCTCGTCTTTGCTAGTTGCTACTCCAAAGTCTCACCTTCTTCATCTGTGTTAAACCCTCGCCGCGAGAGAAACCCTAATTTCTCACCGTCGCCATGCCTGCTCTTACTCGTAACAAGAGCAAGGGGCCCAAATCCCAAACCCCTCCATCGAAGAAGGTGACGAAAGCTCAGGCGCCTGCTCTATCGAAGAACCAGGCGAAAACGCAAAAGCCTCCATTGAAAATGGCGGAGAAGCCACAAAATCTGACATTGAAGAAGGGAGTGAAGTCCCAGAAGAAACCTCCGTTGAAGAAACAGAAGAAGGATGTTGTGGAGGAAGCTCCTCTCGAAAGCGATGAAGAGCTTTCCGATGGTTCTGATGATTTAGAATCAGGAGAAGAGCTTGATGAATCTGATGACGGAGAGGAAGGGGCTAACGGGTTAGGTTCTTCTGGGTTTTTCTCCGATGATGATGGAGAAGAAAACGATGACGATGACGATGAAGAGCCCTTGGATGATAACTTTCTGGAAGGTAGCGGCGATGAAGAAGAGCCTTCGGATTTGGATGCGGCTTCGAACTCGGATTCCGACTCCGATTCCGACTCAGGCGATATTCTCAAGCAATCCGACGCTATTGATAGAGAAGATGCAAAGCGGCAGGCAGAAGCTGATGCTGAAATGGAGGATTTCAACAAGGAAGCTGGACCTGATGAAGATTCTGAATTTGCGTTTCAGCTTCCCACTGAAGAGGTACATATTGTTCATGTACACTTGCTCTGTTTGTATATATCAAATGTCAATCTCTGGCTGTTTCATGATCTTCAATGTTTGCTATATCTAAGTGATGTTATTATCTTTCATTTTCAAGGAACTTGAAGAAGAAGCACGTGGGCCACCAGATCTTCCTCTGCTGCAGAGTAGGATTAAAGAGAGTAAGTAACATTCCAAATTTCATTCCTTTGTTACTGTTTAATGTTGGCTATTTTCGGAATTTTGTAACAGATAATCAAAGTTTTGTATCTTTTCAGTTGTTAGAGCTCTGTCGAATTTTAACGTTTTGAGGCCGAAGGGAGCAAGCAGGAAACAGTGCGTTGAACAGCTCAAAGCTGATCTTTCTTCTTACTATGGCTATAACAGTTTTCTTATTGGAGCCTTGTTTGAGGTTTACTCTCTAGTCTATGCTCTTTAATTTGAAGTTCAGTTTTCCATTTTTGTTGCCTATTCTCTTTACTTATGGATTTTGAATTGGGGTTTCTCTTGTAGCTGTTTCCTCCTGTTGAACTTATGGAACTAATTGAAGCTTTTGAAAAGCAAAGGCCTACATCTATCCGGACAAACACACTTAAGGTGAACTTGGTTGTGCTTTACTGAGTTATAGCTTATAACTTTAGAGTTCTTCAAATTTATGGAGATGTTTGTTTTATTTTAGACTCGAAGACGTGATCTTGCTGATGTACTTCTGAACAGAGGTGTCAATCTTGACCCATTGAGCAAGTGGTCAAAAGTAAGTATTTGTTTTCTCTCTCGTGAGTCCTTTTTTACAGACGTTCTGTAGTTGATATGTCATAAGTATTGTAGGTCGGACTTGTTGTTTATGATTCACAAGTGCCAATTGGTGCGACTCCTGAATACTTGGCTGGTTACTACATGGTAAGTAATTTTCTGATCTGTTATAGCCTTTTTGTTCACCATTAGTGTTAATGTAAATTGTTTGGTTAAGTCTGTGCTTGGTGCATCTGCAGCTTCAAGGTGCTAGTTCGTTTTTGCCAGTGATGGCCCTTGCCCCTCGTGAGAATGAACGGATTGTGGATGTAGCGTAAGTTATCTTTCATCTATTAAATTGTAGACGCAGATGAACCAATTTAAGCGTCTGACTGTTTTGTTATAACATGATTTTATAACTTATGCAGTGCTGCTCCTGGTGGTAAAACAACTTACATTGCTGCTCTAATGAAAAATACTGGTATGTCTTCATTGGTTGCTTGTGCTTCTAATCCCCTTATCCAAGTTAATTGTTTTATAATGATCATTTTGATTTTAAGTTAAGTTATAATGATGGTGTAAACAGGCTTAATATATGCGAATGAGATGAAAGGATCTAGGCTCAAGTCGCTAACTGCCAATCTGCATCGCATGGGAGTCACAAATACCATAGTTAGTAACTATGATGGAAGAGAGGTTAGCTTCTTGAACATTCATTATTTCATTGATGACATAGAAACTCAAGATCGTTGAATTTCTTCTACCTGTTCATAAAACACCTGAATTCTCATTACTAGCATGACTGAAATTTTTTAGATTTGATCTGCTCAATTTTGTTGAGTATGCAGCACAGTTGTTTTCTTCCATCCACTTCTTATTTATTCTGTTTTTGTTGCTCTCAGCTACCCAAAGTGTTAGGTCCGCACTGCATTGATAGAGTATTGTTGGATGCACCTTGCAGTGGGACTGGGGTAAGAAACCTCAAACTTAGTCTCTGTTAAACCATAGTTCAGCTCTAGATTTTTAAAACTAAATGTCCTTATCTGCTATACAGGTCATATCAAAAGATGAATCAGTTAAAACTTCCAAATCTCTTGATGACATCAAGAGATTTGCTCACTTGCAAAAGGTATGGCAGTACCTTCTTAGAAAACATCAAATGTACAGTTTTTGATGTTTTCAGATCAATGCGCATATAACCCCTTTCTTTCTACATGCAGCAACTCTTACTTGCTGCTATTGATATGGTCGATGCCACTTCCAAAACCGGTGGAATTATAGTTTACTCAACATGTTCACTTATGGTTGCTGAGGTTGGTTGACTGATATAATTTCCCCCAATATAATCTCTCCTTTCTCTTTGATGCATCCTCATGTTTTTCTTCCTTTTGTACGAAAACAAAATTGCGCAGAACGAAGCTGTCATTGACTATGCTCTGAAAAAGAGAAATGTTCAACTCGTTTCAACTGGACTCGATTTTGGCCGAGACGGGTAATATACAAATTCTCTCTGTAGAAATATGTAAAGGAATGAACATTACGATGATACGTCTAACGTTCTCAAAATCTCTGGCCTTTGTCTTCATCAGATTAAAAAGATTTAGAGAACACCGGTTTCATCCATCTTTAAACTTGACCAAACGCTTTTATCCTCATGTACACAACATGGATGGATTCTTTGTGGCAAAGGTACTCACTTTTGACCCCCTATAAAGGATCTCAATGTCCTTGTTATTATTCTACTAATTGATAAACTAAAATAAAAGCCTACATATTTTGATGATATGCGCATTTGGTTTATTCTCTATACAGCTGAAGAAAATGAGCAACATGAAACATTCTACAGAAGATGATGATGAGGCGGTTGGAACTGTAGAAGAACCTGATGTGTCTAGTGATGATGATGAAGCTGGGGACACTGAAGAGAAGGAGGAAAGACTTGCAAAAGCAAAGGAGATTAAAGAAAACAAGAAGAAGGAAAAGCTTGCAAAATTAAAGGAGAGCAAGAAAGATAAGAAATCAAAGTCTAAAAATGGAAATGTTGAAGAGCCACCTAAAGCAAGGAAGCCGAAGAAGAAGAGATCTGAATGGAAGAGTGAAATTTCTCAAGCGAGGTAAAGAATGAGTTCAAATTTTTTGAACTTGAAAGAAGAAAACGCTTGCTTTAGACTGTCTTATGTTTATTGCTTGACAATTTTTGAACTAAACACATTTGCAGGGAAGAGAAGAGAATAGCCATGAGGGAGATGAGGGAGAAGTCGAAGGATAAGCAATGATTCAGTGTTTTTGCATCAAACACACTAATCATCTATGCTCATGGGAAAGTTTAAGGTTCCATGTATCGATTGGCTTGTTGTTTTATTTATTCACCAACTATTTTTGTAACGTCAAAAGCTAAACCACATGAGAGAGTGACACTCTTCTTGGATTCCATGGACAGATCTTATATGTCCAAAAGTTTTGTTTCAAAATATTATCTTTTTAATTACTCATCTCTCATAGACAAAATTAAAGGTTGGCGTAACAGAAAAAACGAACAACATTATTTTTTATTTTAAAAAATTGCACCGAACTAAACCAAACTCAAACCGAAGTACAAAGTACAAACTACAAACTGTATTATTTGGTTTTTAAGTTCCTGTAAAATCAATCAAACGGCAAAACCGAATACGATTATTAGACAAAATATTGAAAGTTGAAAGTTGAAAGGCTCTGAATTTTTCAGTTTATTTATGTTGGGTTATCAGAAAGATGATTAAAAATTAGGGGTTTGGCAGTGAGCTGTTGATTGGTTGTAACTTGTAAGTAGTTAGAGAGAGATTGAGATTGTGAATCTCTCTCCAAAGTGGGACTTGTGTTGGAGAACATGACAACCCATTCTTCATCTATCTCTGTCAGATCTTGTTTGGGGACCTCCCCAAATTAATTTGTTTATTTATCCTTAACTCTTCCTTTTTTCTCTCCCTATTTTATTCTAAATTCGCATTATTCAGGTTTCATTTTCTTATATACAAATATATCAAATATTCGAAAATCATTAAAGATATCTAACTGGTCGATTATATGATTCAATCAATCAATTTTCGTATTATGATGGTATGAATGAATAATTTATATGTATCCTGTTTACTTTTTCTACTTGATTTTATATTCTAAAGAACATTTACATTTGTCTGCTGTTGAAAAGAACAATTTTTGTAGCGAAAAAGATGGGTTGTGTTATAACAAAAGGAGATAATATTAAATCAGGTGGACTATTATTATTTTTCTTTACGTCAAACAAAATCATGTGGACTACGTTCTGACATTTGGGTTGTACTAAAGCAGAGTGGGATACAAACTACAGTTAAACAATGATTAACTGGATATAAGTTTACAGTACCACACACTACCACATAAGTAAATCGCTATATATTATAGAGAAAAAAAATATACTTGCATTTTCATAAAATTACACCCATCATGAGGAATTATTTGCGTTGACTTTAGTGGAACACAATTTTACACAAGTTCAAACAAATTTGGGTTGTATATTTTGGATATGGAGACAAATAGAAATTGGTATATTTGAAAAAAAAAATTACCTTTCTTCTCTTTTTTAGTAAGAGATTTTGAACCCAAAAACAAAAATTGCACTGAAAATAAGATTATTTTTGGAGAAATTACAAGAAAAGACATCGAAAACATTCTACAATAAGTTAATAACTAATCATGATCGAATGGTAATAAAATGACTCAAAAGTTATTGGCACTTGTACTTTTAAAACATCTATAGTGACTATGAAACTGCTTTATAAAATCTGGAAGACTGGAACCCTAATCCCTTAAATTTTCGTAGTAAACTAATAAACGAATTAGACTATCGCTACTTAATTTATAGATATGTTATTACTGGAACATTTTTATCCTTAAAATGGGATTGTTTATGAAAGAAAGATTCACCACGCGCGTGTCACGTCTTCAGCCGATCGGCTAGCAATTGTCGTTAGCTTTTCTTTTGCAGTTAATGGATCTAAAAGCATGAGGTTAAAAATGAATTATTGAGATAACTAAATGAACAAACTATACCTACTTGTGGTTTTTTATGTTGAACAATCTTCTGCTTTGTCAACTTCACGATGAACAATTTTCTAAAAAAACATTGTTTCTGTTCGATTTAATTGAGGTAACAAACAGGAATTATATTACTAGTACTAGAATGAAATAAATAGGAAATTGCTTTAAATGGTCTAAATTTTCTGTGGAATATTGAAATATATAGGAATTTGCGTCTTTGGAACTCCCAAGTTTTCAACTTTATAAAAATTTCAATGATGACATTTACTTCATTTAAATGTTTCTCCAAACACTTGGCAATTCGTTTCACTTCTCCAAAAAACAAAAACTAATATTAGTTTTTTTTTTTTTTGGTGAATACCAATATTAGTATATTAATCCTAGACGTTGTTACATCAAATTATTTGAGAAATCCCAAAACCAAATAGTATTAGAGAGAGTTTGGCTCTACCATAAATAAATACTTACATGGCTAAAATTTTTATCAAATTATTCATCTTTATGTTCTGCTTAACTGAATTATAGCAACAAAAATGAGTAGAAAATAGTACTACTAAATAATAAAAGACCAAATATTTGAAAACATTATCATATTTGAAAATATATTTCTAATTTTGTTTCTAAAAAGCCCCAGCTATTACAGCTCACGATAGCATCCTTGATGTAAACCTTTGTCTACCATTTTGGAGAAAACAAAAATATACTGATATAATAATTGAATCCATCAAAAACATTTTTAAAAAAAGTATTCATCTTTTTCTTTGACCCTCTCTCTCTCTTCCCTCTTTTCATGGTAGACCCAAACTCTTTTTCTCTCTCTCTCTGAACTCTCTCCTCTCTTCTCTCTCTCTCTCTATCTATCCCCATTTCCATGGAAGCAAACAGATGTGTTCATCTCTCTCTATCTCTCTCTACAGCGTTACATGAATAGTGACTGTACTCTCTCTCCTTCCTTTTTCTTCAACCCTTGTTTAATTTCCTCCCCCATAAGTGTATCTCGTGATCTTTTATCTCTCAAAAATCACAACTTTCAGGTAACCATTTAATGTGTTTTTTCCTCTCTCTCTAAAGCTCTGTTCTTTTTTCCCTTTTTTGTATTTCTGGTTTTTATTCTCTGATTCTTCTTAGATCCAAAAGGGCTTTACTTGGCTCTTCTTACTTTACCGAGATCTGTTTAACCCTAAAGAGAGAAAAAAAACCTCCACTTTTTGCATGATTTTTTTTGTTTGTTGAACTTAATCCAAGAGAGCTTGCATAGGTTTATGCTAATTTTGATTCAATTGATTGTTAGATTTGAATTTAAGATCCATAACAGCTCAAGCTCGTTCTTGAGACTCTCAGCTTATCCAATTGATGTATAGAGCTTATGTTTGCATCTATAGTAAGATCTGTGATGTCTTGATATCATCAAAGATTTTGAGTCACAAGCTTGCTTTAACTGATGCTATTGTTTTCTTTGATGACTAGATTGATGGAATCTGTGACAATATTGATCAGCAGCAGAGCAGAGTCAAGAGAAGTTTATTGAATCTTGGTTTCTAAGAAATCACAAAAATCAAGATTTTGCTCTGATTAGTTTTCCTCCATGGCTTCCAAAGAAGGATCACTTACCAATTCCAGTCAAAGCATGTCTATCAACACTCTAGCAGATCAAGTGTCTTCGAGTCTGTCTTTCGCCGATCCAAGCAGTGACAGCAAAACCGGTAATAACAACAACAAGATCAGCGAGCAAGGAGAGAGTGGGAAGAGTAGCACTTGCAGACCGAGCACAAGCAGTGACATTAGCGATGAGAGCACTTGCAGCAGCTTTAGTAGCAGCATCAACAAACCTCACAAGGCCAACGATGTGAGATGGGAAGCTATTCAAGCTGTTAGAACGAAGCATGGAGGTTTGGGGTTGAACCATTTTAGGCTGTTGAAGAGGTTAGGATGTGGCGATATCGGAACTGTTCATCTCGCTGAGCTGAACGGAACAAGGTGTTACTTTGCGATGAAGGTGATGGACAAAACAGCTTTGGCTAGCCGGAAAAAGCTTCTCCGAGCTCAAACCGAGAGAGAGATCTTGCAGTGTCTTGATCACCCGTTTCTCCCTACGTTGTATAGTCATTTCGAAACAGAGAAGTTCTCTTGCTTGGTTATGGAGTTTTGCCCTGGAGGTGACTTGCATACGCTGCGACAGAGACAGCCTGGCAAACGCTTCACTGAGCAAGCAGCAAAGTAAGTATAAAGTTTCAAACTTTCTTGATTTGAGAAAGAAAGTTTCAAACTTTTCTCTTGTGTGTTTATGTAACTGTATTGGCTTTGTTATCAGGTTTTATGTAGCGGAGGTGCTTCTTGCAATGGAGTATCTACACATGCTTGGGATCATCTACCGTGATCTGAAACCAGAGAACGTTCTTGTGAGAGAAGATGGACACGTGATGCTTTCGGACTTCGATCTCTCCCTGAGATGTACCGTGAGCCTCTCAATAGTCAGATCAACCAATGGATCGGAAGGCTTGTCAAAGAGTTCGGTTTCTTGCTCGCAGCAGCCTTCTTGCATCCAGCAACCTTCTTGCATCTCAATGGCGCCAACTTCTTGCTTCGGCCCTCGGTTCTTCTCATCTAAATCAAAGAAAGACAAGAAACCGAAGACCGATAACGGGAACCACCAGGTGACTCCGTTACCAGAGCTCGTTGCGGAGCCTACAAGCGCACGTTCCATGTCTTTTGTTGGCACGCATGAGTACTTAGCTCCGGAGATCATCAAAGGTGAAGGACATGGAAGCGCGGTTGATTGGTGGACTTTTGGGATCTTTCTTTATGAGCTACTGTTTGGTAAAACACCGTTTAAAGGCTCAGGGAATAGAGCAACGCTCTTCAACGTCGTTGGTCAGCCTCTGAGGTTCCCGGAGTCTCCGGTTGTCAGCTTTGCAGCTAGGGATTTGATAAGGAGCTTGCTTGTCAAGGAGCCACAGCATAGGTTAGCTTATAAGCGTGGAGCAACGGAGATAAAGCAGCATCCTTTCTTTGAAGGAGTGAATTGGGCTTTGGTCCGGTGTGCGAGTCCACCGGAGATTCCTAAACCGGTTGATCTTGAACCGGTTTATCCTGCTACTCCTGCTGTACCGGCTGCTGCATCGACGAGTGTGAGATCTGATCAGAGCAATTATCTAGAGTTTGATTTCTTCTGAAAATGGTTTTTAGCAAGAAACTGTTTCCACCACACTTTGATGATCATTCTCTTATTGTTTCTTTGCAAATTCTGTTTAGTGTTTTCGAAATATGTGTTTTTCTTTCTTTTTTTAATTTTCACGTCTTGAAAAAGTTATGAGATTTGTAATCATTCTTCAAAAATCTGAGACAATCTCTGTATCCACCACCATATTCAACAACCACAAAGTTCTGTTCACTGATCTTAACTCGAAACCAGGGATGACTATTACTGTCTCGAATAAACCTATTATAACCGTCATTTCTTATAAAAAAGACATTATCAACAAACATTTGTACATAAAAAGTTAAAAACCCCTCCTCTACCAAATATATACAGACGAAGAGGATTTATCTAATATCTAGTTTAAAGATTTGAGATAATAACAAACTGTTTCATTTCAACTGTTTATAGCAGTTATAAGCAATAACCACAGATGCAGCAGCACAAGCAACGGATAAAGCAGCATATGTATCTTCTCTCTCCCAATTCTCCAACCACATTGACAACGCAGCACAAACCTTGGCTCCACAAGAAGATCCGTTCTTGCTTCTACTTATCACAAAAGATGCATTTTTGACAGAGATGTCTCTTTCCGAGGTTATATTCTGTGTGTGGTTCTCCATCTGTTGGCAATAATCACCATTAAGCTCTGGGACAGCTCGGGACTGGCGATTAGCTGATTCTTGAATCACTTCTCTGTTGCTGATCATTTCGCCATTTTGTTCTTGGAACCTTTGTTCTTGAGTTTTCTTCTGATCTTCTTCTAACAGACCCATTTCACCCCTGTTAAACAATCGATTAAGTATTTAAATACCGGCAAAACTTAGAGACTATTCAAAATCAAGAACCTTTGATCTTATATACCTCCAAAGCCGGTCCACAATTTCTCCTTTGTTGATATGTTGCTCCAACAGTTGAGGTACATCTTCTAAAGTCACAAACCCATACCTAAGATACAAGAATCAAAACGTTTAAAATTTGTTCCCTGTTCTTGATTTCTAAGATACCAATTCATTTCAAGACAACAATCCATCCATCGTAAAATCAACTCTAGACTGTTACACCACTCAATTCTTCTTAATCCAAATATATAGGATTGTTTTACGTACCAGTGTCCTGTGACTCTCTGGTTGATGTTTGATCCGTAGATGATAACATCTCCAGTGTATTTGTGACCACCTATGTGAGAACAAGGGCTGACCGAAACTTCACCTCGAAGACCACATAACTCAATTTCTTCTCTGAATCTACTAACCAGAGACGGTCCAAAATCCCCACAACGCCGATCTCGGGAACCATGACAACATACAAAGACATACGAACCACTTAGGCGTTCAGGATTTCCAGGCAACCACTCAACATCTTTTACAAGAACCTCTTCGACAAATGTGTCGACATCAAAATGAGTCAACCTTCTGCAATTTTTCGTTTTGAAACTGTCAAAAAAGAGTTGCCATTTGTTCAGAATCATCAAACACAAATCCTACTAGTTACCTGTATCTGATCATATCCGGAAATATCAGAACGTCCCCATTCGATGTCTCTGTTCCATCATGGCCCTCACATATTGTGAGTAGAGTCTGCAATTCAATGGGCAAACAAACAAAAGAGATTTCAGATTTCAGAACTGATGTAAGATCAGAAGAAGCCACATTGTAAAGTTGGCATCAAAGCCACTAGATTTGTGTATTATGGACCCAACTAAACGATCTTCGAAACTCTCAGTGCCTTCACTCATATTGCAGAATAGAATCGTACCAAAAACCACAACTGTAAATAAAATGTTCACTAGCGAAACCTATTGTTAATGATTTTACTTTTAAGCTTCGCCAAGTTAGAATCACAAACGATTTGGATCAAATTGCAGAAATGATCAGACATTTAGACCTAATTCCACTTGAAATCACTGAAATTCTGGGATAAGCATTCAAAAAGGAAACAAATCACCTCCTTTTTCATACTACTCTTCCTCGCGGAGACGACGGAAGAGAGCAGCCTCGGTAAGCGATCGAACTCCGACGCCTCGATCCTCGCTGGCCAAACGGAGGGTTTTTTGTAGCACAAGAAGACATGTCTCTCGTAGAACTGTACGGACCCGGCGAGTATCTCAGGGCCGAAATCGGCGTCGCTAATGCTCTCACTTTCGAAGCTTCCAGAGCGAGAGGTGGATTCGCCGAGAAAGCTGTCGAGATGGTTGGATACGGTGATGGGAGACGAAGACGAGGGTGGGTTTCTAGTGAAGGTTAAAGGGTCGTCTAGATACCTTCCGCTTCCCATTGAATTAGACGGCAAGTTCGAATTTTTTTCGGAGATCGAGACTGAAAGTTTGGAGAAGGAGAAGAGAAAGTAAGACGAACAAAAATTTACATCACTTTAAAATTGTATTAATATTTTAACACTTTCATATGACGTAATGAAACATTTTGTTTTTTTTATTGCATTAATTTAAATGGAGCAAGAGTGTTTCTATGTTTTAATTTCTCTATGCTTATGTTTATCTGCTTTGATTAAAAGAGGATGTTATATTTCTTCTTGTTGTATTTTAAAGGTTTTTTTTTTTTGAACAACTGATGGAATTATATTTTAAGCAAAAGTGAAGACTCGATGCCAAGAAGTCTGAACATGCGTAAAAAAAAATACTGAAAATTTCACTTTTTTCTAAAAAAGAATTTCATAGAATAAGGCAAAAAAGTACTGAAAATTATAAAATAAATATATGAAATGTGTCAGCAAGAAAGATCACTTATTGGATTTCAAACAACAAAGAACATGGTGTCTACGCAGAAAAGGTTTTACACTCTTGTAATATTTGTTGGAGCCCTTAACCTCAACACTCTATCTAGAAATATCCTCATCAATTTGGAGGTTCAAATGGAAGTGAAGGGTGTGTTGAATTTCATTGATTATGATTACAAGATATTTGAGTTTTCTTATGAGCTAAAGCTTTCAACGGTATGATATTTGTTACACTTGTCTTGATATGATCCTGTTGCCCCATTGTTTGCATGTTATTTACAATTTCATAGGCCAGAGAAGTACCTTGGAGATTTGGAAACATGGGATAGTGCTGAAGAGAGGCTCTTAGAGAAGCTTTAAAAGATTTTGATAAGCCACGGCTAGTGTGTGTGCTACTTCCCAAGCTTATTATTCAAAGCGTATGCATTCATTGCTATATAATTTGTGATGTTTTCTGCTGGAGAACAAAGGAGACAAGGCATTTTATGGCCCAAAGATAAGACATAACAGTTTCTGATGCAATGAAAAGGAAATTCCATTGTGCTACTTTACAGCTTAGGCTCCTTAAACTCTTTTACTATTTTCTTTCTTTCTTGCATGTCTTGCTGTAATTAAGAGTTTGATCGTTGTTTGCTTCATATCATGATCAGCTTACTAATATTGTTTTGAAGTGAAAACTATTGAATGATCAAAAACAAACTGACAACCCAATATCAAATATCAAACATACATAAAACCACAAGGTTCAAATAGAAAGGAGTACTCCGGGTTGGAGGACTGACCATCTCAATGACACAACGCCCTACCAAAGTAGATGAGAAGTGAAGGAACCCAAAGTAAGCTTTGACTTTGAAAGTTCCTTCAACCTCATATACCACCTTGTTGTTCTCCACCTGTCTCTGAAGCTCCATCTCATCTTTCACAGGAAGACTATTGGGAATAAGAGAGATGAGATGGATGGGCTCTAACCTTGCCTCGGTTTTGGTCAGTGAGAATGGTTGGATTTCTTGAGCCGCAATCAAATTTTTGTTGAACAACAGTTGAACCCTACTACTCTTCAAATTCAAATTCTCCATCCCAATCTGATTAGTTATCATATATTTTCAGTTTTATATAACTACATATCAAACAAAATAAACCTACAAAATGATAATGAGTTTCATTCTATTTTTTCTTAATGAAAAGATGATCATATATTATTATTATTAAAGAAAGTAAAAAAAAGAAGACAAAAATAATTTAACAAAAATAAGCATAACATAAGCAAATCATAAGCAAAATATAAGCAAAACATAACAAAAATGACAAACTAGCTAGCTATTATGTTTTGCTAATACATACTGTTTTAAAATAATCTCCTTAATTTTGGGGTCTTAAATAATATCTTCCAGTTAACCACACATATATTTGGTTAAAGTGATGTATTAGCAAAACATAATAGGTAGCTAGTTTTTAATTTTAAAGGTTTAAGCACACAGACACTGCATGTATATATAAGCTAACGATCCACAATCCAAACACATATCACATTTTCCTCACTATCAAAGGATCCAAAATGACTGGAGAAAAGATCTGGAGCAGCTTTGTAAGGTACTTATACAAAAAATTATGGTAAGTTTCTCTGTTTTCATTTTTTTACGAGAAATTAAAGCCCTTCTGCTCTGTTTATTATCTATAGAAAATAGGGAGACTTGTAATTTTCGTTGAACATGTCTAATAATATATATTTTTTTTGTTTTTTCCTTTCAAAGAACTCGTACCAGCACGTAACACGAACAAGAAGAAGCCGGTTAAGCCAACTCAGTCTGGATACATTCCGGATAAACTCTCCAATGCTGCTGTCTTTTGCTACCTAATTGGGAAACCAATGAAGGGAGTCGAATAAAAGTAAAATAAATGTACGATTGTTTAGCAAAAACAAAGGAAAAATGCCGCAAAATAAAAGTAAAATATTGTCAAAAATAAAGGTGATACATAGATGAAGCAGCTCAATAAAGCAAGAATTACTCCAAAGACTGCGGAATGATGGCATTGGCAATGGAGTGTGTTTAGATGAAAAGCTATCGATAATGTTGAAGCTTATAGATCACAAATCACAACAAAGAGACAAAACAACGCAACCTAAATAGCATTGATCCAATTTACAGCAACAAACCAGTTTCTCACATTATAGACCAAATCTGCAACTGCTTCTTTCTGATCTCAAACCACAACCTTCTTTACTCAAAAAAAAAGCACACAACTTTCTGATTGTTCACAACAGCAAAAAAAAGTTCAAATCTTGAGAAAAAAAAGAAAGAAATCATCAAAAGGGTTTCTCTCCAGGGAGATAAGAAGGAGAACCCCACTCCACTTGATTCTTCTTTCTATTAAAGATTCCACTTAGATTCGGCAAAAGCACTTTCTTTGATACCACAGAAGTCTTCGTCTTCTCCAGTTTGTTGTGAACAGGCTTCTGTTTCGTAGCTTTGTAGTGATGCTGCGGTGATGATTCAGCTGACATCTTCGCCTCAGCTTCAGCAAGAATCCTCGACGCCACTTCCTCTGCTTTCTTCTGATCTCTTTCACGCCACCTCCTGAGCTCTCCTTCAACCGCTTTCTTAGCAGCATCAGCCATAGCTGCTTTCTTCAGTGCCTCTTGCGTTGCACTCTTTAGCTTCTCAATCTCTCCTTGCGTTGTCTCCAACTTCTTCAGTGTCTCGTTCTCGCTAGCTCTCACTGCCTCCACCTGAGCCAATGCAGCCGCCACTTTCATATCCGCCAACTTATCGAACACCTCAGCTCTCTTGCTCAGCGACTTAAACTCCTCCTGAGACAGTGTGATGCTCTGAGCTCCAGACTCAGACGATGTAGAATTACGCGCAGCGTCCGTCTTCTCAGACAAGGACTTTATCTGTTCAAGCGCCTTTATCTCTGCAGCTTTTGCTTCTTCGGCTTCATCTAAAGCCACCCTCAGGTTAAGCTCTGTGTCTTCAAGAGCGAGATGAGCGTTTTCTGCTTCCTTCATTAACTCATCAGCTTTCTTCCTCATTTCCTCAGCTTCTCGTCTTGCAGCTTCTGTCTCAGAAGATATCTGATGAAAGGTCAACATCATATCTTCCAAATCAGCCTTTGCTCTAGATTCCTCTGCAACACATTCTTCAAGCTCACTCTTGCTTTTACCAAGCTTCAGATGAAGATCTCCAGCCACTGATTCAATTTCAGCCTCCTTCGCTTCAACTTCACTGTGCTCCGTCTTCACACTCTTCAACTCTGCTCTAAGAGCTTCCACAGACTCTTGCAAAGACTTCTCTTCTTCCACGAACTTCTCAAGTAAACCCTTTGCTTCATTCAACTCTAAACTCACACCATTAACGAAATCCACATCCGTTGCTTTCGCAGTCTCCATTTGCTTCTGCAATTCATCGATCTCGTTGTACGTCTCAGTCAACTGCACTTCGAGCTTCTTCGCAAACTCAGGATCAAACTCGTTCTTCAAAGCTAGCAACTTCTTGGCGGATTCTTCCATGCCAGCTTTATAAGACTGCTGCTGGATCTCCTTCTCCGCAAATATCTCAGACTGTTCTTTCCTGGCTTGAGAACACGCGAGCTTCGTCTGCTCAACTGATTCATTCACAGCTGAGATTTCCTTTCTAAGCAGTTCAATCTTCTCAGAGTTTACTTTACTCACTTCCTTGGCTTCCTCTACTTTGGTTAAAGCAACAATCTTTGTTTCCGAGATCTCATTCGAAACCTGACGGATCTTTCTCAGCTCCTGCTTCGCCGTATCAAGCTCCTTGCATACCATCCCATACTGTTCCATCTCCAGAGTGTGAGCATCACTACTAGACACAACAGAGACACTCCCTGCGATTTGACTCTTAGCAGCTTCAGTCACTTTATTCGCAGAGTCTCTCGACTCATTAACCGATTCAAGCTTACGAGTAAGCTCATCGACAGTTCTCTTAGCCCACTCGAGCTCACTCAAAGCTTTCTCTCTGATTGTTTCAGCTTTCTTGAGCTGTTCCTTTAACTTGTTCAACTCTTTCTCCGCCAAGTGAAGCTCTGTTTGCTTCACTAACACTTTCTGCAAACCAAAACGCAATTCAGATTAAAAACTCTTCAATTGTTGTTTGTGAATCAAATCAAAAACTGAAGAAGTTTTACCTCAGCGGATTGGGGACTGGCTTTTCGAATGTGCGGTTTCTCAGCTGAGAAGGCAGCTTCACCGAAGAGATTGACTGCATCTTTCACTGATTGAAAAGGAGCGCTTGTGTCTATCTCTCCAACCTCCACAGCCGGAGACGAATCTGAGGAATCTCTGCGTCCTTTCTTAGCAACCATTTTGCATTTTCTTTCTTTATAGAGAGAGACTCGGAGACTAATAATCAAGATTCACCACCTAACATAGAAGAGAGAGAGACACACACACACAAATCTCTTTGATTAACGATTCCATTAATGGGGGACATAATCAAATTAAGCAAATATCAACAGTACACAAACGGACTCAACAAAAGCCCTAAGAACAGGTTATTAAGGGGAAATGATTAATAAAATCGGAGATTAGTGATTTTCTCTATTATTGATCTGCCCAGACTCAATCAACAAGATCGTATAAATCAATAATCAAAGAGGTTATTTTAAGCTTTAAAGCCGACAGAGAAATCACCCGAAAGCAGCGATGACCAAATTATCGAAATCGTACCTGATCTTTCCGGTGAGAAATTTCTTTCGTTTACTGAGTCGGAAGATGAAAACCCAGAAACGGGAAATCGAAGCCGCGCCAAGAAAATCAGGGAAAGAATCTAAAGGAGCGATCTTTTTTATTTCTCTGGGAGAGAAAACACGATCGAGACCCAAAATAAAACACGTTTACCAGGAAAAGGTATCTCCGGTATCAACGCCTATGAGTATAGACGATAAAAGGGAGAAAAAAAGATTAGAGCTTCGGAAGAGATGAAGTTTGAAATTCTTCTGTAATCAGAAGAGCAAAGTCAGTGGCGAGGAGAGAGAAAGAAGAGAGACAGAGAGGAGAGAGGGACAAGAAGGAGTAGTGTATTTGGTTGACATTTGGCAGCTTTTGGTTGGCCACCGATTAGCCTAATTTTTTATTTGGACGGTAAGTAAATCTTTTTAACTTATTTTATTTAACATTTTTAGCATAATTCCTCTTAAGATTCCACTAATCTTTTTTTTGGTGCAATGATTCCACTGAACTACATACTGCCTCAGGAGATATGGTTTTTCTGGAATATATGCAATTTGAAATAAAGCGATTGGATAACAAGAGAGTATAAATGTTTTATCTTAGCAATCATAACTCATATGCTATGCCCCAACTCAGATAACAAGAGAAAATTCACACATTCAGAACAAAATTGCGTGGAGCTTGATGGGCAAATAAAACTACTTGGCACGTGAACTAGACGACATGTAAGGCTAAAAAATAAATCTAGTTATTATTTATATACATTGTTGTATATAAAGCTTGACTAGTCAGAATGGACCAAAGCCTCCAAGGATGATCATATTGACAATGATTTGTTATTGTACTTGTCACTTCTCACTTGTGCATATATCACATTTAATCCGAAAATAGAAAAATATCTAATGCATCTCTCTCATTTCTTGCAATCATCCATGCGAACGAAAATTACCGCTACGATTTTTTAAAAATTTCGTGACCTAAAACAAACATGATGCTATAAATAATGTCCACCTCATACAAGTTTACAACAATCCTGTGATACTTATTTACAATTTGCAAAGACTAATTGGAATCGAAAGTATTATCGAAGTCGGTCAATTTTTCGGAGCATCTATTAATAACTATAGCTTACTAGATTTTAGTTTGTAGAAAAACTGTCTATCAAAAAGCACATTCATCCATGAATTACTTAAACATAAATAAACGTTGAACAATAACCAACTTTGGTGTTTAAGAGAATAAAAATAGGTTACATTAAAAAAAAAAAAAAAAAAAAAAAAAACAGATTAAACAATACTATGACATTAAGGGCGTATTCATGACTTTTAATAGTGAGACACTGTTAACGGCGATGACAAAAGCTGCACCCTCCAAGTTGGAAAACGAATACGTCGATCACAAATTCGTCTTCAAGCTCAAGCTGCAATCGTTTTTTATTTCTTCAGTTTGATTCATATATTATTCATATAATTCTTATAAGACAACAAAAATGTCGAGCATAAATACCTCATTGGGAGTTTGATTGGCTTTGATCCTCTTTTCATCAAAGTGAAACCTGAGAGCAGACATTTCCACTCCAAGTTTGACTGAAACTGCTTCCATCATCAAACGGAGCTCAACTTCCTTCCTAATCCGGAAGTACATAGAGTAGCCTTGCTGTTATATGCAACAATTTTACTCTCCTTTTAATTAATTTCTCCTTCCCTTAAATATATACTTTCTACGTTTTTAATTATAAACTATATCTGTATTCGACAAAATAAGTGTTTCAAAAATAGCATGATAAAAAGAAAAGATGGTTTCATTTCTCATAAAGACTTTTCAATAGTATTTTTTCTGTATATATAATGTTTAGTTTTCAGTCAAACATATTATGATTTATTCAAGTACGTACGTACCTGAGTATTGACTTGGAGAGTGATATGAGACGACGACGGAACCGACGGTTTCTTCTCTTCCGACGTCGATATGTTCACTTTCTCCTGTGACAGTTGGATAGTTCTTTAGTTACATTAATATATACGTGTAAGTTAAAACCAGAGATAACAACCTTAATACAAAAAGGAATAGCCAAAATGAAAGGAGTAATAAAAAGCCTAGTCGTTGAGATCTTTTACTTGGTGATATCTAGAAAAGTATGTTGTAATATCAGAGACAGAGAATCAAAGACAGAGAGTTTTATCAAAAAAAAAAAGAATCAAAGACAGAGAGACGAGTTGGATCGATCAAAGTCATGTTTCCTCTCTTAAGTCTAAAGATTTGTGCGTAAAGATTCCAAAAAAATCAAGTCTATCAATCTAAGATTGCAGCACTGACAACTCTCAAATCCAATTACAAAACCTAAAGAAAGAAAAATCAATCAAAAGAAAAGGTAAAATACAAAACAGAAAACAGAAGAAAGAAAAAAACAAATCACTACGTGTGTGTATCTCTTACGAAGACACAATAGATGTTATTAACCTCTTCATTAAGCATTTGAGTTTCTTCTGATTACAAAGCAATTAGTTTTGTAGTGTTTGATTTCAAGCTCTTAAAATCACATTTAAATAAAAAAATTTGAATCACAGAAGATTGATTTCAAGCTCTCCATCGAATACAACCCACAGTATCAAACATGACTGAAAATTAAATCATCAACTTACCATTATAGTTTTCCAGTTTCGTGAAATGTGGCTCAACTATCGAGTTTCCTTGAAGAGCAAACACGGCATGTAGGGTTTTTACTTATTAGAAATGTAGTAACATGAAATATTCAAGATGTGGTAAATGGTTAGAATTCAGTATGGGCCCAGTTAAAGCCCATCAGTATACTCAACTTAAAACTTTTATTGACGTCGATGGTTGATCAATAACCAACTTTTATTCTTAAAAGATAGGTTAAATTAAGAACAAGACTACGATATTGTTCGTTTCTGAGCCGTATGAATTCATGACTTTTAATGTCTTTAAGTCACTGTTAATGGCGATGAGCTGCACCATCCCCTCCTCCTTGAATAGAAAGTGCGTCGATTACAAAATCGTCTTCAAGCTCAAGCTGCAACGGTTTTTTATTTTCTCAGTTTGATTCATATATTATTCATATAGTTCTTAAGAAAACAAAAAATGTCGAACATGAATACCTCATTGGGAGTTTGATGGGCTCTGATCCTCTTTCCATCATAGAGAAACCTGAGAGTAGACATTTCAACTCCGACTTCGAATGAAACTGCTTCCATCAACAAACGGAGCTCAACGTCCTTCTTAATCAGGACGAAACAGTAGCCTCTCTGTTATATAATACAATTTAATTCTATGTATTTGTGCAAATGATAACTTACGGATACACACTATGTATTTTCTGAACCTAGAGGAACCATAATAACACTACTATATTTAACTCAAAGGATATTTCTTTGTTTTATTGCGAAATTTCAAAAGATAACTGTATATAAAAAAAATTGCTTCTACAAATGTAGCTTGATAAAAAGTGTTTCTTTATTTCTTTTCGTAATTACGATTTATTCAAGTACCTGAGTATTGACTTTGAGGGTGACATGAGACGAGGGAACCGATGATTTCTTCTCCTCCGACGCCGCCGACATCTTCACGTTCTCCTGTGACGGTTTGGATTGTTCTTCATTACAAGCATATTATTTATACACACATAAATCAGGTGAAGACAAAGATCCAGATGACTCGTATCATCGAGTTGAGTTGCACTAGATATTAAAACTTTTGGTTTTCTGTTCCGCTTTGATTTCTTTTTTTTCTTTCCCGTTAAGTGTGTGTTTTTTTCCAACCAATATTTATCTTTTTGGGAAGTGAAGACAAAATGTTGTACCCATTTCCGAATTTTCTCACTTTGACCAAAAGAAAAAAAAAATTATTTCAAATATGAATGGACGAGATAAATAAAACTAAAACGCCATTCACATTTTTGATTTAATTATACAGAGGATCACAAAACGGTCTCCACCCTATCGACTGAGGGCTTAGTTAATCGATAAATAAAAACACCAATACACCATAACATTTAAACCCAAAAAAGACCAATGGGATTCATTGTATAGACACAGTAACTGTGTTTTTCTCTCTTTTTTGTTTTTTTGTTTCTTTTCTTTCTGGTTTATAGTAAAAGTGGCAACACGATTTTACAGCATTTTTTAGAAGGACACACAACTTCGAAGAAGAAATAAATCACAATCGTGATACTAAAAGGGAGCTCCAAATCATTCAAAACAAAAATCTATTTTTCAGAATTCAAAACAAACGAGGATCCATTTATCCCCATTCTCTGTTTTTAACTTTAATTAGATTTTATCTCAATATTTTTCAAAAAATCTTGCAGATGGGAACATTCGAGTAGGAAAATGCATAAAGAGAAGAAGAAGAAGAGATGTCAATGGGACTGTGTTATGTGTGTTTGACTGTTTTCGCAGTATCTTAGTCCTGACATTCGAGTATCTAAAAGGTTCACTTTGCTTTCCTAGAGTATATGAGCAATTTCTCATGTAAAAATATTCTAAAAAAATTAAAGTCTACCAATCTTAAATTGCAGCATTGAACTCTCAAATCCAATTACAAAACCTAAAGAAAGAAAAAACAATCAAAAGAAAAGGTAAAATACAAAACAGAAAACAGAATAACCAACTTGTGTGTTAAAAAAAAGGTTATAAATTGACGTTGACAGAATAACCAACTTTTCATATCGGATATTTTATTAGAAAACTCTATCAAAAAGCACACAATTACTTTAACCATAATTGACGTTGATCAATAACCAACTTGTGTGTTAAAAAAAAGGTTATAAATAAATTAATAAAAGAAGACTAAGATATTAAAGTAGTCTTTTATGATCCGCATTGATGAAAAAAGTTTGACTTCTAATGTCTTTAAGACACTGTTAATGTCCGATCACAAAAGCTGCATCCTCCTACTTGTTCGCTTAGTACGTCGATTACAAATTCGTCTTCAAGGTCAAGCTGCAATCGTTTTTTCCATTTCTCAGTTTGATTCATATGTTATTCATATAATAAGAAAAAAAAAATTGTCGAACATATATATACCTCATTGGGAGTTTGAGTGGGTCTGATCCTATTTCCATCAAAGAGAAACCTGAGAGTAGACATTTCCATTCCGATTTTGACTGAAACTGCTTCCATCAACTTACGGAGCTCTACGTCCTTCTTAACCCGGAAGTACATACTGTAGCCGCTCTGTTATATTATAGTCACATTAACAATTTTATACTATTTTAGAAATTTCCTTCTAGGTTGACATATTGTAAACTTCAACAATGAAATTAAATTACTATTTGTTTATATAGAGTCACGAAAAGGTGTGAAGTGTAGGCAAATGATGCATGGGTTGTTAAGGATTAATTGCTTTGTAATTTGTATGAAGACTCTAGAAACCGAAATTATAAGGAACAAAGGGAGCATATATGTTGATACTTAATTAATCTATACACATCTTAATTCATCTTTCTAATTAAGCCGGTTAATAATATGGTATGGTTTTATGGAAACGAACATTTTAGAAACAAAAATGTATTTTCTGAACCTAGATAACCCTAACACACATATAAAACTCAAATGATCTTCTTTTTTTTTGTTAAAACTCAAATGATCTTTGTTTAATTTATTGCGAAACTTCAACCAAAAAAAAAAAAAAAAATTATTGCGAAACTTCAACCAAAAAAAACTGTATTCAACAAAATAGGGTTAATTTGCTAGATATCAGTATTGGGCTTCAATATTAGGTAAATGTCAATAGGACTTTTAAAATTAGTCTGTGCTTTCCATGCGCCATAAAATTCCTAAAAAGCCCATAACAATTTGAGCGGGAATTTGCAGTATAAGCCTCTTGTCTCACAAAGCCAAGCCGAATAGACATATTTCAGCCGAGTAAAAATGTCCCATCACTATCCTAACCTCTTAAGAAAAATTAATTTCAAAAAATTGAATTTCCCTCTTGATTGGATTTTGTGGACAGAAATTGGCCTTCGAAGTGGTCTATTTTCTTTCATAAAGACCATTCCATCTCATCTCTATCTTCTCTGTTTGTACTTTTACTATCTGTAACCATGTATGATAAGGATAAAAGCAGTGCAGTAAATAAAGGGGGTCTTAGTGATCAGATAAATACATGAATCTTAACTAGGGAAATTGCAGCCGAGTTAAACACACTATATTTGGGAATTTTCACAACAACTGAAATATATAGACATAAAGTAAAAGCAATAAAGAGGCGGTTCTGATTTACATAAAGTCGTGTTAAATTGTTATTGAAACGAAATGCAGGTGAAATTGAAAATTAAATTAAAAATATAAGGATTACAATGGTGGACTACATTTTGCACATACTATACAATATCAAATAGTAGACTTATCAATTAATTATCAGCACAAATACCTAATAAATATAGTCTATCTACAACAACAATAAACTATCTAATCTAAACCATAAACCTATAAATAACACCCTAAAACTTAATCCCTAAACAATAAACCATATACCCTAAACACTAAACCCTAAAAACTAAACCCTAAATCATAAACCTTAAACTCTAAACCCAAAACACAGTACCAAAATGACTGGATAGACTACCAATCAACCCAAAACACCAAACACTAAACACCAAACCCCACCACAAAAATAGTAAAGGCTAATCCCACAACACAAACCATAAACAATAAACACAATCAATAATCGGGAGATACAAACAAGATTCACATACAAGAAATAGATATAAATAGGCTTTCTTAAACTCTAAACTTTAAAAACTAAACCCTAAACCCAAATGAATAAACCCAAAACATAGTACCAACATGACTAGAAAGACTACCAATAAACCTAAAACACCAAACACTAAACACCAAACCCCACCACAATAATAGTAATGGCTAATCCCACAACACAAACCGTAAACAAGAAACACAATCAATAATCAACATTTTGATGTACTCGGCATCAAGAGCTGGCTTAATAAGTTCCACCCATCAAAGAGTAAAGTAGTTGTTCACTCTTTTCCTGCCAGTTAGTTCAAATCCAGTCTGAAACAATCTCTAAGGTAATCCCAGCTCCTCCATTCTAACAACGAAAATTACAACAATAATTTAGTTAATCAACTCACAAACACAAATAAATAGTCCTAAAATAAAACTAAAATATAAAATGAGCAAAACATAGAAATTCCATTCTGTAAATCCCCTTACCCTGTATACTTACATACATCCAAATCAATCAAGAAAGACAGTCATATATCCTAAACCATTTACAAAAGATACGACAACTACGGCAAATCAAAACATATATTTCGGCAAATAGAAGCTACGAATTATCAGCCACAAACTCAAATAAAAAGTATAATCTATTAATTGAATATTATACTATCACAAGAGCCGTAAAGTAAAATCGAAGAAGGGGAAGATAGAACAATAGATAACAATAGACAGCAAACTTTAAAAACTAGTAAACCTAACCTGGATAATCTCGAAGGTGTTCTTGAAGACAGTATCAAACAGAAATCCTTTTCACCCACAAGTCCAAACTTCAGTATACCTCTTAGTCGGAATTCTCGAATTCGACACTATCAATGTGGAGAGAGTTAGATCGGTGAAACAGGCTAGAGAATTCAGAATTTTTCTTTTTCAATATTTTGTCTTTTCTTTAAAATATTAAAGTATACTATCAGCTCAACTAAGCTGAATTGTAGCCGGATATATCTGATAACGGTGGAGGAGGTTATTTAGGTAAATATTATATAAAATACACAGAATATAGTAACCAAACAATTGATACTGATATATTCTTAATATTGACTCTTTTTATGTATATTGGCTGCAATTTCCCAACAAAATATGTGTTTCACAAATGGCATAATAAAAACTAATTTTTTCATAAATTATTTTCAGTAGTAGAAAATTGTTTTCAGTACAAAGAATGGTTTTTTTTCATATCATTCTTGTATTTCAATTAAACATCTTACGATTTGTTCAAGTACCTGAGTATTGACTTGGAGAGTGATATGAGACAGACGGTTTCTCGGCATCCGAAGTTGACATCTTTTCACTTTCTCCTGTGACGGTTGTATTGTTCTTAATTGATTAGTTGCATAAAAGATTACATGCATTATATATACTCACAGAAATAAGTGAAGACAAAGATCCAGATGAATCATATCATCGAGTTGATATTTAAACTTTTGGTTTTCTGTTCCACTTTGAATATTTTTTCTCCTTTTCTTTTCCCGTTTCTTTAATGTAGTATTTTCCTTGGTAATTGAGTATCATAATTGATGGTTTCGATCATCACAATTTTTTTGTACCCATTTCTGAATTTTCTCACTTTGACCAAAAGAAACAAAAATAAATAAAACTAAAACGCTCACGTTCACATTTTTGCTTTATTCGATTTGAGAAAGCCCATCAGTATATCCAACTTCCATGTGTGATCGCATTCATGTTTGAATCATCTGTAGCTCAGATTGTGAAATTGTTCATGCCAAGAAGGTTAACAAAATAAGAGTTATTTATTTCTTTTATTTTGAATCTCTATTTCTGAATTTTATAAGATTATACATGTGTTAATATCTAATCGACTAAGTGATACATTGAAGCTATAAATTAGTATTATTGAAAAATTAGAAAATTCTGTTAATTGCACTATTGGAAAAATGTATATTAGAAATTGGAAAATTAAACTATTGAAATGTTTGCTAATTAATCCAATGGAAATTTTATAAAATTATAAATTGCATTATTAGAAATTATATATGATAATTGCTTTTTTCCTGGAAATTATCCTAAATTTGTAAGGTGTAAACATGTAAAATATCTTAGGTGTAGTATTTACCTTCTTTTTTTAAGATAACAATTTATATGTGTCACCACTTAATTGGCAATTATCAATTATAAAACTGGAAATTGTATTATTGGAAAATTGTACTATTAGAAATTAAATATAATAATTGCATTTTTCTTGAAAAATTCCTTAAACATGTAAATTGTAAATATGTAAACTATCATACGTGTTATACTTACCTTTTTCTTAAGAAAAAATCTCACAATATTAATTACACTTTAAAAGGTTTGACTCTATATATAAGAGATAAGATAAATCTAATATAAATCAACCAAACCTTTAGAAGAGTTTTAAAACCTTCATCAAAATCAAACATGTCTAAAGCACAAATCAGTCTTTGTTTCATCATCTTCTTATATATTTTGTCAGGTAACACAACTAATTCTCACATTTAGTATAACTTTCAGATTAAAATTATATATATACATTGAATTTTCGTGATGCATATGCGATTATAGATCATTTCACATTTGAAAGTTTTATTATATGATTTTCCAAGTTCCATAAGAATTTCAGTTATATTTTTCATGTTTTTTTATTGCAGACAAAAGTTTCATGCGAGTGAATGCACAGGAGGTAAATGGTTAAGATTACTCATAGAAAAATAAAAAAAAATAAAACGTAAACAAAAATCAATATGTTCTCTTTGTTGCAGACCCAAGGAGAATGGTGTGTGGCGAAACCTACTATAGATAACGACAAACTTTTATCAAACATAAATTTTGCATGTTCAAAAATTGATTGTAGCATTATACTGGAAGGAGGTTCATGTTTTTTACCTGATAACCCCCTTAATCATGCTTCGGTCGCCATGAATCTTTATTTTCAAGCACAAGGAAGACATCATTGGAATTGCGATTTCGAAGGTTCTGGTCTCATTACCGTAATTGATCCTAGTAAGTTTCTTTGTCTCTTTAAACAATTATGCAAAATTTTCGCTGTTAGTCTTGATTCAATAATTTATTATTTCTCTCTTTTTATTTGCAGGCGATGGGACTTGCAAATATGAATATCGCAAGTAAACAAAAAAAAAAGGCATAGAGCTTATAGTTTTGGAATTTCATATTTGATATCTTGAGTTTGAATTGTTCGATTTATCATCTAATAATAAATATTTGAGTTCTCTATTATTGTCAGATAATGAGATATGTAATGTATTGAGATATGCTAATTTTAATACTCCATCAAGATTATGGGTCGTGGTTCTTTTGGCCATCATTTATCTCGACAAAAAAATCATCATAAAATCATTTTCCACTCGAAACTGGTGGAAACGAATTCTAACTTGTTTGATGTAATAATAAAATGGCAAAACAAAAGGATCGTCACCACAAAATAAAATATTAAATCGAGAAATAAAAACACCATAACATTAAACCCCAAAAAGACCCATGAGTATACATATAGACACAGTAACTGTGTTTCTCAATTCTTTTCTTTTTTCTTTCTGGTTTTCAATAAAAGTGGCAACACGATTTTACAGCATTTTTTTAAGAAGAACAAACAACTTCAAAGAAGAAGGAAATCATAATCGTGATACTAAAAGGGAGCTCCAAATCATCCTAGGAACTCTTTTTTTTGTGGTGGGTAATTTCAAGAAAGACAATAAAACATAAAAGACATTTGCTTTAGATCTCTCTAAGCAATGTGACTTTTTTTTTTGGGGGCAGCAAGCAAATCCATCTTTGTGTTTGTCAAGAGTCCACAGCCGGTGATTGCATGCAGCAGAGCCATTTTTTCTGAAAAAAAGAACCAAAGAGCCCATTTTGTGTGACAACCCAAATCAAAGAGATAAACACAGGAATAAGAACAAGAAGGAGAAGAGACTTACAGGCTGAGGTTTACTAGGATCTCCTCCTCCAGACTTAACATGACCCTCACTGGATTTACCGGGTGATCCCGGTTTGCCACCTGTCTTCTTCTCATCCCTAGCTTTGTTGAATATCACGGTGAATCCTTCTGCTGATGCTGGATCATTCACATCCCATTCACCAAACTTCGGCAAGGGACGTCCTTTGTCCTGTTCATATTAATAAACAAACAAAATGGTTAAACCAACACATCAAAGAAACAAGTCCACTCTCAAACTCAATGTGTTAAGACATTAGTTGTCTGTTCACATGTTGTTAAGTGTGTGCCATTTCTTAGACTAGTCTTTACTCTAAACTCCTGAAAAAGGTTTACTTAGTCTCAGGTAAGAGCAAACACAGCACAAAAAGAGAAGAGGCAAAGAAAGATAAACCAAAAAGGCATCACCGAGCAAATGCAAAATCAGGATTTAACTAATGAAATATTTTCTATCAACAAGTAACATGAAAAAGGTTTGTACAACAGCCCAAACTAATCAAGTTTCCATTTTTCAGCAAACATTATACAACACAAGTCAACAAGAGTACCAAAACTAAACCATAAAAGAAGAAAACTTAAAGTTCCTATCAACTCTCTTATCCTTTTTATTAGGTGAGGAAAAAGACGAACTTTGAAACTAGTTATTTTGATTTTGTCTCTGTATAAGCAAACAATCTATAAGTCAAAAAGATCAACTGCATGTACCTAACCAAATGCAACATAATCTTCTTTTCATGCCTCTTCAATCTATCAAATTATCAATGAATCAAGAACAATCTGGGGACAAATATAAGCTAACACCAGACACCTTCAAAATCCAAAATCCAAAATCAGAGCCCTTACTCAAAATCTAAACTAAAAGTAAAATCAATCTTCCGGGTTTTAGAAAAATCAAAAATCTCTATCACAACCAGATTGAATAACAGCCAAAGATCAAAAATTTCGAATAGTGAAAAGCGAGATCCAGAAAAAGGATTATCAGTAACAAGACAAGAGCTCATCAGAAGAATCACATCTGATTATTACTATTTTGTCTATATCCGAATATCGAATATCGAGAGACTGCCACAAAATTATTCGGCGGAAAGCAAAAACCCTCCGATCAAAAATGAAACAAAGCATCTAACTTTACCAAATGAAACTAAATTCTCCAAAACCATCAAATCGAATTCGAAAGCTACTCTCAAGCATATAACGAAATAGAACCCAAAACAAAAATCTTAAGAAGAGACGATTTTAACGTACCGACATCGCGACTGCAGAAAGGAGGAAGATTTATCCCGAGAAAATGGAGAAAAAAAAACGATTCTGATAAAGGGAGAAGAAGCCGCCGAGAAAACCAAGGAAAGTGAGAGAACAAATTGATCGGAGAGAAGAGAGAGAATCTGATTGAAAAAAAAAGAGAGACTTTTCTTTTTCTCTCTCTTTTTTTTTTTTTTTTTGCTTTTTTTCTTTCTAAAAATTCTTTGTTGCTTCTTTCTTTCTCTTTATCTTCCCCTTCTCGGTTCCGGTGTCTGTAACGGTTTATATAAACGGAGTTAGTCCATAGTGGCGTGACGTCTTCTATTTTCTAAACGGAAAGATGAGCTGGCTGACGACTGTTAATTGAGGGCATATATGTTGGTTCATATGGATGCAAAGCAAATGACTTGCTGGCACTGTTTTGTCTTGTAGCATTTAGTTTTGTAATAATTCTCTTTGTATTTTCAGATGATTTTATTTATTTATTTAATGGAGTAATCATAATAACCATTTTGCCAATAACAAAATCAATTGGCTAACCTTTTTTCAAGAAAACTTCAGTTTTAAAAGATGTCTGAAACGATCTTTGTCAAAATAATGACACTAGTTGTCCACTGTAATAAGAGATTATCAAGTGGCCTTGTTTTGGTGAAATGTCATTACTTTATGTTGATTTTTTTAAATCGGAAATTAGTATACATAATATTTTATTTTCTTAACAACGATTGTGGCTTGACAAATTTTATAATCTAAATCCGTCATCACTTGTCTACCAATTTATGAAATTATGCATAGCAATAAACAATACAGATTTGGTAAAATTTTATAATTGCAGTAGATGTGACATATTTGTGTTGTTGTTGTTGTTTATTCTTGATAGGTGCAACCAACTTTTGTGCAATTATTTGATATAAACACAAATTAGTAAGAAATTAAGAATGTGCATAAACTTGTTAGATGACTAACAGACAATCTACACATTGATAATGCAGAGTATAATAATAAATAGTATTTGTTTTTACAGGCTCACGAGTGGCACTGCAAAATGGAACAAATCCAGTGATGCAATCTGACGAACTGTTAGATTCTGTCTGCATCAAGATCCATCCATCAGAGACACCATCCCAACACAACAAATCAGTTTCTCTATGTGTCTCCATTCCGACAATATTAAGATTCCTCAAAAAAACATAGAAGAAGAACCTTTTGCTTCCACGGCTCTGCATTTTCATTATCTGTATTAGTTTTGATGAGTCCAGACTGATTCTTTACAGGTGAACTCAGCACATGAATTGCCAACACAGCTCCAGCGATTAGCCAGAGTTTGCTCCTCTTCCTGCTTTGTCTCTGTAAAGAGAAAAAAGAAATGTAAGAAATAACAAACAAACAAAGATCTTTAACACAAGTGGAGTAAGACAGCAGTTATAACTTATAAACACACCTGGAGTTAAATAAATTCAATCAAGTCTGTTGATCTCTTTTGGTATTGTTCTTGACTTCTTGAGTTGTATTTGTCAGGGAAAGTGGCAGCTTCACTGTCTTGCTTGTCTTGTTCCACATAACAGCACAAGCTTTAGTGCTTAAGCTTCTGGAACTGGCTGGCACTTATACCAAGAACTGTCAATGAAACCATAGAAACCAAAGGGTTATGATTGAAATACTTAATTGCTAATCAAAGAGGTAGAGAATGACGTAAGATGCATACTGTGAATCCGACAAAGCTCAAGCAGCTTTTTTAGCTGGTTCATTTATAGAACATTTACTCTGGACATCCAGCTAGCTCTTCACGGGTGATAAACTGTAATTTCACCTGGTAAGCTGAAAATACAATACATATGAGAACCGTAAATACGCAACGAAAGAGTAACAAAACTTAAGAATTAAGACCGAACCGTATTACATAGAAGCAGATCCTGTGGTTACTTCTTGTTACTTTGCAAAGCCTTCAGCTTCTCCATGACTATTGTCAATGTTTTGTGTGAATCTTGAGACGAGCTCAAGGATGTTATGAATCCCCTTGCAAGTAGATCCTTTAAGACGATATCAGTCCCATCGAATGCGGTTTCTCTGGAAAGAATCCCACTGATGAGAGCTTTGTAAGTGGTCACATTGGCTAAGAAACCATCTCGTTTCATCTCTTCATAGAGTTCAAATGCAGCTACCATATCACTTTTACGACATAGTCCACTAATCAATACATTGTACGACACGAGATCAAGCTTCAGGCCACAATTTCTCATGAGTTCTCTTAAATCCAGAGCCTCAGTAACATCGCCACTCTTGCAAAACATGTGCATGAGAGTAGTGAAACTAGCAATAGTCGGAACCAGCTTCTTTTTCAGCATAGACCGTAGAAGCAGCGTAGCTTCTTCAGCCTTACCGCATTTTGCAAGCGCTCTCACCATTGCACTCTCAGCTACACTAGGCGGACATATCTTACATGCTATCATCTCATCCTTCAACGCAAACGCAGTCTTTATATCTCCCACTCTGCAAAGACCATTAAGCAGACCAATGTACTTTGTACACTCGGGAGATAGACCTTGCTTCGACATCTCGTGCAACACCACTCGAGATTCCTGGAATCTGTGGTTCATGTTGAGGACGCTTACAATAGCATCGTAAGTGTTTTTGTCAGGGGAGATTCCCACTAAGGTCATGACATTAACAAGATCAAATGCCTTGCTGATCTCTCCATTCGCACAACACTTGGAGATTAGCATGTTGAACGTACTCCTGTCAACTTCATAACCTCTGCATATGAATGCTTTCAAGATCTTAACACCAATCTCCAACATGTTGGACTCACAAATCCCGAGAATAAGAGAATGGCATGTGAGCTTATCAGGTGAAATGCCGTCCAGTATCATGGATCTATACAGCATAAAGCTTGTTGATAAGTCTTTCCTCTTTGAATAACCATGCAAGAGAATATTGTAGGTAGTCAGATTAGGACCCTGGTTTTGGTTCCTCATATCAGAAAGAAGGTCATTAGTCTTCTCTATCTTCCCCATTCTTAAGTAACCATCAATCATTGCATTTGTTGTGACAGCATCAGGTGTAAGACCAAGTTTCTCCATTTCCTCAAGAAAACAAAAACCAGCTCTCCACTGGCCAGCCTTGAACATGCCATCCACAAAACAGGTATACATCACCTTGTTGGGAAGCAAATGACCTCGAGCCTCAGCTTCCTTAGCAAAAAGTATGGCAATAACTGTCTTTCCCTTCCTACACAACCCAGAGATAAGACTGGTGTATGTGTAACTGTCAGGCAGAATGCTTCGCTGCACCATCTCACCAAAAAGAGAGACAGCCTTGTCCAAGTTCCCTACTTTACACACCGCGGTGAGAAGTGTGTTGTACATAACAGTATCAACAGCTGCAGGAACATCATGGAGGCTATTCAGAAACTTCTCTGCCTCTTTCAAATGCCCACCTTTGCATAATCCCTTGAGCAGACTACCATATGTGAAGAACGTTGGGCGATGACCGACTTTGGTCATCTCATCGAATATAGAGAACGCTTTTAGCCCTTCACCGGAGCTTCCATACCCATTGATAAGACAATCAAAGCTAGCTGCGTTAGGAAGAATACCATCACTTGTCATGCAACGCATAAACTCTTCTGCCTCACCCACTTTACCAGCTTTACATAAGGAAGAGTCAAGTACATTGAATGTGAACAGGTCTGGAGTATGGCCCTGGAGGATCATAGCTTCATAAATTCTTAATGCTTCCTTTAAGAATCCCATCCTGCAACAATTGTATATCAAGGTTGAGTATACAATGCCATTTGGACTAAGACCAGTTCTGTAAATCCTACATACTATTTCCTTTGCGGTTATAAACCTCCCCACCTTGCAGAATCCATTTATAAGTGCAGAGTATGTGACAATATCAGGATCAATACCATCCTTACTCATCTCATTAAGCATCTCAACTGCTTCCTCTAATAAGCCACTCTTGCAAAACCCATTAATCATTCCAGTGTAAGTTATTCGCCCAACAGCGATCCCATCTCTCTTCATCCTCATGTAAAAGCCTCTCGCTAGATCAAACTCCGCAAGCTTGCACAGCCCATCTAAAAGCACGCCATAGCTAACTCCATTAGGTACAAGACCATAAACTTCCATCATATAAAACATCTTCAAAGCTTCTCTAAAGTCTCCCTCACTAATGTGTCCATCAATCAAAGCATTGAAAGTAACATTATTCGGGGAAAGACCAAAGCTTAACATCTCATCCAAAAGTCGACGAGCAATGAGAACCTTCCCTTCAACACAAAACCCACTAATCAGTGTATTGTACGTGACTTCATTGGGGTAAATCATCCTCTTCCTCATCGTCCTCAGCAACAAATAGCCTTTAGCACTTCTATTATTCCTGCACAAATCGTGGATAAGCATATTATACGTACAGACATCAGCATCAACCCCTTTCGACCTCATCCGATCTATAAGCTCAATAGCAGCTTTGTATCTCCCCTTTTTACAATACCAATGGAGCACAGTATTGTACGTAACTACAGTTGGGGAATAGCCACTCTTCTCCATCTTCTCCATGAGATAACTCGACTTCTTGAACTTCCCTTGCGCACAGAGCAGATTAATCAGTATATTGAAGGTAGCTACATCCGGACAAATCTTCCTCTTAAGCATTTCCTTCAAGAAAGACCAAACCGCCACATCCCCATCATCGCTCTTTACAATGGAACCTAGCATTGCGTTGCAAGTATACACAGAAGGGTTAAACCCGTAAAGACCCATCAAGCGGAATATTTCAAGAGAATCTTGAATCATTCCTTCTCTCAGATAAACTCGAATCAAGATGTCGAAAACCGCAGGGTTTGAATTGCAAAGACGGTATGTCGTCATTAACGAGCCAAAAACAAAGCTTGGTTTGTTGCCCATCGAAGATAGCTCCTTCAAGATGTGCCTTGCAGGGTCATACATTCTAGCTCTGACAAGTATATGGGTAGTGATACAGAAGAACTGAAGAAGATGGTCAGGCTCCAAACCGGGCTGCTTAACGACCCATTTCAGAAACTTGAGAGCCAGCTTCCCATGAACTGGTCTAAGACGAGCTTGCCTATAATCCATATGGTTTAGAGATCCCCAACGGTCGATAGTAAGAATGTTATATATGCTCTTCTCCATATCAACTCCTGTCGAGAAAAGTTCATTACTTTAGCAAAACCCATTCAGAAGATTCAGGGGAAAACATTGTAGGATTCAAAATTCAGTTAAAAAGCCACCAAATTTTCACTGTGCGATACTAAAAACTCAAATTGTTAAACCTCTAATCATGATTATTGAACATCCTGTACATTTGCAGCATAAATGGTTTTCACTTAACTCTGGAAATGCTATAAGTTAGTGACGCAGCCCAAAAACAAAAAGACGAAACTTGTATTGTTCATGACAGTCGAACATTCCTTTTCTTCCAGTTTTATTTCATTAGTACGGAAAATTTTCTCACAAACAAAAACTTACCAGAGACACCAAATGCTTCCTGAGAAGCATAATTTTCTCGTTTCGACTGTTTCACAGCGCCGCAAGAGAACCATACTCGAGAGAAACATCCGAATTTGGAGGAACTAAGACGCAATAGAGAGATTGCTCCATTTCTGTTAGAAAACAAGCTCGAGAAGCCAGTCATGGCTGCTCAATTCAAACAGTTTCTTCTTCTTCGCTGTGTTCTCTCGCTACCAGTGGAAAAAAAAAAAGGAAGGAGCTGGAAACGTTATTGGGCCCAAAGATAGAAAGGCCCGTTTTTATATTTTGACGGACTTATTGGTGTAAGCCCATACATGGACTCAAACGTGTAAATCAGCACGTGGGTAATTGGATTTGGACGTAGTAACAACTCGCAGGATCGCATGTAAACGGACGGCTGGGATCGAGCGGCAGGAGCGTAGGGTAGGTGAGATGTCGATGACGACTTAAAGTTTTGGCTTGTTCAATTAGGTGAAAGCAACTTCCGATTCTCACGCGTGGCTGATTTTATCCTTTTTTTAATAAGCTGAATATTGTATCTATTTATTTATTTAACAACATTCAAAATTATGCATTCCAACTGGAGTTTTGTTTTTGTTTGCTCAAGCTCAACCATTACAACAAAATTTACAATAAAAGTTCCTAAACGAATAACGTCGGACTAAGAGTATTCTCTTTGAGTATATGTCTTGTACTCTAGTCTCTTATATATTCACCTAAAAATTAGATTATTATAAGTGGGAAATGGAAGAAATATAGCCTTAAGTAGTACTAGTGCATCTCAACAAAACTAAAAAAGATAAAATTAAAATGAAAAATTTAGAGAGTTAATGTGAAAGCGAAAAGGTAGGAGAGTTAAAGGGAGAATCTCGCATTCTGTAGAAACTTCCAGTTTCATCACTGCTTGCAATCTCAGAACCATTTTTAGCTTCCACTTCCTTTCACCCACTATACCCAGTCTCCACTTCCTTTCACCGGTTGTGACCAGTAAACTCATTCCCCACTATAAACACAGTCACCAGACCCACCGTCACTGCTTACTTACGCCGCACGTCACACTTGTTTTCTTCTTCTTCTTCATACTCTCTCGGAGAAGAAGATGAAAAATGTTGACAGAAGAAAGAGAGCACAACCTGGGATTAGCAGAAAGATAGTTTTGCTCTTGTCGGGAGTGTGCTCTCTTTACTTCTGCCACCATCATCGCACACATTTGCGGTGTATGTGATCGTGTGACCGTAATGTTATGTATATATTTACTCTGAGGTCTAAGCTTTTCATTCAACAAGGTCTTTTTCCAGTCTCAATGAAGTGTCAATGAAGGTATGTAACCTTTAAAGATCTCGAAACTAGGTTTTGCTTTGATTGCTCTGTATTAGATTTTTTACAAGATTCATCATCGTTCAATATAAACTCATTGAACCAAAAGTCTCACACCGTAAGTAATACAAATCAAACAAATCAAATGAAATCAAACGAAAGAATAAAAAAAACTATATATACTAACTAAGCTACAACGTACACGATGCTATCTCCTTCTTCATCCTCTGAAACAATGTCTTCAAGACTTAACCCACAAGTGAAAGACAATGTTGGCTTCATCTTCGGAACCGGACTAGGCTCAACCTCATTGTTAAGTATCTGAAGCACACGCCTCATAGACGGTCTCTCGTTACTATCCGGATGAGCACATATAAGCCCCACAAGCAACAGTTTCTTCATCATCCCCTCATCAAACTCTCCTTTCAACCTCTCATCCACAGCCTCAAGCACTCTCCCTTCACTGTGCAATCTCCAAACCCAATCCACCAGATTCACAGTCTTCTGACCATCACGCTCCTTATCTATCGGCCTTCTTCCACAAGCCACCTCTAGAATCACCACTCCGTAGCTAAACGCATCAGTTTTCTCAGTCGCAGTGCCGTACTGGAGATACTCCGGTGCTAGATAACCCATCGTACCAGCGGTTAAGGTTGAAACAGGGCTCTTATCATGCTCCGTGAGCCTAGCTAAACCGAAATCCCCGAGCCTCGCGTTGAAGTTGATGTCGAGCATGATGTTGCTCGTCTTTATGTCTCTGTGAACCACTTGCTGCTCACATTCATGGTGGAGATACGATAAAGCTGAAGCTAAACCAATCGCAACGTTGAGCCTATGTGACCAGTCTAGAGAGACGGCTCCTGCTTCTGATTCCTGATACAGAATCTTGTCAAGACTTCCATTAGGCATAAACTCGTATACGAGAAGCAACTCTCCCTTCTCGTTACACCAACCCTGCAGCTGCACAAGATTCTTGTGACGCAAGCAAGCAATGATTGAGAGCTCAGCGAGAAACTCCGTTTTGCCTTCCGTTGAGTTGTGCCTCGATCTCTTCACAGCGGAGATTGTTCCAGAGGAAACGAACATGGCTCTGTACACGTTCCCAAACGCTCCTCTTCCGATGACTCTGCTCGAGTGAAACCCTTTCGTAGCTGCGTAAAGCTCTCTGTAGCTAAACTCTCTTAAGCCTGTGATTTGCTCTGTCTTGAGCTCCTTCTTTGCTTTCACGACTCTCCATTTCCTCAAGGTTAAGAATCCAAACGCAAAGAGAGCAAAGCAGAAGATGATTGGACAAGAAATAGCAATAGCGAGATTGTGCCTGTGACGACGCTTCTTACTCGCGGAACGTGGTATAGCCAATGGAGGAACTATAGAGCTATCTGAAACGTTGTGAGGATGATTAGATTTCGATCTCACCGGAAGAAACCCAGAAGTCTTGAAGCTCCATTTCTCGATTAAGTGAATCTCTGTGCTTCCTTCTGTTGAACCGGAGAATCCTACATACATCGAACCGTTTAAGAAAGGAGAAAGATCGATGTTTGCAGATAAAAGAGGCTTTTCTGGCTTCTTGGGTGGAATTGGATCTGTGTAACTCAAGAACACGTTTAATAAACGCAGATCGTTCTTGTAATCGATCCAGGCAGTGATCGATTTCCCAGATTTCAGATCAATTTGAGACGAAACGGATGGATCCGAGGTCGCGATTGAGTTTAAACTGTCGCCGACGTGATTTCCGCTCGGGTCGTTGAAATGAGGATCCAATTTGGTGTGAATTCGATTGCGACGAAGCGATTCTTCATCGGCTGAGAGGAATTGACGAGACCCAGGTAGCTTCCGGGACTTCCAGAGTATCGTTGTCGTGGGAGAGGAAGAAAGAGAGCCCGTCGCCGGAGGAATCTGGGTTCACGTTTTGGACGGAGAAGGAGAAGTGGTGAAGAAAGACGCCGTGGTGTTTCCGGATCGTAGAAACGGATCGGTGTGTTGTAGATGACCGTGCCGGAGCTCGTATCGGGAACGCCGAGCTCTCTCGTGAGTCCGACGACGCCGTTTCGGAGATGGGAATCGCCGAGGAACGTGAGATTTCGATCGTAAGGATTTGAACGCGAAATTGACATTATCGGCAGATACGAAGGTTGGTTTCGCCATGGAAAGAGATATCCATGCGAAGAAGAGAACAAGAAGCTTTCTTGAAGGAGCATAGAGAGAGAATAGAGGAGAGAGAGAGAGAGAGAGAGTTTGGTTACTGGGTGGGAAAAAGTTCGAATTGATATGAAGAAGGAGCCGGAGGAGCGGGTCGGGTGGGGTCTGGTGAATGGACGCAAAAATCAAAACTGACCGTTTTTATGGCATCTATGGCGCCACCACGTGTGTAGAATAATGAAGGAATGATATAAATCCATTATTTATCTGTCTGTGTGAATAATGATAACTCACAATTTGACTCACCGACTATAGTTGACTGGCTGCTGTTTATCAGTCTCAGCTCTCAGCTCAATTACAGTATTTAGCGACTTTAAGAAACAGAGAACCGCCGACGAAAAATAAAAGAAAGAAACAGAGAACCTAAAATGACTAACCGAAATTTTGTGTGTTTGTACTTTGTACAGTCTATTGATCACAGTGGTAAGAGTATAAAACCAGAATCATACATTTTCTACAACCTTTTATAGTTTTCCCAAGAATTTGACAGTAGTTAATGTAAATAAGCGATCGTGATCCAAAAAGTTATTCTAACGAAATCGACATAAAAAGATGGTAGGAGTGAGAATTTTGGTTATATTGAAAATGGACAAATCTCTTGCTTTCAGCACCAGGCTCTTTCCACTAGGATAATCCACAGAACATAAGAAATATATTTAAATAGAACTAGCCGTTATGTATGAAGGTATGAGCACGAATATGTCAATGGGATGCTTAATTAATTATTACATACCCCATTCACTAATCCTTACAAAAGCAAAAAGGAATCTTGAGAGATTCGATTTTGATAGCATGATAATTTCTACAATAGGTTAAGCACAAACAGAGTGGATTCACAAACTACACTACGAATTTAAGCTCAAGCTACTAAGGGCTTTGTTCCTCATTCCCTGGAAACAAAATAAGGAACTTGAGACACAAACATACATACTTTCTTTGTGGCTTTGAGTTTAATTGTCTCTGAGATGCTGAATTTGGCTCCTCGTAGTTCATGCATGCTATTGCTGTCGAAACTTTCGAGGCAAAAGAACTGCAAATAATCGAAAATAAATTATGGCGAAAACTAGCAAACTCTTTTTCCATGTTGAAGTGTAATCGACGGATTTTACCTAGGGTTATATCGCGGAAGCTTTTCTTAGGGAAGGTCAACTTGGGATCACGTTGTTGTTGGGACATGACAGTGCGAAGAATATTGCTCTTGCTGCGTAGATAAGAAGCTTTGGATTAAACAAAAGCTAATGACTAATGAACATTATAGAATGAGAGAAGTAATTCAGAAACAAAACCTGGCCCAAGAAGGAACGAATTTGTGGTTTGACATGTCGTCATAGTCGTCTTCCTCTTCATTTTCGTCGTCTGAGCATTTGTATGGAGAGATGTCGTAAGACTCTTCAGACATTTTCCCTGGATTGCTTATTACCTGCAAGCACAAGTATTTTTATGTATTAAGATTGGTCTCATCTCTCAAGAACCTTTAAGGCTACGAAAATATGAAACTTGTACCTTGAAATCATCATCTCTAGAGGTTCTTGAAGCATTGGTATCATCACTGGAATTACTCTTTGATCTCACTTCACGAATCCCAGTATTCGCCTGTGCTCGGGTTTTCTCAGCATTGATTTGTTCTTCTTTAAGTTCCTTGAGTGCTTTGATCCTCGCCTCCTATAATGTAGTATTCTTATTTAGCAAAACTTCTACATCGCAGTTGTCAAAAAAGCTTTCCAAGAGCAGAACAAGAGGAAAAAATCTTACCACAGCCTGTCTTTTCGATTCTTTTTCGGCTTGTAGTTTCTGATCAGCCTCTCTTTGTTGTCTCTGAATCTCTGCCCTCTGCCTCTTCTTATCCGCCATTTCAGCTTGTATTTTCTGATCAGCCTCTCTTTGCTGTCTCTGAATATCCGCAATGCGTTGTCTCTTAGCTTCTTTCAACCTTTTGTCTTCTTCTTCCCTCTGTCTCTTCCTATCCGCCATTTCAAACTCCTTTCTCTTCTGCTCTTCTTCTTTCTTTTTCCTTTCCATCTCCTGCTTCCAAGCCAATTCCGCCTCCTTTTTCTTTCGATCTTCTTCTTTCTTTTTCTTCTCCATCTCCTGCTTTCTCAGATTTTCTTGTTCTTGCCTTGCCCGCTCAAGCTTCATAGCTTCCTTCTTCATCTTACGATCAATCTCTTTCTGTTCAGCAATCCTTCTAGAAGCCTCAGCAGCCTCCAAAGCCTTTACTTTGACATCCCTCTTGCCTAAGGAAAACACAGGTAGGATTAAATCAGCGAATAACTAGCAGATGACAGTTAAACGATTGGAAATTTGAGAAAACAATTACCTGTAAATAGTGGAGCTGCTGGTTTTTGCTGCTGCACAAGCGGAACAAACGAAGTGATGTTGGAAACAATGTTGTTGTGCCTAGGTTCCTTTTCTAATAATCCCGGGATAGTTGTCAAACTCGAGTTGCAAGACAACTTAGCCTTACTGATTCTGCTACTAGGAGGTTTAACATTTCTTCCAGCACCTGTTCTACTTTGGTTCTCTTTACCTTTACCCGTGAATCTTCGGCTACCACCAGTCTGCCTTCCCATTTTACTTTTGACACTGTTGTTGCACGTAGCAGAAAAGCTGAATGCAGTACCGACAGAATCTATACTCTGTCTATCAACAGGCATCTTGGCTTTAGAGACAGATGGAAAAAATTTCATTGGGGGTTCAGTAGCATCGCCAAGAGGTTTCCTTTCAGCAGAGACATTCTCATCTTCGGAATCAGATGCTTCATTGACAGGTTCGGGTATCTCATCTATGTTTTCATTCTCTTCAGCTATGCAAGGAAGGTCCAGAACTGAACTTCCTCTCTTCTCTGAGTTCATAGGCATTGGAGTGTTGGCACATAAGTTTTCAGCCTCCTCATCTACGTTCTCGTTCTCTTCGTTAATGCAAGGTAGGTCTGGTGTCTGACTTCCCCGCTTCTCTGAACTGGAAGACTTTTGCAAACTCCTATACCAACACTTCTCAGTTGGAGACCCTCGAGGATTCCTAACATCAGCAGATGAACCAGCACCAGAAAAAGGCAGACTGTCAGTGTACGAACTTCCTGTATAATCATAACTAATTCCCAAGTTATCAAAGACTGAGCTACCCTCCAGATTTTGACTGAAGAACATGCCATCAAGCAGCTCAGATGAAACGGACTGATCCAAGTCCAGTTTTTCATTGAACTTAAATGGTTTAGCCAGATGTAATGACGGAGTGGTCCTGCAAATAGACTTGCAAATCTGCTCTTTCACGGTTGCACTTTCTGCTGCAGTTCTTGGAAGTTGGAAGCTGTCATGTTTTATCCGGCTTCTGGAACCGCTTTGGTTTTCATCATCTGTTTGGACTATAAATCCTTCCAGAAGAGGCGGGCTTCCATCGTCCGAGCCTATCAAACCCAAGGGTGGTAAACAAGGAGAACCATCTGAATCCCGGACAGCACAACTAGCTAATGGATGAGAGGTTTCTCCAGCAAATGGCAAAAACTCCATATTTTTTGTTTCAAATCCCTGATTTAGAGCAATATGACTCCTCTGTACACTTAGCTGCTCTGGTCTGAAGGAAAGCGAGGCAGGACTGATCAATCCAGTTTCCTTGAATAGGTAACCCTGTAAATGTTCGTTTTCTTGTTAATAACAAATCATACAGCACAAAAAAATATATTAAGCAAACGAGCAGCTTGAGCTGTAATGCAGTTTAATCTCTTGGCAGACAATCAGTAGAGTCATAGCAACAAAAACAAGCAAAGAAGAACATAAGTCATCTGAGACATTGATTATGATTTTGGGCTTTTGGTCGATATGTTTTTTTATGGATAATAGCTTTATATACACACGGACAACTATGGGGGTGCTTGATACTAGTGACACTACGGCACTTATGTCTAGAATGGGAGTTTCTCATAAATCAGTACAGTTTCTCATAAATCAGTACAGTTTTTAGCCTAAGTATAGTGGCCTATTTCCCGTTAGAGCAAGAAAGATATATATCTTTATTTTCAAAACAATTACTATTTAGAAGACATAAAACTTAAGAATGAGAAATGCAGCACATACCTCTTCCAATCGTAACTCAACTGGAGATGAAGATCCAATCATCTTTTGTAGCTCAACAGCATAGTCATTAGACGATGCAGATCCAATCATCTTTTGTAACTCAACATCATAGCGATTTGACGATGCAGACCCAATCATCTTTTGTAACTCAACATCATAGTTATCTAGGTTGTGACATGCACCTTTCTCCATATGATGGATTGTTTCCCCAACAGAACCTGAATCGAGAACGACTCCCTGCCATATATAAAAGATCATGATTCAAAAATGTCACCTTAGTTACATTCAGAAGAAAAGACCCATTCAATATATTGAACAGTCCCAAGACATAGAGAAAGAATATTCACCCCTGGGCTTGGCGAAGGCGTTCTACTAGTTAGTTTGTTCAGGATTCTTCTCCGCTTATTCTGCAGCTGGGAACCCTCCATGGAGGAATTGGAGCAGAAAAGTTCCTGGATAGAAATCTCAGGACCATGAGATTCTGTACATGCTAAATTTCTCTTAATTGTGGAAACACCTTTGTCAGAGGATGTTTCATGTTGAGGTCTCTTTGTCGATCCATCAATGTGACCAGTGAATGTAATTGGCTCTGGAGGTTCACTCTCTTCCACTTTAAAGTCAGTGTGGCTTGCAGGTGATTCTGTTTCTGGTACCATTACTTCCTTTAAGCCATTATGATCCTCAATGTCATTCATTTCATTGTCTGCCGAGAGATTTACTTCACAATCAGTGAGAGATGGAACATCTAACACCCTAGCCACGGATGCTGGTGTTGGCACCTTCTTCTCTGTAGTAGATTTTTCTCGACTGTTCATTGGAATCTCATCAAAGTTGCATAAATCGTTATCATCAAAATGGGGTGATTCAGGCATCACAAAAGCAGGGAGATCATGGGTTCTCAGTGATGAATTTCCTGCTTTAACTTCAAGCTGTTGGTCAGCCGATTTATGACCAGAGCCAACGGAAAGAGCCTTATATCTATTTGCTGATTCCTCTTCTATACTTGGCCTACTCATTCCTTCATGGCATTGGTTACTCCCCGATTTGGTCAGTGACCCCAGTGGCTGCACTTCCTTGGACCGACAACTAATATCACAGCTTTTAGAATGGTCAATCAAGTCTTCTGGGGAACTGCTTACCTGAAGAACAGATTCAACCACCACTGGCTCAACTATTGGGAAGTCATTTTGGCTTAAACTTCCAGATTTTGAAATACTACTAATTTCAACTGATTCGCCATTGTTATCTTTCTCCACTAATAAAGCTTCACCAGTAACAGCAACAGGCTTCAACAATACACTTTCATCGTCTGATACACATTGCATTACTGAATCTCTCGACTGAAGTTCAACTGCGGAGGACTCAACAAAGCCCAAAACCTCGGCCTTGGATATAGAGTCTTGGTTTGCATCCGCAAATGTCGTATCATCTGTGGAGATGCCAGTTTGGCTTACCCTTCCAGCACTCGAACATCTGTTAGTGTCAACACATTCACCCTCTACTTCGCTGGCTGTGTTTTCAACTACTAAACCCTCAACATCAATAGTAGCGGGAATCAGTGACTCCTTTATATCGCCTCCTTGCAGTAATGAAAGTGAATGACTTGGCTCCACGTCAGTAGCAGAAGACTCAACACAGCCTGAATGTTTGGTCTTAGATCCATTTCCTCGAGCACTGCTTCTGGATCTTGCATCGATTTCAGACTGAAAGACGTTCGTTCCAGCATTTGCCACCATAGAAACTTCATTCGTGATAGGTATTACCTGGGTTAATTCTACTTCATGATCTGCCCTCGGAGAGGGATTTGAACTTCTTGACGGAAAGTCACCAGAAAAGAAGTTGCCTGACTTTTGATGTTCCCTCTTGGAACCATCTTGACTCGAGCTTTTAGATCTTCTACCTCCATCGGCACATGCTGTTTCATTGCAACTTCTGCTTTGGGGATCATCTACTTCTTCTTCTACTATGGCAGGCACTTCATCAACTGTCTCAGTGCTCTGTAAGATATTCATTTCGTTCACATTACCAGACTGGTGTGGAGATTCTGGTACAATAGAAGCACAGGTGTTCCCTCTGGAAGAATTTTGCAACGAATCCCCTTTCTGATGTGGGGTAGAAGACTCTGTAGTTGACCTAAACTCAATACACTGATCCCCTCCTACACCTTGAGAATTATTGTTCTCTACTTGGTCTCCCAACCCTTCATCATTCTCATCATGCTTAATTAACTTTATCTCACCAACACTTTCGGACCTTAAAGAAGCAATCTCAACGCCTATATTTCCAAGGGGAGAAGGTTTGAGCTCATTTCTACAGCTTGAACGGCTTTTCGAAGCTTTGGCACTGCTACGAAGCTCCAAAGCTTTTTGACGTGACTTTGATCTCTGAATCTTGGCAAGTGGCAATCCAGGGTCAGGGCAAGTGCTTGGTTCAGTTTCATCTTGACAATAACCAGGAGATGATGGTTTCCGCTCACAACCAGTAGTGGAGACACTTTTGGGAACTATTTTCCCTCGGCTACGTCCAGGAGATGTAGCATCAGGACAATTTTCAACTCTCTGAATCTGGGAGTCTTCGGGAGTCGGACGGCTTTGATTCTCTCTACAACCGATTGAGATACTTTCTGGCAGTCCCTCCTCTCCATGGACATCTCTGGAAGATGCAGCGTTAGCATCCTGCTCGTGAGAATGATTCGAAACGCGTCTGACTAAGTTGTGTGAGATGTCTTGTTGTTCTTCTTCTTCAAGAAACTGCTCTTCTAAAGGGTTATTTGCCACAGATGTCAGGTCTTGCCTTGCTAAATTGCCAGCTAGAAAACTGACAGGCTTTTGGTATGAAAAGGTACGATTACTAGGACAAATGAAGGAAGGTCTTGATTGTTGAGGAAATAGGAGCCCTGAGATAATCTCCTCCTTATTTAGCTCTGTATGCATAAAAAAAATATCAAAATCAGAATGAGATATACAAGCGATACAAGTCTTTACGATTGCTAAAGACTATAGTTTCAACGAGCTAGCCATTACTTATTCCAATGTAAGAAATGAGAATGAGAAACTTATTCTGCAAAGAGGTTCTGTAAAATGAAAGAGCTCTACACTTTGATGAAAATTCAGTACCTAGACTTTGTTTACTATAACCTATCACAGTGAATACAACATCAAATTATGCTTATGAAACCTCGCAACCTTTATAATCTTTCAAACCATCCTATCACAGTAATTCGACTTCAAACTATGCTAATACGCTTTATAAACTTTCAATCTGTTTCCCTTTTATGTTTCAAATAACTGGGCAGCAACAATCCCACTAAGTGCGTTGGCGAAAGGAAGAATCTAAGATTATCGATCCGTAAAACCAAAAACTGTTGTTGATTTGATAGAATTAGCGGAAAATAGTCTTCAAAATTGAACCATCACGGACAATGCTTCGAGAATCAACAAGAAATTGAGCACTATATCAGAATCAATGCGTGAGCACTATGTCAGAAAATTGAGCACTAAATCAGAATTAATGCAGTACCGGAAGTTTGCGAAGGTAGAGACGGAGACCAGAGCCACGACGGAGGAGAGACTCCTTCAAGTAGGCATTTGGAGGCTAAATGCTGTTCATGGAGATCTACTTGTTGCTTCACCTGCTCGACGATTCGCTTCTTCCTCTCGAAGATCTGGGCGAAAAGATTCTCCAAATTCACAGCCGCCGTTCCCCTCGGATTCTCCCTGCCGGAAAACATCGCCGACGACCTGCTCTCGAGATTGAGTGAGAGACTCTAGCGCGGATTTGAATTTCAAAATTTTAGGGATAAAGATTTCATTTTCGCTTACACTTTCCCTTAAAAAAATAATTTTAAATTTCAACCCACTCTGAAAAATCAAAATATTCCGCAAAAAGAAAATAACACCGCTAACTGGCAACAGTGTGCGTTTTAACTCAAAACAAACGGCGTCGTAGAGTGTAAACCTTTGAAACGGTGGCGTTCTCTCTATCCTTTCGAAAGAAAAAGAGACCTTGATTGGCTGCAAAACGGTGCGTTTAACTAATGCAAACGGCATCGTAACTTTCGGTCATCTCCTTTATTCTTCGCCGTCGTATCACTCTCTCTCTCTCCGTGATCAATCGCCGGAGTGATTGTTACAGACACAGAGATTCGATCATAATTTCCAATGGATGTCTCCTTACCAGTAGATAAACTATCTATTGGATCAAAACCTGAGTAAATTTCAAATCTTATTCTTGATTTTGATTCAATTTCCCCCCTTCAATTTTCTCTCCATGAAAAAAATCGATTTTGCGAGTTTGATCTACTTGGCACTTATGATAATGATATCCTCACTAGAAAAACTGTCAATTTCTGGGTACTAACCTTTTTTGATCGCGTGTCTGAATTTAGGGACAAAACTTGTGTAGTTCTTGTGGCAACTGGGAGTTTCAATCCTCCTACTTTCATGCATTTACGCATGTTTGGTGAGTTTTATTTTTACCATATCAGTTATTGATTGTGTTATGATTTGTATTTATGGGTTTATAAAACAGCTGAACTTAGAGGTTTCTGGATTATCAATGTTAAACCAACCGTTGATGCTTGTCGAATGATCCTTCTGCGACCTTTAGTTCAAATGTATATGTGCATGAACACATCGAACTGATTGAGTTGTCTTTTTCGTGTTTAGAGCTGGCGAGAGATGCATTACAGTCAGAGGGATTTCATGTTCTTGGAGGCTATATGTCTCCTGTAAATGATGCATACGAGAAGAAGGTATTTACTTTTTTGGCAACTTGGGAATTTTAAGTTTCTCTCAATACTGGTTCTTCTTCTTTTAAACCAATGCTAATGGACATGTTATCTGTTATGAAACTGACATTAGCTCCTAAGATTCTGTTGCTTACTTTTTATTTTCCTTGAGAAGTAATGAAATCACTAGAGATTCTGTGTTAGGGTCTTTTATCAGCAGAGCATCGTTTAGAGATGTGTAATCTAGCCTGCAAGAGCTCCGACTTTGTAATGGTCGATCCGTGGGAGGTACTTGCTCATTAATTCCCTCGCAAAGCTTTGATAACTTCTTTTCTATCTTTAGAGGAACAAAACTGTGGAAGCTGTCTGTTTCTACAGGCATCACAAAACACCTACCAACGAACTTTGGTGGTTTTATCAAGGGTCAAGACTTTCCTTACAAAAAGCCGACTTGTTCCCGAGGGTAAGATAACTGTAAAAAACTGTCCTATGTAGTAGCATGTAGCATCGTGCAGCTCATAGCTTGGATCGTCTCAATGAAATTGCTATATTTCATCGTACTTGCTAGTTACTAACATAAATGACATACTCACATTTATGTAATATGTGGTTTATAATGCTAGAATCTCTCAAAGTCATGCTATTATGTGGCTCGGATTTACTACAGTCTTTCTGCACTCCTGGTGTTTGGATCCCTGAACAGGTAAACCAAGGCAGCATCGTTATCGTTATACAAACCGTGATTTGTTTTTATCGATTCACCTCACAGTTTATGCTATTGGGTTTTCGAAGGTGAGGACTATTTGTAAAGACTATGGCATTGTGTGCATCCGTAGAGAAGGACAAGACGTTGAAAATATGATATTTGGTGACAAAATCTTATACGAAACCCGTGTAAGTATTTGTTACCGAGTTTCTTTCTTTGATTCCGTTGTATCAATCAGTCAAGTCAAAGCTCAGTCTAGTACGGTTTCTTTTGGCAGGGTAACATCAGAATCGTCAACAATTTTGTTCCTAATCAGATCAGTTCGAGCAGATTAAGGTAGTGTTTGGGCTTTATCTTCCTCAAGAACATTTTGATTTACACACTCCTTTTGCTCATTCCTTTGCTTCTTTTACTAGGCAATGCATTTCGCGAGGGCTATCGGTTAAGTACTTGACTGAAGATGGAGTAATAGATTATATCAAACTACGTCAACTTTACACTGACCTCACATGACAATAGCCGAGAGGATTCTTGCTTCATCAGATCAAATACTATTTTTATACAACCACATCAAATAATCAGTGATAAACAGATGTAATCATATCAGATAGATTCGTTAACAATCGATATTTCAATATTCTTCATTATCAAATTTGTGTATCATATCCAAAAGCCTACAAAAAGGTGAAGAAAGGAATAAATGAGACGAGAGAAATTTAAAAATGTAAAACACTAAACGCTGAAGAAGAATTAAAGAGAAATCGAAAAACACTCTCTCTTATGTCATGTCTCTTCCGTATGTTTCTCTTCAGCGCAGGGATCGTCGGAGCTTGAGAAGAGGTAATGTCTCTTACGCGGAACCCTAGATTTATCGCTATTCTCAAATGGGTATCACAAGTTTCTATACAAACTCAGTCGGGAACTGGGTTTCATCGTCGTCTGACCTTAAAGTCGAGGTCTTTCGCCACCGCCGTTGCCGGCGGCGAGAAATCGAGTGCTGTAACCCGAATTGAGAATCGGAGAAGCGCTCAGGTCGCGATGTTGGATTACTTCTACATCACCAGAGGATTGCAGTTTCTGGTCGCAGAGAGTATGAGCAAAAACGCGCCGCTTTTCAATAACAAACTTATAGAGAAGTTGAATTGCGACGCTGATGCTGATATCGCTCGATCGATCACCAGGTTTCTACGGTATCACCCAATAAACGAATTTGAGCCCTTCTTCGAGAGTTTAGGCTTGAAGCCATCAGAGTACAGTCATCTGCTTCCTCGTGATAAGATGTTCTTGAACGAAGACGCGTTTTTGCTAGAGAATTACAATACTTTCTGGGTATATGGGATTGGTCTAAAGCAGATTGGGAAGATCTTCAAGGAAGCTAGGGAGGTTTTCGGGTATGAAACCGGGGTTTTAGCTTCAAAGATTCAGGCTTTTGAGGATTTGGGATTGACGAAAACGTTTGTGTCGAGAATTATCGTTTGTAGCCCGAGGATCCTGATTGGGGATATGAATGTTGAAGTAGCTAAGGTTTTAGAGATTCTGAAATCGTTAGGGATTGGGGTTGGTTGGGTAAATGAGAACTTGTTAGAAGAGGAATGTTATGATTGGAGCTCTATGCATAGGGTTCTAAGCTTGCTTAGAGATATATGTTTAGATGAGAGTGAGCTATGTTGTGAGTTGATCAAGAAGCATCCAAGACTTGTTTTTGAGGATTCAGGGGAGTGGACTCTGTTTCTAGCTGGGTTTCAAGCAAAGCTTGGGTCGTCTAGGAGTGAAGTCTGTTTGTTTTTTCAGAAATTCCCGGAAGTTGAGGTGAAGAAATGTGTTTTGAATCTAAGGCGTTGCTTCTTGTTCCTGAACGAGATCAAGATGGAGTATGATGAGATTGGTAAGATCTTCCGTTCTCACTCCCACTGGATTGGTGCATGTCCTTTGAAGCAAACCAGTACCTTACTTTCTAAACTGAGTGTTGGGACTAGGCGTCTTTGTCAAATCATCCAAGAAAACCCAGAGGAGATGAGAAAATGGACTATGGGTTTAAGGGTCCAGCCGCTACCTAGTACTGGGGAACAAGAAACGTCGAGATTTATGAAGAAACGGTTCTTGTTGAGCCTCGGATATGAGGAGGACTCAAAGGAGATGGAGAGAGCGGTCAAGAAGTTCCGTGGGAGAGGATCAGAACTCCAAGAAAGATTCGATTTCCTTGTGAGTTTGGGTCTAAACGAGAAGGATGTCAGAAATATGGTGAATGCATTCCCTCAGATCCTTTCTCAAGCGTCTGATCTCATAGAAGCAAAGGTTAACTATGTTGTCAAGGAACTAGGGTATCCACTTTCGACCTTTGTGGCGTTCCCTTCTTGTTTAGTGTTTACTCTCCAGCGGATGAAGCTCAGGTTAGGGATGGTTCCGTATCTGAAAGGCAAAGTAAAGGCAATCAGCAGTGTGCTTGTGTGCTCGGACCAACATTTTGTGACTCACTATGTAAACCGCCACCCTGACGGGCCTAAACATTGGGAGGATTTGAAGAAACAGCTGCTTTGTGAGTAGAACAACTGATTTAACAAGTATCCATATCCAAAAAGGCATCAAGATATACAGTTCACCACAACAGTGCAAATGTGCTGCAACACTCAGCAACAAGGAGATCACGAATCCATGTTCATGTCAGATGTAATATTCATGCTCTCGAGGAGGACCTTGAAGAGATTGTTGAGGACTGAATCTGATGGGACTAAATTTGGTCGAGTATCCGAGTTGGAGCATCTAAGTTACTAATCATGGTCGTCCATCATCCCATGGCCTCGGTTTCTGGAATCCTGAGGAGGTAAACCAGTACATTATTATCTGTCTAGGCCATACATAGTCTCTTATCATTTGGAAATGCTGCCTGCTTGCTGTGTGAATAGAGTTTTGTCTTTGATTCTACTCACAGTTTGATCTGTATATATTGGGTTTTCGAGAAGTCTGTAGTTGGTGAAAGTTTTCTTTAATTTCACTTGTAACAAGAAGTTTTTTTCTTCTTTTTGTGGGTTAACTTGGTCTCTTTGGTGGGTTAAATCTGATGATTATCATATTATGATCAAAGCTAACAAAATTCATATTTGAACTTGTTTGGGTAGTAAACTAGTTGACGAGTGCCACATCAATCCGTTCTTCGGATTGTGTATTCCTAATCGTGGCAAATTTCAGTTAACGACGGGCCTGTAGAATTTAGGCTGTAATAAAAAAGGAATATAAAGAACGAGAATAAGGAATGAGAAGATAGAGAATTCTCAGAGTCCTTAAATTTGTGCTCTGAAAAATCTGTTCTGCAGAGCCAAAATATTTCCATATTTAAAATTATGGTTCTGAACTTAAAAAAATGAAATCAAAACTTGATTGGTTTAACACTAGTGCTCTAAAAAAAATTAGTTGCTTTACAACATTAAAAACAGAAAGTTACGTACATTCACAAAAAAAAAATAAAAAAAATAGCCCAAATGTATCAAAATACTTCAGATTAAAGGAAAAGAGATGAAGAATAACTCTCGCTGGGTTCTGGGATACAATCCGACGAACAAAATATTGATTTGTACCTTTTGTAGAATATTGGGAATGGACAGCGGCACAAGCATCCACTGCAGATTGGTCTGGAGAGAGAAGTGTTTGGAAGAATCTGATATTCCACCCATATCAAACGCTTGATACGCGAGTACCCAGGAAGAGAAATCCACTCTTTTATGGTTTTACCAGGATTCATGTAAACGTCTTTCCCAAGTAAACATTTAACATGAAGGGCCGTGCAACAGTCATTGCATTTGTAGGAAAACTCAACGTCTCTTCTTTTACGCGACCATGGCCAACACGCTTCTGGATCTTCTTCTTCTTCTTCTTGTACTAGTATTTTTCTCTCGCAAGCCTCACACCAGTCTTGCTGATCACTTGCCTCTTGGCCATCACAAATCGTGAGTAAATGGCTGTCATGCTTATACCCTGCCTTGTACGGTAAGGTAGCACAATTAAAACATATGATATAATCGCATTCGATGCAGTTCAGTTTTGAACCATCGCTATTGTATTTGCACAGCTGACACCGTGCCTTTTCGCTCGGGTCCAGAGCTAGGAATAAAGGATGTTTGTGGCCTTCATATTCAAATGGTTCGGTAACTGAAGCACACCGTAGGTCTAGTCTGAAGCTATTTCTTCCATGTCTATGATGCTCATAGACAAAGCCAAGACCCTGACGCTCACAAACGTCACAACGGAAAAAACCAGATCTCCCTGATGCCATATTTAGTGTAAGTGGATGTGGATGTAAGGGATGTCGTTTCATTCGCGGAGAATTTGCACAAGATTCATGGAGGATGAAGTCGCACTCCATGCAAGAATAGAATTTGCCTTCGTAGATTGGAATAGCACACGCACGACAAAACTTATCTTCGTCATATACTTTGATCATCTCAAGCCGTAGTTGGTGGCTATGAGAAATATGGAGTATTATTCCATCAGCTATCCTCTCAAACGGCTCACCATCGTCTATTATATCATCTTCCTCCGGTACTCCGTCAAGTTCTTTGCCATCCCACACATCTCGATTTAATGCACATTTTGAATGAACAAAATAAGCATCACATGCATTGCAAGAGTATGCACCGTAATCGTTGTCAACGTGTTTGCGACAGACTCCGCAAGACCAATCTCCAGTCGGAAGAGAGGAGGTGAAAGAGACACGGTGGTGGTGACGAGATATTCTGATGACATGTGGGAAACCAATGCATTCGCTGTGGACTATGAAGACACATTGGATACATATGTAGGTGGGGTTACGGTTTTTTATGAGGCCACAAACATTGCAAGGCAAAAAAGCTTGTCTAGGGAAAAAAGTGAGAGGATGGGGATGGCTTTTTGGATGGTCTATAACGATGGGCACAGTCCTCATCGCACAGATCGGGTGCATGCTCAAATCGCATGTGGTGCAATGATAACCCACGAACATGACACTTGTGTCACAACAAAAGCAAGTGGCAAGGTTTGGATGGTTGTAAAGTTTAAGAGGATGAAAAGGGTGTGAAGGGTGTCTAATCTCGAGTGGAGACTCTACACATTCTTTATGAAATTTTCTTTTACATTCAAGACATGCATAGTAGCTTGCGCTGGCCATTGAATCTCCGCATGCACCGCACTCGAACTCGTTGATATTAGGTTCTTTACTGTTGCACCAATAGAGAGGGACTACAGGGAGCTTACAAATGTCACGGTGGTCGCAATCAAGCAAAGATTTGTGTTGCTGGTCATGAATTCTTGTGCTCGGGAAGCGAGGGGAAGAATCGAATGGATGAATCTCGTCACCATGATTGTCGTCCTCCATTAGCTCGTATAAAGAACGATTTTTATGATCGTCGCTGTCATCATCATCTTCATCTTCATCATCGTCATCATCACCATACTCACTATCGTCATCACCATCTTCTTCATCATCGTCATCTTCTTCTTCATCCTCATCGTCATCGTCTTCATCGGCACTGTCATCGTCGTCCTCGTCCTCCTTAAGTTTGAACTTAATAAATTCAAGACGCGCAGCAGGGCAGAAAAAGAGAGGTTGAAGTGGGAGGTCGTCGCCACCAGAATCTATGGCTAGTGCTTCACCGGAGGAGGCTGGATTGTCTGTTTGACTTAATGTGTATACGAAACATGGTTTTTCATCTATTCCCACCTTACGAAACACACCAACAGAGCTCATGGCTGCTATTTTATGATTTTGAATTTTTTTTGTTGGGGTGATATTCTTTTTCTCCTTGAGCCCCTCTTAATAACAAGTCATAAAACTTGAGAATACAGCTAAGCTTGACCTGTTTATATGATTTGTTATAGGAAAGTGGTTCGTAATTGATTTTGAATCTCTGTAAATTCTTTATACATATATTGATGTCAATTATTTTCACTAGGAGGAGACCGTCTCTTCCGGATCAACTGTCTCTAAAGTTTAATAAGCTTTATATGAAAATGCACTTGCGAGTGGAACAAGATAGCGCCTTCTGATGCCGATTTAACGGGAACATGTTAGAGCATTACTTCACGTAGGACAAAATTGTGCGATGAATATAGTATACAACACATAATACTTATATATCCACTAGACCACTACTGCTTTTTTATATATAGAGTAATAAAGATGATTATAGGTCTTTTTCCTCCACATAATAGCCGTTTTACTATATATGTTTACAAATTGTCAAATCAAAAAATGTTTCAATCAATAAGTGTCAAACAAAAAAGTTTCATTTACTACTCACACTTGACAATTTTAATAATTGTCATAGTGATTTACTACTCACACTTGACAATATTTTTCGTTATAGAAAGTCGTTAATTATGATTTTCAAATCTACGATCTCTTTGATTGGATTTCTGTTCTTTTTATTAAAGAGTGACAAAAAGTCGTTGAGGATGGGAACAGCTCAACAATTGTTTTGTTTTCTAACGTTGGACAGCAATGCAAATTGCAACATTTAAAAACAAAGTAAAGAAGTCCAACATGGAAAAATATAACAATCTCTTTATCAATTCTCAATTAAAAGATAAAGAACTTGGAATTCCCGCTTGAAATTTTTGGTTTCAGATTTCAAACTGAAATGATCTCGTCTGCAATAATATGGAGAAGAAACACACTGAAAGCTATGAAGTTTAAACACAATAACATTTAAACATTAGAGTAAAAAGTAAGCATGTTTCATGTTGTTGCTTTCATGAGTGATTGTTGATGTCCACAAGCTTCTTCAGGAAGAGGCCGAGAAAAAGAATGAAATGAATCTTGTCATTACATGGTTGTTGATGTTCACAATCTTCTCAAAATTTTATTTCTGAGAAATCTTATATTTAGAATGATATATGATGGTAACGTATGAGGCATATGTGTATAGTAATTTGACCTCCAGTAAATTACATAAATGATATAGGCTTTATTTAGATTTATTTATTTGTTTCTGCAACTTGTGTTACAGAAATGTATCCTCAGTATCAGGTCTTTTGGGCTGTTTTCCTTATCTTTTTCCCTTTTGGGTGATGGTGTATTTTAGTATATCAACAGATAGAGATAGCTAAATATTTTTCTGTTCTACAACAGTTAACATAAGCCTGACCGTATAGCACATTAGCAAGGAGCTTCATGGTGATAACAAATGGCAACACCAAGAAAGAAATCAAAAGGGTTCGATCGATATAATCATAACAACTCTGTTTGTTTGTCCTAGAACATCAAACACCCCAGTTATAAAAGAAATCCACAGAGATCATGTCCTAAGTTAAATGTAATGTAAATGCATTCACAATGAGTCTATCACAAGAGGAGTCAGTGTTGCAGCAAAGCAAAATGAATTCAAGACTCGCATCTATTTTATTATAGGGACTTTCGTTTTGTACGTAAGGAATAAAAATATTGGTTATATGATGTTCTTCAATATATATATATATATATATATATATATATATATATATATATATATATATATATATATATATATATAAAAGCAAGTCTTAATTCAGCAGAAGGCAAGAAACAAAAACAAAGTATTGAAAACGGACTAATAAACTAGCACATGCACTAAACTTGGAACATAAGAAGAGCACACAAGTTTGCCGCTAGTAACCCAACGACTCGAAACTATTCCGGTGTTGACAGATTTGAAGTACCCATCTCCTCCAACAACGTAAGCCATTTGGTAGCGAAATTTCCTAGACCGGCCATATCTTTCTGAACCAAAAAGCACAGCGACTTTCTTCTCCTCGTCAATTAAAAAGCTCGTTTCAAAGTAATTAGGAAAACCATCAGGTAAACCATTGATTAGACTCAAATCCAGAGTGAAAAAGCTGCTCCACGAGACCGCATTGGGCTCAACCTCAGTCGAAATCCAAATCTCTATGATATCGGTAGTTTCGCAGTGGTAATATAACGCAGCGAGTTTCTCATCTCTAACCCAAGATAGAGGCTTAATGTCCAAACAAGGACACGGAGGCTGAAACGGCAGAGGCAGACGCGGTCCGAAACTCTCCGTTTCGAAATTAAAACAGACCACATAATGTACAATATCTGTTATCTGTTGACCGAAAAAGTAAGTGTTTCCTTTCAAAGACACGCCGTTGTAACACCACCCTAAATCCCAGCTGGGATCGACGTCAAGAAACCTCCATGAGTCAGTGCTGAAGTCGTAGACGTCGATGTGGACTCCGCTTGTAGAGCTTCCGTTTTTGGAGTCGTAATCATCAACCAAACTCAAGATCTTGTGGTTACCGTTCTTGTTGTATCCGAGAGCGTGCTTGTCTAATCTGTAGAGCTTATTTCTGGGTTGAATCCATTTGGTTTGCCCCAAATACGGATTCCAAACCAAGAGTCTAAAGTGGTCTTCTTGCTCTTTGACAAGGCATAACAATAAGCCGTCGCAGTGAAAGACTTCAGTTATCTCCATTTTAGTATTACTAGGTATACTTGTTATTTGCTTGATTGAGAGATGATCAAGCAAGTCTTCGCCGTCGTCTTCGATGCTGTTCTGGATTCCTTGGAGGTCGCATCTCAACGAAGAAACCGAAGAATTTATCATCATGAACTCCAAAAACTGACTCCTTGCTGCTGCTTTTTGACCTAAAATTTGTTTTCTCGTCAAACCGTTCCAGTTTTTACAAGTAGATCGCACTACGTTTAGCGATGTTAATGGAACCCTAGCAAAAATCTCCCATATCAAATCCCATGAAAGATCAGAAAATCTCGTCATCTTTTAACCTTCTCCAGAGATTTGTTGGGGGTATTGTTCTAACGTTGTCCTCCGGCGATGCTTGCTTTTCAAGTATCAATGTCGAAACCCTAATATGTATCTCCTGAACGGGATTGTTGTATAATTTAGTTGGGCTTTTATTCCTTTGAGCCCATATTGTTTCGATTGATGATGTGGATTGTGGAGTGTGGGACACTAATTAAACAAAAACTAGTATAGGAAAAAAGTTCTTCGACATTAACTATAGGTGAAAACTGAAAATGCATTCCCTCAGATCCTTTCTCAAGCGGTCTGATCTCATAGAAGCAAAGGTTAACTATGTTGTTAAGGAACTAGGTTATCCACTTTCGACCTTTGTGGTGTTCCCTTCGTGTTTAGTGTTTACTCTCCAGCGGATGAAGCTCAGGTTAGGGATGGTTCCGTATCTGAAAGGCAAAGTAAAGGCAATCAGCAGTGTGCTTGTGTGCTCGGACCAACATTTTGTGACTCACTATGTAAACCGCCACCCTGATGGGCCTAAACATTGGGAGGATTTGAAGAAACAGCTGCTTTGTGAGTAGAACAACTGGTTTCCTTGAGGCCAAGATAAACAAGCATCCATATCCACAAAGGCATCAAGTTATACAATTCACCACAGCAATGCAAATGTTCTTTCAACAGAAACAAGGAGATCCCTTAATCCACGTTCATGTCAGATGTAAATATTCATGTTCTAGAGCAGGGGACCTTGAAGAGATTGTTGAGGACTGAATCAGATGGGACTAAATTCGGTTATCAGAGTTGGAGCATCTAAGATACGAGTCAACCAGTACATTATTATCTCTCTAAGGCCATACATAGTCTCTTATCATTTGGAAATGCTGCCTGCTTGCTGTGTGAATCGAGTTTTTGTCTTTGATTCTACTCACAGTTTGCTCTGTATATATTGGGTTTTCGAGAAGTCTGTAGTTGGTGAAGGTTTTCTTAAGTTTCGCTTGTTGTAACAACAAGTTTTTGTCTTCTTTTTGTTTGCTTTTGTGGGTTAACTTTGTCTCTCTGCTGGATTGGATCAAAAATAATAAAATTCATATCTGAACATGTTTGGGTAGTAAATTAGTTGACTGAGGGCCACATCAGTCCGTTCTCCCACATTCCTAATTGTGGCAAACTTCAATGAAATGAAATAAACAAAGTACACTTTTACAAGATTAAAACAGAAGGTTACGTACATTAACAACGAATAGCATAAGTGGCTTTAGTAGTGATAACAAATGGTAACACCAAGAAAGAAATCAAAAGATATAAAAGCGTATTACTCTGTTTGTTTGTCCTAGAACATCAATCAGATACCCCAATTCTAACAGAAATCAGCAGAGATCAAATCCTAAGTTAAATACTGTAACGTAAATGCATTCCCAATATGAGTCTAGCAAAAGAGGAGTCAAGCAAAAGTCGCATCAATTTTATTATAAGGACTTTCGTTTTGTACGTAAAGAACAAAAATAATGGTTATATGATGTTCTTCAATATATACAAAAAAAAAGCAAGACTTAATTCAGCAGAATGCAACAAAACAAAAATAAGTATTGAAAATGGACTAGTAAACATGCACTAAACTTGGAACATAAGAAGTGCGCACAAGTCTGCTGCGATTAACCCAATGATTCGAAAGTATTCTGGTGTTGACAGATTTGAAGTATCCATCTCCTCCAACAACATAAGCCATTTGGTAGCGAAAGTTCCTAGCCTGGTCATGTATGTCTAGATCAAAAAGCACAGCGACTTTCTTCTCCTCGTCAATGAAAAAGCTCGTCGGTGCAAAGTAATTAGCAAAACCATCAGGTAAACCATTGACTAGACTCAAATCCAGAGTAAAAAAAATGCTCCACGAGACCGCATTGGGCTCAACCTCAATCGAAATCCAAATCTCTATGATATGGCAGTGGATATATAACACAGCGAGCTTCTCGTCTCTAACCCAAGATCGAGGCAAAACTGCATAAAAAGGATACGGAGGTCGAAACGGTAGAGGCAGACGCGGTCCGAAACACTCCGTTTCGAAGTCAAAACAGACCAAATAATGTCCAATATCTGTTATCTCAGCTCCGAGAGCGGGTACATATATTTCTGTTGTTACCTCTTTACCTAAAAAGTAAGTGTTTCCTTTCAAAGACACGCCGTTGTAACACCCTAAATCCCAGCCGGGATCGACGTCAAGAAACCTCCATGAATCAGTGCTAAAATCGTAGACGTCGATAAAGAATCCGCTGGGAATGTTTCTGGTCTTGGAGTCGTTATTATAAACCAAACTCAAGATCTTGTGGTTACGGTTCTTGTCGTATCCGAGAGCGTACTTGTCTAATCTGTGGAATTTATTTCTGGGTTGAATCCATTTGGTTTGCCCCAAATACGGATTCCAAACGAAGAATCTAAAGTGGTCTTGTTGCTCTTTCGCAACGCATAACAATAAGCCGTCGCAGTGAAAGACTCGAGTCATCTCCATTTTAGTATTACTAGGTATACTTGTTATTTTCTTGATAGAGAGATGATCAAGCAAGTCTTGGCCGTCGTCTTTGATGCTGTTCTGGATTCCTTGGAGGTCGCATCTCAACGAAGAAACCGAAGAATTTATCATCATGAACTCCAGAAACTGACTCCTCGCTCCTGCTGCCTTTTGACCTAAAATTTGTTTTTTCGTTAAATCGTTCCAGTTTTTACAAGTAGATCGCACTACGTTTAGCGATGTTAATGGAACCCTAGAAAAAACCTCGCATATCAAATCCCATGAAAGATCGGAAAATCTCGTCATCTTTTTAACTTTCTCCAGAGATTTTGTGTATTGTTTGTTTTAACGCTGTCCTCCGGCGATGCTTGCTTTTCAAGTACCAATGTCGTCGAAACCCTAATATTTATCTCCTGAACTGGGTTTGTTGTACAATTTAGATGGGCTTTTATTCCTTTATATAGCCCATATTGTTTCGATTGATGATGTGGATTGTGGAGTGTGGGACACTAATTAAACAAAAACTAGTATAAGAAAAAAGTTCTTCGACATTAACTATAGCTATAGGTGAAAACTGAAAATGCATGTTCTTGTTTTCTATTGATGTTGTTGAACCACGTGTCGGGTCATGCAATTGCAACTACAGATATATGGTTAACACTCAAAACGTATGAAAACATTCAGAACAAAACAAAACAAAACAAAGTTACTTACCCAAAGGGCCAAAAAGTTTTAAAGGAGACGCATACGTTATATCATTTTTTAGGTATTTTAATCCATCCAACCTTTCTCTAAGCTCATATAGGAGCGTTTCATTGCAGAACAATCAAAGCAAGAGACGAAGAAAAACAAAGAATCAATATATTTCTTATATAACAAAAAACAAAGAGAGCATATAGATCTTCTTGGATCTCTTGAATACTCTTTCTGTTTTTTTGTGTGTGTTTTGACAATTTGGGGAAGGAAATGGAGTCAAAGTTTCATGCTTTTATGTTCCCATGGTTTGCTTTCGGTCACATGGCTCCGTATCTGCATCTGGCGAACAAACTAGCCGAGAAAGGTCACCGGGTAACTTTCTTGCTCCCCAAGAAAGCTCAGAAACAGTTGGAACCTCACAACCTCTTCCCAGACAAGATCGTTTTTCACCCTCTTACTCTCTCTCCTGTCAACGGCCTCCCTGCTGGCGCCGAGACGGCCTCAGATATCCCACTCTCGTTGGACAAGTTCTTGTCCGAAGCCATGGATCTCACACACGACCAGGTGGAAGCTGCGGTTCGTGCGTTGAGACCAGACTTGATCTTCTTCGATTTTGCTCACTGGGTAACAGAGATAGCTAGAGAGTATGGGATTAAGAGTGTGAGTTACATCGTAGTATCTGCCAACACTATAGCTCATACACATGTCCCTGGTAGTGAGTTAGGTGTTCCCCCACCGGGTTATCCTTCGTCAAAGGTGCGGTTCCGTGAACAGGACGCTTACCTTTTAGCAACCTTATCGATCTACTACGAGAGGATCTATCACCAGATCACCACAGGTCTTAAGAGCTGCGATGTTATTGCAATGAGGACATGCAAAGAAGTCGAAGGTAAATTCTGCGACTACATATCGCGTCAATACAAGAAGAAGGTTCTCTTGACTGGTCCATTGCTTCCTGAACAAGACAAAAGTAAACCACTAGAAGACCAATGGAGTCATTGGCTAAGTGGGTTCGCACCCGGGACAGTAGTGTTTTGTGCACTTGGAAGCCAGGTCATTCTTGAGAAGGATCAGTTCCAAGAACTCTGTTTGGGAATGGAGCTCACTGGTTTACCGTTTCTTGTAGCGGTGAAGCCACCTAAAGGCGCGTCAACGATCCAAGAAGCGTTACCGGAAGGATTCGAGGAGCGGGTTAAGGGCCGTGGAGTGATTTGGGGAGGATGGGTTCAACAGCCATTGATACTGGGTCATCCATCAGTAGGCTGTTTTGTGAGCCATTGTGGATTCGGGTCAATGTGGGAGTCTCTGATGAGTGATTGCCAGATAGTGTTGCTTCCATATTTGAGTGATCAACTACTCAACACGAGATTGATGACCGAGGAACTCGAGGTCTCTGTGGAAGTGTCGAGGGAAAACACAGGATGGTTTTCGAAGGAGAGCTTGAGCGATGCGGTCAGGTCTGTGATGGATGAAGACAGCAGCGAGGTTGGGAAGCTAGTGAGGAGGAACCACGCCAAATGGAAAGAGATTCTGGTTAGTCCTGGATTGTTGACTGGTTACGCTGATAAGTTTGTAGAATCGTTGCAAGAGTATCTGGTTTGATCAATGTCAATGAACATGATTGTTTCAGTTTTCTAGAAGACCACCTCGTTCTAAGTGTTGTTTGCGAGGTCTTCTCTCTTTCTTTTGTTTTCTTTTTTTGTCAAACTATTTGCATGGTCTTCAAATTGTGTTTTTTCGTATTTTTCTTTATGTTTTAATTTATTTTTCTGTTAAGATTCTGAAATTAAAGCTTAGAGTTATTCTTTGGCTATATAAAGGGATCTACGTATGAATTTTAGACTAAGAAGAGCACTTTATCTTGCTTAGCACTTTCGAAACCCCTCGTATTATTTCAAGTGTTCTGATAAGGTTCTCTTGATCATTTTGTTACATAGCTTATGCTACTCCACCATATAATTGAGAAATTTATACACATTTTGTTCATCTCACATTGATTTCTCTATATCTTTCTGGTTACCAATTCTTAACCTTAAGAGACTCGAATCTACAATTTTCTAACTTTGTTTCAGTTCAGTTTGTATACTGATATTTTATTACTCATAACAAAGTTGGACTCTTTTGTTCCGTCAGATCAGTTCGATTTCAACAGCTTTCATTGACTCTTCCTTCATAACTCATAACTTCAAAAAGACAAAACCGCAACATCGAACAACACATGTGGCTTCTCTTGAGCCTCACACAACATCGCACACATGTACATGTGGCATCCTACACATGTGGCTTCTCTGGAAAAAAGTTCTTGAAAATAAAATAAGTAAAAAGGATGAATATACCCTCTTTTTAAGATACGGTGATAAACTTCTGTTTCCACAATTTGGGAAAGAAGAAAAACAGAAATGAGTCCGAAGTTTCATGCTTTTATGTTACCATGGTTTGCTTATGGTCACATGACTCCATATCTGTATCTAGCTAACAAACTTGCAGAGAAAGGTAACAAAGTCACCTTCTTGCTGCCCAAGAAAGCTCAGAAGCAACTTGAGCATCTCAATCTCTTCCCTGACAACATCGTCTTTCACCCTCTTACAATCCCTCATGTCGATGGCCTCCCTCCTGGTACCGAGACAGCCTCGGATATACCGGTCTCCTTGGGAAAGTTCCTATCCCAAGCCATGGATCTCACACGTGATCAGGTCGAAGCTGCGGTTCTCGCTTTGAAGCCGGACCTGATCTACTTCGATCTTGCTTTTTGGGTGGCTGAAATGGCTAGAGGACACAGAGTGAAGAGTGTGTGTTATCATGTGGTATCTGCTGCAGCTATAGCTTATGCACTTTCTCCAGATGCTGAACTAGGGCTTCCCCCACCGGGTTATCCTTCTTCAAAGGTCACTATCCGTGGCCGCGACGGTTATACTTGGTTGTTCATGCCCGCAAGTAAGAGGATTTTTTTTCGGGTTGAGACAGGTCTTAGGAACTGCGATGTCATCTCATTAAGGACATGCCAGGAAATCGAAGGCCAGTTCTGTGATTTCATCGAGCTTCAATACCAGAAGAAAGTTCTCTTAACAGGTCCAATGCTCCCTGAGCTAGACAAGACTATACCACTAGAAGATCAGTGGAGTCACTGGTTGAGGGGGTTCGAGACCGGGACTGTAGTGTTTTGTGCATTAGGCAGCCAAATCAATCTAGAGAAGGATCAGTTTCAAGAACTTTGCCTAGGAATGGAACTGACGGGGTTACCGTTTCTTGTAGCGGTAAATCCACCAAAAGGTGTGCAGACGATTCAAGAAGCGTTACCAAAAGGGTTCGAGGAGCGGGTGAAGGGTCGTGGAGTGGTGTGGGGAGAATGGGTGCAGCAACCTTTGATATTGGCTCATCCATCAGTAGGATGCTTTGTGAGCCATTGTGGGTTTGGATCAATGTGGGAGTCGCTAATGAGTGATTGCCAGATAGTGTTGCTTCCATATTTGAATGATCAGGTTCTCAACACGAGGTTGATGACCGAGGAACTCGAGGTTTCCATAGAGGTGCAAAGAGAAGAAAGTACAGGATGGTTCTCTAAAGAAAACCTGAGCGATGCGATCATCTCTGTGATGGAGAAAGACAGCAAGATAGGTTGTCGGGTGAGGAGAAACCACGCAAAGTGGAAGGAGTGTCTGCTTCGTCATGGACTAATGAGCGGTTCTGTTGACAAGTACGTAGAAGCATTAATAAATTTAATTTAGTCCATAATATAGATCTTGAATAATGATGTTTGTAGCGAAAGTTGAATAATGATGTTTGTGTTAATGTGAAGACCAAATCCATTTCCACGTTACGAAACACACTGTTAGAGGAAAAATTAGCACATTTCCATGAGTCCGTCATCATTAGTAAAATCAGAAAGCCCAATCCAACTTTAGGGGGTTGCCCGCCTATTCCCCCCCAACTAAACTGTTTCCATCGTGATCCACACAGACTTTTCAGCCCTCTCTATTCCCATCCAAACTTTTAATCTCTGTCAATTTCCTCATTTGCGTTTAAAAATACAAAATCCAGTTTTCAAAACAGTGATTGCCCGTTTTAACTCAATTGACCCGGATTTTAAAACGCAAACCCGAGATTTGGCTAACAAATCAGACCCGATTCTATTTAACCCTAACCCGAAACCCACACTCATAAAATTAAAATTGATTTGGGGGAAACCAAAAGGGGATTAGGGTTCATAGCAAAACCAAACACTGTAGCAAATCAAAATCGATTTGGGGAAATCGATTATCTAGGGTTTTGGGTAGATTCGACTCCCCCGTGTGCTCCGTCGTTCTCCTCTGGTCGGTGTTCTCCTGTTTCGTCGTCTTTCTCCGCCGGTAGTCGCAAAAAGAAATCGCATTTTCGATGAGGTATGGTTTCTTCGATGGAGAAGTTTAAATTCGTTTTGCTGACACTTAGAGTCGTTGTTTAGGATGATTGTCTCATGGTATTGCATATTTGTAGTCATTGTGACACTTTCAAAGTGAATTTGCATTATGGAGGAGTTATGGAGATAAGCTGTGGTAGATAATTTGCTATGAACCCTAATCCTCTTTTGATTTCCCCCAAATCGATTTCAATTTTATGTGTGTGGGTTTCGGGTTAGGGTTAGATATAATCGGGTCTGATTTGTTAGACTAATCTCGGGTTTGCGTTTTAAAATCCCGGGTCAATTGAGTTAAAACGGGTAATCACTGTTCTGAAAACTGGATTTTGTATTTTTAAACGCAAATGGGGAAATCGACAAAGATTAAAAGTTTGGGTGGGAATAGAGGGGGCTGAAAAGTCTTTGTAGATCGCGATGGAAACAGTTTAGTTGGGGGGGAATAGGCGGGCAACCCAACTTTAGGCCTAACCTCCTCAACAAAAAGGTCTCAACAAAAAGGTAAGACATAAGGAGGAAGGCACAATCCATGAGAAAATGTAAACAAACTCTCATGCCGACTTAAAGAATGAAAGGAAATCAAGAACAAGAGGAAGTTTTCTATATTGCAAAAGAGGAAGTTTTTCATCTCGCCGAAAGGAAAATATTCACCCACTAGCCGACCTATCAACACTATATATTGAAGACCCCCCATTGAAGAAAGGCATCCGAGATCATCTAGAATCACTAGACTTTTGCACCCACTTTACTTTCACTTCTTGTTCATCACAGTTATCTCGACAAGCTTGTTAGCGAGATAATTTCTTTGTAACCTTCTTAATATTCTTTGAGTTGATTTAAGCTTTCAATTTCCTAAACTCATATCTTTGATAGCCCGTCTTGACGAGTGCTATCTCGGATCTAACACACACCAACTGAACTCATGGTTGCTAAAATTAGTGGAGATTTTGTTTTGTTTTTTTTTGTTTTTATTCTTCTTCTCCCCTTGCACATATATAGGGCCAGACACTATAAAACTTGAATATACAGAGCGAGTTAATGTGATTTATCATTAAAAAAGTCGTTCATTATTGATTAAATGATTGTGAATATATTAAGAGCATCTCCAACCCCATGCTAAATATGACATATATGCTATTTTGCCATAATTTTTGCTCCAACCCAATTGCATATGCTATTGCAAAATAGCATCATGCTATTTTTGCTTCTATATTTGGCATGAGATTATGCAATATGCTATTTTGCCATTGAACTTTTTTATTTATAAAATAGTCCTTCAATTTGTAATTACTTTTAATTTAACAGTTTAATTATATTGATTATGATTTATTTAAATAAATAAACAATACTCATAACTTTTTCAAAATATAAATAATATTTATTTCATAGAAATATAAAAACATAACCATAATAAACTTAAAATTTTATTTTTAAAAATACTGAAATTCAAAAAACATAAAACAATAGGTTAAAATCTTTGTTTTCTATAATTTTTATGTAATATGATGTATTTTGTTTTAATATTATAATAATAAAAAAATATAATTCTGGTTGTTTTTGCAAAAAAAGAAAAACAAATGATTCACTTTGTAAAATTTGAAGAAATCAAGTAGTTTTAACAATTAATAATAAGTTGGAAAAAAATTATAGCATGATATATGGCATGAGGGGTTGGAGAGAAACCCAATGCTATTGCTATATTTTTGCCATTTGCAATAACATATGGCATGAGGGGTTGGAGATGGTCTAAATTAATACTCTTGAATTACATGTCCACCACTACTTTTTAGATACTACTATGATTTAGTCTTTTTCCCAGATAATTGTCCTCATACGAAATGTTTACAAATTGTCAAACAAAAAAAGTTCCATTTAATACTCAAACTTACAGCCGTGCCTAGAGTTTTTAATGCCATAGGCCAACAATTTTCAAAATGTAATTTTATTTAAATATTAAAAACAACAATAATAATAATTTTAAGAAACACATTTAAAATAATTTTTTGACAAGAAAAATAGACGACATTTTAAACAAATTTGTAATAAGAAAGTATTTATAGCATGTATTTTTAAACTATATACCAAGTATAAAAATAAATAAAAACAGATTTGATGATTTTGGTTCATAAAAACAAAATAGGAAAGAAGAAACTGGCAAAAGGAATGAAAAATCAATATAGTGAACACAAACTTAACATAAAATCAATTTTCTACAAGATAGTAACATAAATAAATATTTGATATTATAGTTCTCTCGGTTTCATATAAAATCAGATGCCGTAGGCCAAGGTTTCTTATTTCCCTTCATAGCTGTAATACAGTATATTGTCACAACGATTTAATTTCTTTTCCCAAAAGTCGTTGAAGACGCGAACAGGTGAGGAATTCAGGTCTTCATCGACTAAAAGTTTACTTTCCCACGCTGCATTTTTTCTACGCAAGTCTAAACAAAGTTCAAGTATAGGATGATAAATTGTTTTTCTTTTTTATATCACAAACAACTTTCGAATCTTATTTATGTATAATTTTTTTTATTAAATTAATTTGCAATAATTTTATAATTTAAATTTAATTTATGATTATGAAGTAGACTTCATGCGTAGACTTTAAAGGGAGTAAAACAGACATTATGGTTCTCGTTTTTTCTTCGCATAAATTCCGGTTTCCGCCCAAAACATTTCATTTCCCGCTCTCTTTTTTGAGTAATATACTTTATGTCAAAGTCTATCTATGAAGTCTGAGTAACCCTAAACCCTAAATCGAATTTTTGAGATCAAAGCTATAGAAAACACCAATTATGTATATATAATCACAATTTACATTATAAACTATAAATTCATTAGCTTAAATCGTTAAACAAACCGCAAACATTTTTTTATGTCAAAATTCTCTAAACCCTAACAATCAACTCATAAACCCTATACATTATACCTCAAACACTAAGCTTGATGATTGGTTTACTCATGAAACTTATAAATTGATTAATTTCCATGAAATTTTATTTTACATAGATAGGATTTGTCTTTATTTAGATTATTTATAATTTTTGAAGCCTAAATTTTTTTTATAGATTTTAAACTTTAAATTTAAGATTTTGTTATTTGTAGACTTCTTCAGTAGACTTCAACAATTTTTTTGGATTATACCATAATTTGTATTACCGATTTAAATTGATCAATTTATATGCAAATTTATTTTTCATGGATAGTACTTGTCTTTGTTAAAATTATGTGTAAATACCTTGATCAAAATATTTTTAATAGTTTTAAACTTTAAATTTACGATTTTGCTATATAGTAGACTTCTAGAGTAGACTTCACAGTTTATAGGTTACAAACATAATTTCTCTTACTTGAGTTAAATGGATTCATTTTTATGCAATTTTATTTTTCTTGGATGCCAAATGTTCTAATCTTATTTATGTATAATTTTGTTTGATCAAATCAATTTCTATAATTTTATAAATTAAATTTGAGTTGTATTAGGAATTAGACTTCATCATGAAGTCTAATATGCGTAGACTTCATGAATAGACTTTAAACAGGGTAAAACAGACATTGTGCCTAGCGTTTTTTTCTTTGTTCATAAGGGTGTGTTTGTAATTTTACATGCCCAGAAGACTAGTTTTGCTCTAAATGCAATATAGGGTCTAGTTTTGCATTTCAAATCAAATTGTGCACTATATTTGGCAATTCCCCCCTTTAATCAAAGCTATTTCTTTCTTGTGTACTTTTTTTGTATTAATTAACGTTAACAATATCAACATTTTAATGAAATTATACTACTTTATCTTTGACATAAAATAAAATATACATTTTATCATGACTTTACTTCTTTGCAGGTCGTCTGCAATTCATGAGACATTAAAAAATACACAAATCGTTAATATTAAAAAATACACATAGTACTGACAACAATTTAAAAATACATAAATAAATGCAAAGTTACATCTGAAATGAATATTATAATTTAAAAATACATAATTCGTTAAAAATAAATGCAAAGTTACATCTGAAATGTCAAAATTGCTTCAAACTAACCCAAAAAAAGGAGAGGATAACTTGTTGGATGCTCAGTCAATCAGTCATGGTCTATGGGGACACATACCCAAGAGCAGTATATTGTGTTGTACCCTTTGAAAAATATTGGGAATGGACAGCGGCCCATGCATTCACTACAAAATGGTCGGGAAACAGAATTGTTGAGAAGAATCTGATACTCTACCCATTTGTCTCCGTCAAAGTCAGAAAAGTATGTGCACTGTGCAATGCAGTCTTTTATAGTGTTCCCAGGCTTCATGTAAATGTCGTTCCCAAATAAACATTCAACATGAAGAGCCGTGCAGCAGTATTCATTGCATTTGTAAAAAAATTTAAAGTTTTCTCTTTTAAGCCCTGGAAACCCATATTCGACTATTTGAACTTCGCAAGCTTCACACCAGTCTGGTTGATCTCTTACCTCTTCCCCATCGCAGATCGTAAGAAAATGACCGTCATGCTTATACCGTACCTTGCATGGGAAGGTAGAGCAACGGAAGCATATAACATAATCGCATTCCATGCATTCCAATAGGAAGGTGATTCTTCCATTTTTGCACATTAAACATTTTTTTATCTTATCTGGGTTTGAAGCTAAGAATAACGGGTGTTTGTGAGCTTGATAGTCAAATGGTTCGTTGATGGAGGCGCACCGTAAGTCTAGCTGGAAGTTTCTTTCTTCTGTATCATGCTCATAGAAGAAGCCATTACCCTGGCGAAAGCAAACAGAACAACTGAATATACCTTCAGCATTATCACGTCCCTTGATGGCAACTTTTAGTGTAAGTGGATGTGGATGCAAGGGATGCCGTTTCATGCGTGGAGCACTTGCACAAGATTCATGGAGGATGAATCCGCATTCCATTTCCATGCATGAATAGGATTGACCTTCGTAGAATGGAAGAGCACACCCTTGACAATACTTTTTTTCATCATAGGCTCTGCTGATCTCAAGTCGCAAATTGTGGCTGTGAAAAGGATGGAGTATTATTCCATCAGCTATCCTCTTGAACGGTTCACCATCATCTATCATATCTTCTTCTTCCGGCACTCCATCAAGTTCTCTCCCCTCCCACACATTTTCATTTAAGGCACATTTTGAATGAACAAAATAAGCATCACATCTCTTGCAAGAGTATGCACCATAGTTGTTATCAACTTGTTGACGACACACTCCACATGATAAAATTCCCGACGGAAGAGAAGGGGTGAAAGAGACACGGTGGTGGTGACGAGATATTCTTATAACATAGGGAAAACCAATGCAGTCTTTATGAATTACAAAGACACATTGGGTACAAATGTAGGTAGGATCAAGGTGTTTTGTGAGGCCACAAATATTGCAAGCTAGAGAAGCTTGTCTAGGGAAAAAGGTAAGAGGGTGGGGATGACTTTTTGGATGGTCTAAAATAATGGGTACCGGCCTCATGGATCAGATGGGGTCCATACGCCAGTTGCAGGTAATACAATAATAAAACATGTAACAGAGAGATGTGCTACAACAATTGCACTCTTTCGTAAGAAAAGTACTGTAAAGTTGAAGAGAATGTAAGGGGTGGGAAGGGTGTTTGATCTCTAGTGGAGACTCTACACACTCTTTATGGAAACTTTGTTCACATTCAAGACATGCATAATAGTTTGTGCTGACCCTTGACTGATCGCATGCCCCACACTTAAAATCGTCACAATTAGGGTTTTTATTGTTGCACCAAAAGAGAGGGACTACAGGGAGCTTACAGATACCACCATCGTCGCAATCAAGCAAAGATTCGCCTTGCTGATCACCGCTTCTTGTAGTGGGGAAATGAGGAGAAGAATTGAATGGAAGAAGCTTTTTTTAAATCACGACTAAAACGACGCTCATAATCATCGTCGTAGTAATCATCATCATCATCATCATCACCATCATCCTTCTTTGGTCTTCACCTTTTGAATTTAAAACGTGCAATGGGACAGAAAAAAAGAGGAGGAGGGAGGTTTTCGAGACCAGAATTTGGGGATGTTTCACCGTAGGAGGTTAGATTGTCTGTTTGTGTTAAGGTGAATACCAAAAATGGTTTTTCATCCATTTCCACCTTACGAAATACACCCAAGGAACCCATGGCTGCTAGTGCTACAGTAAAGAGGAATTTGGATTTCTGTGATATTTTCCTTCTCCTTCTCCCCCCTTGCATATATATATTAGCGAGTCTTAAATAGAAAACTTTCGATTACAGCTAATGAAGCTCTTTTTATATTCTTAGTTTTTATTTTTTTGTCAATATTTTTTTTGTTATTATTTTCATTCGGTAGGAGACCGTCTCTTTCGGATCTTGTTTCTAAAGTTGAGAAACTTTTTAGTTTTATTATATATGTAAATCCACTGGTACCCATCTGGTCTACAATACCGTTCTATTAATACTATTAGAGTAAACAAAACAAAAACCTAAATACATCAAGTTCTAACAGTATTAGTACAACAAAATTTGATAACCTTTACAATATTTTCAAACATGCACGCTAGAAGGAATTTTTTTTTTAATTAGTTTAAAACGCACCCCAGTCCACTATCGAATTCTTGAATAAGATGTGGTAACATGGAATCAAATCAAAACAGATGACGGATCTAAGCAAATATAGCGGATATTTTTTGCCCCGGCCTAGACTCCACCATAGTTCTAGAAATAATGTGTTTACAGATTGTCAAACAAAAAAGTTGCAATCACTATTGTCAAACAAAAAAAAAGTTGCATTTAAAACTCATACTTGTTATACTTATTACTTTTGAGATCAATCATAATACAGCTAACTTTTGGTGTTGTGTTTATATTTTTGCCTATTATATTGTAACTATTTTTTATTAATGACCTAACCTAAGGTCTTTTTCATTCTCTGTTTTAGAAAGTCGTCAAATTGTTCGTTTACGACTCTCCGTAAGATCTTTTAAATTGATTTTTTGCTCTTTCTATTAGAGAGGGACATAAGTCTTTGAAGATGGAACAGGTCAGGAACTCGCGTCGGAATTTCTGCAATATTAAGAATAAAAACCCTAACTCGCGGTGTTAAGTTTCAAGCTCCAGACTTCTTGACAAAAACCCTAACTGGTCAAACTTTAACTTTGGTTAATCAAAATAAGATGCGCGTTATGCCATCGTAACCGCATTAGTTGTAAAGACTAAAGACTAAAGAGAGTTGTATAAATAGAAAGAAAAAAAAAGTTACTACAAAAGTTTAACCGATACTGAACCAATATTATTATCTGTCTCCCTAAAATATTGGCCAACTCTGGTTTAAGGGAACCGAGTGTGGTATAAAACACACACAAAATTCACTCAGCCCCTCAAAACGCCATTAACTTCCATATTCCCCAATTTTCCGGTTAGACTAGTTCTTGTTTATGTACAACACAACAAGAGAGCTATCTTTCTTCTTCATCCTATGCCCTCGATTTTCGCTTTCCGGTTCTAGAACGTTTACAACCTTCAAGCTTCCACTTGAGGTCTCCATTATTAGCAAGCACAGATTGTTGACAGCTGAAAGTCCTGAGATTGGTCACTGTAGCGTACACAACGGCTTCACTTCTCGGCTCAGAAACCACCCTTCTCTCAACCACATCACTTTGCCCGCAGCTGGATTCCTCAATCGCTTTCTCTCTCAGGCTTTCTAGCACAGCCTCCTTGTCAATACTCTCTCCATCCTCTTCTGTTGAAACCTACACAAAGTTTTTTCCAAAATGTTGTGAGAAAAAAATGCTCACAAGTCAAGATAACAGAGAGCTTTAGTAATCATAGTATTAGCCTTCTTTAACCTTAAATTCAAAGGGAATGGAAAGTTTGGTGGAGACACAATCACAACCCTCACTGTAGTTAACTGTCAAGAATATATCGAATGTTTCGCTTCTTGATGTTCTCCTGCATGAAAGAAAAATGAATGAATGTTTATATATACTATAATGAGAAATATGACAAAGAGGTTGGCTCTTAAGAAAGCTGTTTGTTACCTTTTCATGACAAAAGGCTGCTTATCAAGAACTGCATCTTTGAACTTGTGGTTATCTGAGAAAGAAATCTGGTTCACAAATGGTAAAAATATCAGAAACTCCCACACAGTATTTCATTTAAGAGATGTAATCTATAGATTACCTCAACTGATTCGACAAACGGTAACTGAGACGTCAATCCATGAACACTTGCAACACGAAGGGTCCAGTTAACGTACTTCTGATCTGCAAAACCGAGATGAAAACTTGTGAGTGAGAGCTATGAAGACAATTACAGTAAGATTCAGGATCAAAATCCATAGCTACTACTAGTACCTCCGCTTAAGGATTTGGTTAGGATTGTCTGGAAAAAGTCTGTTCTGACATATGGAGGAATCTTCATGTTGAGAGATTCCATGACCCCTGCAACCACCTGCACATCACAGTAATGAAGGGGAGAAACTATTAGACACAATTTGGGTACACAAAATATATATAAAAAGGTGAAAAGTCTTTAGTTCTTACCTTATCAACAAGTCCGTGAATCACTACGTTTGCTTTCTTGTCCTTTGGGGTTTTCTATAAGGATGGATATAGTCAGTCAACAGTTCTCAATAAGAAACTACTACACAGTCAAGAATACACATTTATTCCATACACATGCAAAAGAAGATATCAAGGCGTATAGCAAACATAGAGTAATGTCGAGAAACCATAGATTAATTATATGATCATTTAGTTATGTGACAAGTATAAAAACTTGAGGAGATGAGCAGAAGAGATCATTCACCTGAAGATTAACGATCACGATCTTGCCTCCACCTTTGAGACATTTGAGAGGCAAGTTGCAAGCAGGGGTTATCTGCAAACTGCATAAAGGGGTCAGTCTCATGAAAGTGTTAAGGAACAAACATGAGAGAATTCTTAAGAGTCCATTAATTACCTGGTACCCAAACAGAGTACAAGATCAGCCATTTTGCAGTGTTTCTCCGCAGGATCAATCTCTTTTGGAGGCAAAGCATCCTGCCACGTAAAGAGAGAAGCATAAGAGACACAGAGAGACTCATTTTTACCTATTTAAAAGTCTTGACCAATAAGTAAAACCAATGGAATATGATTCAAGGGCACAAGAACTGATTCCAAGGTTAAGTAAGAACCATCGCATTTGTATTAAAAGAGCAGAAGAAAACTCACCTCCCAATCTAAGACCGTATCTTTAAGTTTAGCTCCACACTCTTCGTTAGAGCACTTTCTTGATGTCTCCTTCAATCCAATAGTTTCCACCTCGAAATCACGCAGGTACCTTCAAAAAGTTCAGAAAGGCTGTTACCATTTTATGGTCCAATGACCATAGGGATTAGATAATGAAAGCTTTGATCAAAAGCAACAACATATGCTTTTGACTTACTCTGCTCCACATGACGGGCACATCTCCATGAAAGAGTCACCATGCAGCTCAGAAAGCTTCTCTCTCGGAATTCCAGATCGAAGATGCAAGCCATCCACATTCTAATCATATATAAAGCAGTGCAAAATTAGAGATGTAAACAAGGAGACAATATCCTATCAGAGATCAAGCATGGTCATTAAGTAATAAGAACAAGAATGTAAAAGAGAGGAGGAAGAAGAAGAAGAAACGGCAAAGGTTACCTGACTGATGACGAACTTCAGAATGCCAGCTCTTTCCAACTCAACCAAAGCCATATGTGTCATGCTCGGCATTGCACGATGAAACTCCAGAGATGCTTTGGGTAAATCTTTGCCCTCACGCTGAAACCAATAAACATGGAATCATAAGTGTTTTAAGCTACTGAAGACGGATGCTTCAAGAAAAGACAAGTACATAGCCAGACATTCCAAGGAAATGAAGTCAAGTCAAGCAATGATGATGATAACATGCCAACATACATGCCAGTTAATGACAAAACTCAAACTCAAAACTACTCAGAGCAATGATGATAGTCGAAAGAAAACGGAACTGACCTGTAACGTCCAAATTCCTTTGGGGCCTCGGAAGTCAGGTATACCACAAGAAGTTGAAATGCCTGCACCTGTGAAAACTACTAGATGCTTAC